ACTGAAAAAAAAATTCTTCTCTTATGCAAAATCTAAGGGAAAAACATCCAGTATTGGGCCGCTGCTTAGGCGGGATGGGACATACACAGATGACAGCCAAGATATGAGTGAGATACTCGAGTCCCAATATGACTCAGTGTTCACCGAGCCGCTACCCAGACTAAGGGTCGACAATCCAAATGAATTCTTTATGAACGAGGCCCAAAATTTGGTCATCTTAAAAATCTCGGATATTATCCTAACTCTACAAGACTTTTAAAAGGCAATAAATGACATGCCCATGCACTCTGCCCCAGGCCCAGACTCGTGGAACTCCGTGTTTATCAAGAACTGCAAGAAACCCCTATCGCGTGCCTTCAGCATTTTATGGAGAGGGAGCATGGACACAGGGGTCATCCTACACACACTAAAAACAACAGACATAGCCCCACTCCACAAAGGTGGCAGTAAAGTAATTGCAAAGAACTACAGACCGATATCACTAACATCCCATATTATAAAAATCTTTGAAAGGGTCCTAAGAAGCAAGATCGCCAACCACCTAGATACCCATCAATAACACAACCCAGGGCAACACGGGTTTAGAGCAGGTCGCTCCTGCCAGTCCCAGTTATTGGACCACTATGACAAGGTCCTGGATGCTGTAGACGATAAACAAAATACAGATGCAGTATACACAGACTTTGCAAAAGCCTTCGACAAGTGTGACCATGGTGTAATAGCACACAAAATGCAGGATAAAGGAATAACAGAAAAAGTTGGTAGATGGATCTATAACTTTCTGACAAATAGAACACAAAGAGTAATAGTAAACAGAGTAAAGTCCGATACATCTACAGTGACGAGCTCTGTTCCACAAGGCACAGTACTCTCTCCCATTCTATTCCTCATCCTCATATCTGACATAGACAGAGATGTAAGCCATAGCTCCGTGTCTTCCTTTGTGGATGACACCTGGATTACCATGGCAGTGACCTCCATCGAAGACACCGCGAGACTCCCGCGAGACTCCAAGTGGACATCAACCAAATCTTCAAATGGGCCACTCAAAATAATATGAGGTTCAATGAAGAGAAATTTCAACTACTCAGATATGGAAAACTTGAGAAAATTAAAACTGTATCAGGGTATACGACAAATTCTAACCATAAAAAAGAGCGAAAAAGTAATGTGAAGGACCTGGGAGTGATAATGTCAGAGGATCTCGCTTTCAAAGATCACAACAATGTATCTACTGCATCTGCTAGGAAAAAGACAGGATGGATAATGAGAACTTTCAAAACTAGGGACGCCAAACCCATGATGATTCTCTTTAAATCATTTGTTCTCTCGAGGCAGTAATACTGCTGTACACTGACTGCCCCCTTCAAGGCTGGCGAAATTGCTGACCTGGAGAGTGTACAAAGAGCTTTCACGGCATACATAAGTACCATAAGGCACCTAAATTACTGGGAACGGTTGAAGGCCTTTCATTTGCATTCCCTGGAACGCAGGTGAGAGAGATACATGATAATATACACTTGGAAAATCCTAGAGGGATTAGTACCAAACTTGCACACAAAAATCACTCCCTATGAAAGCATAAGACTCGGTAAGAGATGCAACATTCTCTCAGCGAAAAGCAGGGGCGCCACGAGTACACTAAGAGACAACACAGTAAGTGTCGGGGGCCCAAGACTGTTCAACTGCCTCCCAGCATACATAAGGGAGATTACCAATAGACCCCTGACTGTCTTCAAGAAGGCACAGGACAGTCACCTAAAGTCAGTACCTGACCAACCGGACTGTGGTTCGTACGTTAGTTTGCGTGCGGCCAGCAGTAACAGCCTGGTTGATCAGACCCTGATCCATCACGAGGTCTGGTCTCAGACCAAGCCGCGGGGGCGTTGACCCCCGAAACCCTCTCCAGGTAAACCTAGCAGTAAACAGCAGACACCTGGATGTTAGTCGACAGGTGTGAGTCGCATCCCAGTGGGTGTTAGTATACCTTAGAAGGCTTAAATGGAGCTGGGCTTTGAAATGGGCTGAGGTAGGATAATAGCCCTTAGCCTGTAAATTCAATTATGTAAAATATCAACCTTCTTCAGATAATCCAATAAGCCATATCTAATCCTGTTGTTTATCCACCCGAAGAGTAAGTGACAATACGGTTGCAGGAATTAGGCAGTAGCCTGAGTGACTAGTTTCTTGTGCACCCACAGCTCATCCTGTGAGCAGTAGCGCGAAAAAAAAATTACAGAGGTCACATGGGTCTTCTGTCAGACCCCAGTAACCATTGTTGGCCTGGTCGGCAAAGCTCTCGCTTTACACGGTGAGGGGTCCGCGGTTTGATTCCCGGCAATTGTGGAAACATTGGGCGTGTTTCCTTTCACTGGTTGTCCATATTCACCCATCAGTAAAATGAGTACCTGGGTGTTAGTGGACTGGTGAGGGTCGCATCCTGGGACAAAACTGACCTAATTTGCGGGAAATGTTCAGCATAACAAGTGACTTTCTATACAGTAGTATGTCATTGATGTCAGCTATGGTCTGTATACCTTGTACATGTACTGGTAGTAAATAAAGATTATTATTATTATATATAACGGATCTACTAGTTCCTGTTTGTATTGTTAACTTTCTTCAAGTATGTTTGCTAGTCCCTTCGGGAGTCAACGCCCCCGCAGCCCGGTCTGTGACCAGGCCTCATGGTGGATCAGGGCCTGATCAACCAGGCTGTTACTGTTGGCCGCACGCAACCCGACGTACAAACCACAGCCCGGCTGGTCAGGGGTCTATTGGTAATCCCTCTTATGTATGCTGGGAGGCAGTTGAACAGTCTTGGACCCCTGACACTTATTGTGTTGTCTTATCGTGCTAGTGGTACCCCTGCTTTTCATTGCTGGGATGTTGCATCGTCTGCCGAGTCTTTTGCTGCCATAGGGAGTGATTTTCGTGTGCAAGTTTGGTGCTAATCAATCTAGGATTTTCCAGGTGTATATAATCATGTATCTCTCCCTCCTGCGTTCCAGGGAATACAGGTTCAGGAACCTTAAGCGCTCCCAGTAATTGAGGTGTTTTATCTCCGTTATGTGCGCCGTGAAGGTTCTCTGTACATTTTCTAGGTCAGCAATTTCACCTGCCTTGAAAGGTGCTGTTAGTGTGCAGCAATATTCCAGCCTAGATAGAACAAGTGACCTGAAGAGTGTCATCATGGGCTTGGCCTCCCTAGTTTTGAAGGTTCTCATTATCCATCCTGTCATTTTCTAGCAGATGTGATTGATATGCTGTTACGGCCTTTGAAGGTGAGATCCTCTGACATTATCACTCCCAGGTCTTTTACATTAGTTTTTCGCTCTATTGTGTGGTTGGAATTTGTAATGAGGAAAAAAGCTGTTAAAATTACACTCTGTGGTGGTAGTTTCTACAGACTTGAGGGCAACAAGTATGGTAAACAGCTCAGTTTGTGTGATGGAAACCCAGTTATAAATTGTAATACACCTCTGTATTATAGTACCATCAGGATGGTTTACTTCCCACCCTCTCATTGTCAGGGTTAAGGGAGCCATCAGTACATATAGTCTGTGTGAGAGTATATCTCCCGCCTCCTCTTCAGATTATTATTATTATAATCAAGGGGGAAGCGCTAAACCCGGAGGATTATACAGCGCCTGGGGGGGGGGATATGTGGAAGGCATTCAGGCTTAATTCGGGGAACTGGAGCACAGATCCAATTCCCTAAATCAAGAGCCCCTCACCAACATCAAGGAACCTTCCTTGAGGGGCTCCTCTTCAGAGAGTACATATTGTGGACTTTGAGATATTCCTAATAATTTCGGTGCTTTATCGGCTCTGTGTGGACAGTAAATGAACTCTTTATTTCTTCTAGCTTTAATATTTTTGCTGCCTTGAATGAAACCGTCAACAATGAACAATACTCTAAACGAAAGAGCACCATTGGCAAAATTTCCCTTGTTTTGAAAGTTCTTATTATCCACCCCTCATATTCCTGGCTGTCGTGACATTTGCTTTCTTGTGTCTATGAAAGAAATGTCAGCCAACATAATTACTCTCAGGTCTTTCATGTGTTCCTTTAATTATATTAATAATCATCTTGAGTTTTGTATAGTGTCTCTTGAGTTCTTCATTCTTTCTATGTCTAGACAGCTGGAACTTGTCCTCATTGAAGGTCGTGTTATTCTCTACTGCCCACTGAAAAAACCTGCTTATATCTTTATATATATTCATTCAAGAATACATTTAATAAGGTATAGATTTCCTGTCATACTCCATCAAACAGGATGGGTTTTCTGTGTTAGCCATCTTACACCTATTGTCTCTGTTCACCTAGCAGTAAGTAGGTACCTGGGTGTCAGTCTCCTCACACCTATTGTCCCTCTTCACCTATCAGTTAGTAGGTACCTGGGTGCTAGTCACCTTATAACTGCTGCCCCTGTTCATCTAGCAGTAAGTAGGTATCTGGGTGTTAGTCGACTAGCGAGGGTGGCATCCTGGGGGGCGGACAAGATTAAAGGACCACAGTGACGCACTGACTTTCCTGGGTTATCCTGGGTGGCTAACCTTCCCCAGATTAAAAAAAAAATACAAAATACTCTGTAGAAATAAAATGCTTTTTATCAGTAAGTTTATTTAATCACAGGTACACATGTACAGTTATCATATATAATTAAATAATCTAGGATAACCCCCAAAAAGAGTCCTGATAGTGAGTTACTTCCATTGGGTCCTATACATAACCATCTGAAGGTACAAATGTTTAGGACCCTAGTGGAAATAAATCACTTTGACTTTTTATGGGTTATCCTAAGTTATTTACATTGAATATATTGTGCATATACTTGTAGAAATAAAGATTATTATTATTATTATTACTCAATATATGATAATTGTATTTATATGTACCTTTACTTAAATAAACTTGCATTATCTTACATAGAGGATCCCTATAATTCTACAATAAGTGTTTGAATCCTATGTGAGATGAAAGGATCAAGAGTTCTCAAACATTGTTTGGTTTCAGAGTTTATAGTTGGTTGTCAGCAGCACATGCTGGGATGTGCCAAAAATAACCGAGATATTTAGTCAGCTGTCCCGCACCGGTTCATTATAGAACTTTCTGGTGTTGTACAGAGATAGAGTGAGTATATATATAGTGAACACGAGTCACATGTTCTCATTAGTTCTTCTCTAATGTTCATAAGCAACACTGAAGTCTGTGTTACTTCACATTTCAGTTTTCTCATACTGTAGTGAGAGTTTCAAGGTATGACAGTCTGTAATACTGTCTTTATCCTGTAATATGTTATATATTATATACATAGTGCTTTTTTTTTTTACTTGATACGTAGTTATATATTTGGAAAGCCCATCTCAAGGATTACAATACAATTATTGCAAAATTACTGTACATTCAAAACTTATGATAACTGAAGGTTTATTAAACGCAGATCATTTCAGACAGAACTTAATCTATTGTTATTTTTTTTTTATTCCTGGCAGGATTACTGCTCTTTTCTTTCTGTCTAATGATCATGTAAGATATTTTGCACTTAGTATACTGGAGTATACCTGGAGAAGGTTTTGGGGGTCAGCGCCCCCGTGGCCCGGTCTGTGACCAGGCCTCATGGTGAATCAGGGCATGATCAGCCAGGCTGTTACTGTTGGGTGCACACAAACTGACGTATGAACCACAGCCGGGCTGGACAGGTACTGACTTTAGGTGCTTGTCTAGTGCCTTCTTGAAGACAGTCAGGGGTCTATTGGTAACCCCCCTTATGTATGCTGGGAGGCAGTTGAACAGTCTTGGGCCCCTGACACTTATTGTATTGTCTCATATCGTGCTAGTGACACCCCTGCTTTTCATTGAGGAAATATTGCATCATCAGCTGAGTCCTTTGCTGTCACAGGGAGTGATTTTCGTGTGCAAGTTTGGTACTAGTCCCTCTAGGATTTTCCAAGTCTATATAATCATGTATCTCTCCCACCTGCATTCTAGGGAGTACAGGTTGAGGAACTTTAAGCGTTCCCAGTAATTAAGGTGTTTTATCACATTTATTTATGCCATGAAGGTTCTCTGTACATTTTCTAGGTCAGCAATTTCACCTGCCTTGAAAGGTGCTGTTAGTGTGCAGCAATATTCCAGCCTAGATAGAACAAGAGACCTGAAGAGTGTCATCATGGGCTTGGCATCCCTAGTTTTGAAGGTTCTCATTATCCATCCTGTCATTTTTCTAGCAGATGCGATTGATATGCTTTTACGGTCTTTGAAGGTGAGATCTTCTGACATGATCACTCCCAGATCTTTGACATTAGTTTTTCGCTCTATTGTGTGGTTGGAATTTGTTTTATACTCCGATATAGTTTTAATTTCTTCACGTTTTCCATATCGGAGTAATTGAAATTTCTCGTTATTGAACTTCATATTGTTTTCTGCGGCCCATTTAAAGATTTGGTTGATGTTCGCCTAGAGTCTTGTTCAGATTTTTAACCCTAGAGGGTTAGCCACCCAGAACAACCCAAGTAAGGCAGTGTGTCATTGAGGGACTGTCTGTCTTATTTCCATTGTGGTCTTCAATTTTGTCCCCCAGGATGCAACCCACACCAGTCTACAAACACCCAGACACCTACCTACTTGCTAGGTAAACGGAGACAACAGTTGTAAGGAAACACGCCTAATGTTTTTACCCTTGCCGAGGATTGAACCATGGACACTGTGTGTGAGGAGAGAGTGTTGCCTACTAGGTCACAGGCTTCTTAATTATTCTTAATCCCTTTTTTTCTTTCCAACTTAGGAGGCTTAACCTGCGACGATGATCATGAAGGAAATAACACCTAGAACCATTAACAGATAACATGGCAACAATCACATTTGATTGCTGCTCCCTTCCTCATTCATCTTTGTGTACTGTCAGACTCTCTCATAATACATCCTTAGTGATTGCTACTGTGTACAAAATACCTTATAAATCTAATTTTGTCTAAATCTGTGGAACAGTTGTGTCAGATCGGAAATAATACATTATTGTGTTTGGGTGAAAATTGGTTTGATTCATACACTGTAGGTGGTAATATAGTATGTATTTATATTTTCTGTTATTTCCATGCAAAGTGATGTGATAGTGGTGCCTTGCTTTATAGTGTTTTACCAGTGCACTGGTTTTCAATTATACCCATTCTTCATTTATTCAGACTTCCTACAATAATATATATTCACCACTCACTATAAGCTAAGGACGAAAATATTTTAAGGTAAGTAATGTGTGTACTATATATGCATTTTTTTAGGCCTAGCTCTATTGCTGACTTATTATATGATAGTGTGAATATGTTATCAGGCTTTTATATGCATTTGAAAGTGAAAAAAGGATTCGTTTCACTTTACAGCAATTTTTGTTTTACAACAGTAGCCTGGAACCTAACCTGCTGTATAACCAGGGCCCTCCTGTTCATTTGTGTAGCTTTACAGTGTTTATTTGCATTAATAAAATATTAATGTTTAATTTTGTTTAGCATATTTTATCATTTAAATTTCATGGTGCAGTTCAGCCTTTTTTTTTTTTTAACTTTATTTAATTGTCTAATATTATGTCAAGACATTAGTATAAATTTTATTTAATTTTAAATGTTCTTTACATTTTTCTAGTCATTGTATTTTTTAACTTAAGTCTGAAACAAAAATTTTCAGTTAAAAGATGACGAAGGGTGATGCTGAGAAAACACCGCAGCAGTTGAAGGAGGAGGGAAACGAAGCATATAAAAATGGTGACTGGGACACTGCTATTGAAAAATATACTCAGGTGAGACAAAATAATCACAACTACTGATTGATGGTACATTTGTATCATTGAGAAAGCCCTTCGACAACTTTAGTTCTGATTTAAAGATGTCCACTTTATATACTTATAGCCTGTGCTTTAACTGAGGGGATTGAACATTTGTTTTGTCTTAAGTGATGGAATCAGATATGTAGATATGTTTAGATTTCTCTTATAGTCACAAGGACTATGCTAATTAAAATGCTACTTTTTTAACAGAGGCTGATGATTCTGTATAAGAAGTGAGACTAGTGGGAATTGATATATATATTGAAGGTATTGCCACTGAAATAAAAATTCTATTGGAAAGTAATAAAGTGGAGGTGATGCTCTTGTAAATAGCAGTTCCTTTAAGGAAGGTACCTTGATGCTACTTAATCCAAGGAATTGGACCTGCCCTTCCTTTTCTTGAATTGAACATAAATGCCTTCCATGCCTTCAGTAACTGTATGACCCCCTATGGGTTTGGCATTCTTCTGTGAATTTAATAATAATATAGGTAACTGCTTTTATAATGGTTAAGTCATTTAATGTAAATGATGCGTGTGTATGCATTGCTTCCAATCTAGGAACAGTATTTTAATGGAAATAGTGCGAAGTAGCCAAAAGAAGGTGTAAGTAGTGAAGATATATTATTACCAGTGTGATTTTTTTTCATGGGACAATCTTTCATTGATATACATTGGACCCCCGGATTAAGTTGTCGTCGGAATAAGTAACGTTTTTTTTTTTTGTCAAAATATTGGCTCAGTGAACGTCACTGAACTCGGTATAAGTCATTCATGTTGGAGCCTGAACGGCCCCAACATTCCATGTACAGCCAGTGTGCCATTGTTTACCAGCCAGTGAGGACGATCCCACGCATTCCTACGATACATTTGTATTATTCCATTCTTTTTAGTGCTTGTAACTGCTAAATAAGCCACCATGGGCCCAAAGAAAGCTTCTAGTGCCAGCCAGCCCTTTACCAAAGGGCTGAGAGAGAGGGAAGAATGTGTCTTTCAGTGATTCTGCAGCATGTATGATAATAAAGCAGCAGGAGTCTATAAAGGCTATAGCGCCAGCCAGCGATAAAGTGTAGCATTAGCAGTGTAGCAAGTAAGTTAAGCGATTAATCTATAGAAAAAGGACAGCACAAAACTAACTCCTCCATTGTTGTTGGAGGTATATAGGGCTACTGACTAACACCGCCACCTCTGCTGCCGCCTTCACCACCACTATACGTACGTATAAGGCTTATCTTTCATTGGCCCTTATACACCCAATAACAAACACACCACCACTCGTGACATTCTTAATGCCATATTTTATTCATTCTAGAGTATATATCATGTTTCTATTTATTAATATTGTTTATTATGTCATATTAGATGAATTGTGCTAGATAAATAAGTCATAGAGCTAATATTAGTGTCATATTGAAGGACTATCTTGTCCTGTCTCCCAACACAATTCCTAACATACGCCAGAAACAGACTTCTCTGTAACGTTTTTTTGAGCAACAGGGGTCTAGTGACTCAAGCTGGTCCTTGTGGCATTAAAAAATAAAGGAGGGAAGTAACCCAGGATAAGGACTTGGTACCTGGTACCTGAAGTCTTTATGGAAGGGGATCCCCCTTCCAAACAATTGTAAACTCCTCCATCCTCTCCCCTCCTCCCATCTTCCATACATTACCATGTCTTCAGTAAAGGTAAGTATGATGTTATTATTGTTTTATTCTTCATGTATCATTGTTTTCTGTGTAGGTAAATGTATATTTCATGTAGAAAACATTTTTTTAATACTTCTGGGTGTCTGAAACGGATTACTAATTGGATTTCCATTATTTCTTATGGGGAAAATTAATTTGGAATAAGTCAGATTAGGGATAAGCCACTCTCTCAGGAACGGATTAATTACGTAATCCGGGGGTCCACTGTATGTACAAAACCCACACCAAGTAAACCTTTGATTTAACAAACTTTGGAAATATGGAACAAAATCCACTTAGGCAGTTGATTTGGAAACAACGGACAGTCTATTAATTGCATAATTTTTCCATTTTTGTTATGATCATGGCAGAACAATCTCATCTTCTATTCACCATAGTCACCATTACTGCCTACCCACTCCTCTATTAGTCTATTAAAAAAAGGGTTTACTTATGCAAGGGTTTAGTTTCACTTCATTACTGTTTTTTGGGGGGAGTCTGTTATTAATTATATTTTTTCCTTCTTTGCTAGGCCATCACAATCAGTACTGAGGATAAAGACCGCTCAGTCTTTTACAAGAATCGTGCTGCTGTTCACCTCAAAATTGAGGATTTTGAGAACACTGTGAAAGATTGCACAGACTGTAAGTGTCATATACAGTATTATCATTTTTTATTCCTGTCTTTATTTCCTTTTATTCTTGTGAAGGGCTCTTGATCCAAGGATTTGGAGATACCCATCCCTTCATTGGATGAAACCTAGTTACCTAGCATTCCCCAGGCACTATGACCCCTTTAGGCTTAGTGCTTCCCTGTGAATTTAGTAAAAATAATTTAATTAATGTTAATTAGGGTATAGGTTACATATATTGAATACGGTGTATAGAAAATTAAGTAAACAAATCTTTTCCTTATCCTTATAATGTACTGCATAATACAGTGGACCCCCGCTTAACGATCACCTCCAAATGCGACCAATTATGTAAGTGTATTTATGTAAGTGCGTTTGTACGTGTATGTTTAGGGGTCTGAAATGGACTAATCTACTTCACAATATTCCTTATGGGGAAAAATTCGGTCAGTACTGGCACCTGAACATACTACTGGAATGAAAAAAGTTCGTTAAGCAGGGGTCCACTGTACATAAAAAAATAATTAGTAATATATTTTTTTATAAAACTTTTAATAAAAAAGAGCAAAAGCAATTTTTATGGCCATATATTAGGGGCTTGTGCCGTTTTGTTTTATTTCAATATTACAGTGTATATCTTAGCTATAGTAATATTGTTATTCAAATTGTATTTTCAAGAAGACTGTATACGTATTAAGAAATACTCTTTTGTAGCAATCTTGGATGATTTTATTTGTAATGCTTCAGAGCTTATTTTTAACCCCCAGGTCTTGAAATTAGTCCTAAAGATCCCAAGGCACTGTTCCGTCGAGCCCAAGCCTATGAGGCTCAAGAACATTTTGAAAAAGCTTATGCAGATGCCAGAGCACTTCAGATGATTGATCCAAAAAATAAAGATGTTCAGGAAATGCTGTCTAGGCTACACAAAATTGTGCAGGACCTAGTGAGTATGATTTGTGTTGTCTATTTTAATCTCCTCAAGGGAGGTTCCTTGATGTTGGTGGGGGGGCTCTTGATATAGGGAATTGGATTTGTGCTCCAGTCCTCTGAATTGATTCTGAATACTTTCCATTCATTCCCCTTCCCCACAGGCAGTGCATAATCCCTACGAGTTTAGCGCTCCTTCGTGATCATAATAATAATGTGTGTTGAAATCCTAGGTAGTAGGTTGGTAGACAGCAACCACCCAGGGAGGTACTACCGTCCTGCCAAGTGAGTGTAAAATGAAAGCCTGTAATTGTTTTACATGATGGTAGGATTTCTGGTGTCTTTTTTCTGTCTCTTAAACATGCAGGATTTCAGGTACATCTTGCTACTTCTGCTTACCCTTAGGTCACACTACACATACATGTGCAATCATATATATACATACCCCTCTGGGTTTTCTTCTATTTTCTTTCTAGTTCTTGTTTATTTCCTCTTATCTCCATGGGGAAGTGGAACAGAATTCTTCCTCCGTAAGCCATGCGTGTTGTAAGAAGCGACTAAAATGCCGGGAGCAAGGGGCTAGTAACCCCTTCTACTGTATAGATTACTAAATTTAAAAAGAGAAACTTTTTTATTTTCTTTTTGGGCCACCCTGCCTCGGTGGGATATGGCCGGTTTGTTGAAAAATAAAAAATATACACACACTCCTCTGGGTTTTCTTCTATTTTCTTACTAGTTCTTGCTCTTGTTTATTTCTTATCTCAGTGGGGAAGTGGAACAGAATTCTTCCTGTGTAAACAAAGCGTGTCATAAGAGGTGAGTACAATGCCGGGTGCAAGGGGCTAGTGACCCCTTCTCCTGTATACATTACTAAAGTTAAAAAGAGAAACTTTTGTTTTTCTTTTTGGGTCACCCTGCCTTGGTGGGATATGGCTGGTTTGTTGAAAGAAGTCTATTTAAATATAATTTTCCAAGACAGTACAGTATGTGCTGTTAGCGTTACAATTTTGCAGGGACTAATAATAAGTGTAAATTGTGTTACTAAGGTTACAAAAAATGTTTAGGGCATAGTACAATATAATATTTTTAAACACACTGGCTACTGCCCACCAAGATAGGGTGACCTTGAAAAAGGAAACACTTACCATCACTCATTCAATAGCTGTCTTGCCTGAAGTGTGCAGGCATCACAATTCAAATGACCCTCTGACCTTCAGTATTCCCACCCCTCCAGAGTGCAGGCACTGTACTTCCCAGCTCTAGTACTCAAGTGCAGCCAACCAGTTTTCCTTCAGGGTATTTTCAGTATTAACAAATAGTTTGAAAGCCATAGTATGATTTGGGCTATCAACTTTACACATCTTAATTGAAATATTAATTTTATACACACTGGCTGTCTCCCACCATGGTTGGGTTGACCAAAAAAAAAAAAAAGAAGAAGAAACACTTTTACCATCATTCACTCTGTCTCTGTCTTGCCAGATGCATGCTGATACTGCCATTCAGATGCCCCTCCAAACTGTAAATATCCCCACCCCTCATTCAGAGTGTACATACCATCTCCAGGACTCAAGTCTGGAGTTACTGGGGGATGATTTCTTCTCATCAGTCCCCTTCATCAGGCTCTATCCTGAGTGTGATCCCTAAACCATTTTCTCTTCGGCTGAAATCTTCAGTCATTATCATCATTGCTTCAGAAGTTTAATCACATAAAATACAATGAGTGTGTTACATTGAAGAACTTGAATTATGAGTTAAGAGTATAAAGAATAGTGCATTGGGTAATTGTGTAGCTAACTAGCTAGACTTCATTTTGCAATTCAGGTATTGTTGAAAACTGTTTTATGATTGCAATAGTTTCTGGAATACTTTATTTCATTCAAGTTTCAAGCAAGTGCTGTATTTTTTAACAATGAAACCTGCATTTATAATTGGAAAAGTTTTAAGCATAGCAGTTATAACTTAATCAGTTATTAATACAAATAATATTATAGTAGCATGGTAGTAGGTTGGCAGACAGCAACCACCCAGGGAAGTACTACCGTCCTGCCAGATGACTGTGAAACAGAAACCTGTAACTGTTTTGCATGATGGTAGGATTGCTGGTTTCTTTTTCTGTCTCATAAACACGCTAGATAACAGGGATATCTTGCTACTCCAATTTACACTTTGGTCACACTTCACAGACACGCACATGCATATATATATACATACATCTAGGTTTTTCTCCTTTTTCTAAATAACTCTTGTTCTTCTTTATTTCTTCTATTGTCCATGGGAAAGTGGAAAAGAATCTTTCCTCCGTAAGCCATGCGTGTCGTATGAGGCAACTAAAAATCCGGGAGCAATGGGCTAGTAACCCCTTCTCCTGTAGACATTTTACTAAAAAAGAGAAGAAGAAAAACTTTATAAAATTGGGATGCTTAAATGTGCGTGGATGTAGTGCGGATGACAAGAAACAGATGATTGCTGATGTTATGAATGAAAAGAAGTTGGATGTCCTGGCCCTAAGCGAAACAAAGCTGAAGGGGGTAGGGGAGTTTCGGTGGGGGGAAATAAATGGGATTAAATCTGGAGTATCTGAGAGAGTTAGAGCAAAGGAAGGGGTAGCAGTAATGTTGAAGGATCAGTTATGGAAGGAGAAAAGAGAATGTGAATGTGTAAATTCAAGAATTATGTGGATTAAAGTAAAGGTTGGATGCGAAAAGTGGGTCATAATAAGCGTGTATGCACCTGGAGAAGAGAGGAATGTAGAGGAGAGAGAAGAGATTTTGGGAGATGTTAAGTGAATGTATAGGAGCCTTTGAACCAAGTGAGAGAGTAATTGTGGTAGGGGACCTGAATGCTAAAGTAGGAGAAACTTTTAGAGAGGGTGTGGTAGGTAAGTTTTGGGGGTGCCAGGTGTAAATGATAATGGGAGCCCTTTGATTGAACTTTGTATAGAAGGGGGTTTAGTTATAGGTAATACATATTTTAAGAAAAAGAGGATAAATAAGTATACAAGATATGATGTAGGGCAAAATGACAGTAGTTTGTTGGATTATGTATTGGTAGATAAAAGACTGTTGAGTAGACTTCAGGATGTACATGTTTATAGAGGGGCCACAGATACATGTATATCAGATCACTTTCTAGTTGTAGCTACACTGAGAGTAAAAGGTAGATGGGATACAAGGAGAATAGAAGCATCAGGGAAGAGAGAGGTGAAGGTTTATAAACTAAAAGAGGAGGCAGTTAGGGTAAGATATAAACAGCTATTGGAGGATAGATGGGCTAATGAGAGCATAGGCAATGGGGTCGAAGAGGTATGGGGTAGGTTTAAAAATGTAGTGTTAGAGTGTTCAGCAGAAGTTTGTGGTTACAGGAAAGTGGGTGCGGGAGGGAAGAGGAGCGATTGGTGGAATGATGATGTAAAGAGAGTAGTAAGGGAGAAAAAGTTAGCATATGAGAAGTTTTTACAAAGTAGAAGTGATGCAAGGGGGAAGAGTATATGGAGAAAAAGAGAGAGGTTAAGAGAGTGGTGAAGCAATGTAAAAAGAGAGCAAATGAGAGAGTGGGTGAGATGTTATCAACAAATTTTGTTGAAAATAAGAAAAAGTTTTGGAGTGAGATTAACAAGTTAAGGAAGCCTAGAGAACAAATGGATTTATCAGTTAAAATAGGAGAGGAGAGTTATTAAATGGAGAGTTAGAGGTATTGGGAAGATGGAGGGAATATTTTGAGGAATTGTTAAATGTTGATGAAGATAGGGAAGCTGTGATTTCGTGTATAGGGCAAGGAGGAATAACATCTTGTAGGAGTGAGGAAGAGCCAGTTGTGAGTGTGGGGGAAGTTTGTGAGGCAGTAGGTAAAATGAAAGGGGTAAGGCAGCCGGGATTGATGGGATAAAGTAGAAATGTTAAAAGCAGGTGGGGATAGTTTTGGAGTGGTTGGTGCAATTATTTAATAAATGTATGGAAGAGGGTAAGGTACCTAGGGATTGGCAGAGAGCATGCATAGTTCCTTTGTATAAAGGCAAAGGGGACAAAAGAGAGTGCAAAAGTTATAGGGGGATAAGTCTGTTTGAGTATACCTGGTAAAGTGTATGGTAGAGTTATTATTGAAAGAATTAAGAGTAAGACGGAGAATAGGATAGCAGAATGAACAAGGAGGCTTTAGGAAAGGTAGGGGGTGTGTGGACCAGGTGTTTACAGTGAAACATATAAGTGAACAGTATTTAGATAAGGCTAAAGAGGTCTTTGTGGCATTTATGGATTTGGAAAAGGCGTATGACAGGGTGGATAGGGGGGCAGTGTGGCAGATGTTGCAGGTGTATGGTGTAGGAGGTAGGTTACTGAAAGCAGTGAAGAGTTTTTACAAGGATAGTGAGGCTCAAGTTAGAGTATGTAGGAAAGAGGGAAATTATTTCCCAGTAAAGTAGGCCTTAGACAAGGATGTGTGATGTCACCGTGGTTGTTTAATATATTTATAGATGGGGTTGTAAGAGAAGTAAATGCGAGGGTCTTGGCAAGAGGTGTGGTGTTAAAAGATAAAGAATCACACATAAAGTGGGAATTGTCACAGTTGCTCTTTGCTGATGACACTGTGCTCTTGGGAGATTCTGAAGAGAAGTTGCAGAGATTGGTGGATGAATTTGGTAGGGTGTGCAAAAGAAGAAAATTAAAAGTGAATACAGGAAAGAGTAAGGTTATGAGGATAACAAAAAGATTAGGTGATGAAAGATTGGATATCAGATTGGAGGGAGAGAGTATGGAGGAGGTGAATGTATTCAGATATTTGGGAGTGGACGTGCCAGCGGATGGGTCTATGAAAGATGAGGTGAATCATAGAATTGATCAGGGGAAAAGGGTGACTGGTGCACTTAGGAGTCTGTGGAGACAAAGAACTTTGTCCTTGGAGGCAAAGAGGGAATGTATGAGAGTATAGTTTTACCAACGCTCTTACATGGGTGTGAAGCATGGGTGATGAATGTTGCAGCGAGGGGAAGGCTGGAGGCAGTGAGATGTCATGTCTGAGGGCAATGTGTGGTGTGAATATAATGCAGAGAATTCGTAGTTTGGAAGTTAGGAGGAGGTGCGGGATTACAAAAACTGTTGTCCAGAGGGCTGAGGAAGGGTTGTTTGAGGTGGTTCAGACATGTAGAGAGAATGGAGAGAAACAGAGTGACTTCAAGAGTGTATCAGTCTGTAGTTTGGGGAAGGAAGGCAGGGTAGGGGTCGGCCTAGGAAAGGTTGGAGGGACGGGGGTAAAGGAGGTTTTGTGTGCGAGGCTTCGACTTCCAGCAGGCATGCGTGAGCGTGTTTGATAGGAGTGAATGGAGACAAATGGTTTTTAACCCTTTCAGGGTCCAAGGCCAAAATCTGAAGTCACGCACCAGTGTCCAAGAATTTTGAAAAAAAAAAATTGTTATTTTTTCTTATGAAATAGTAGAGAATCTTTTTGTGAAGGTAATAAAACAAAAGTACGAAATTTGGTGGAAAATTGACGAAATTATGCTCTCGCGAATTTTGATGTGTCAGCGATATTTACGAATCAGCGATTTTGCCGACTTTGACTCCCATTTTAGGCCAATTATATTATTCCAATCAAACAAATTCTTAGCTATTTCACTAGTATTACTTCTATTCTATCGATTGAGCACAAGAAATCGCCAAGTCAACTGTTTCAACTACAAAATAAAGTGATCGGAAATTGTTAATTTGGCCAATTTAACACAAAGTTCAAAATATTCCAATTTCAAATATAGGTCCAGAATAAACAATGTAGGTATTCCTGGAACTAAACTAAATTTCCTCTGTTCATTAGTTACATTTGAGGCTTTACAAATAAATCCATTTTGATTTTTCTTCACATAATGAATTTTATTCACACCAAAAAATAGAAAAATTTACTGTTATGCAATACTGTAATAATTGTATAAATATCATCACCATATTGTGAATGTATATTAACCCACAGCTGACGTGTATTAGATGTGTGAGGTCGTTTGTTTACTCTTGAATATCGGCAAAAAATTTAACATTTCCGCTACTTTGAGCTCAGTTTCAAGCCATTTCCAGTGCTAAAACCAATCAAATCATCTCTATTTCTGTAATATGTCTTCCATTCTATCAAATGAGACCAAGAAATCGCAAATACAACTATAAAAAACATTGCAAAGTCGCTGTTTTAATCGAAAAATCATGATTTCAGTTTTTTTCTCTCATTATACACAGTGTGCTGCAGGATCTGTTTTATGTGGTGCACACATACCACATAGATGCATTCTCTCATATCTAGGCCCAAATGTACCACTCACAGTTTATCAGAGTGAGCTGAGCTCATGGCGTAGATCTACGGTTTGGACACTCACCGTAAAGCCGTAGATCTACGGGACGGACCCTGAAAGGGTTAATACTTGACGTGCTGTTAGAGTGTAAGCAAAGTAACATTTATGAAGGGATTCAGGGAAACCGGCAGGCCGGACTTGAGTCCTGGAGATGGGAAGTACAGTGCCTGCACTCTGAAGGAGGGGTGTTAATGTTGCAGTTTAAAAACTGTAGTGTAAAGCACCCTTCTGGCAAGACAGTGATGGAGTGAATGATGGTGAAAGTTTTTCTTTTTCGGGCCACCCTGCCTTGGTGGGAATCGGCCAGTGTGATAATAAAAAATAAAAAATAGTATTATAGTGATACCTCCACATCCGAACTATATGGGCTGAGACCAGTTCGGAAACACGGAGCTTCTGGATAAGTGAGGGGGGGAAAATGTACATCCATACCATCATATTGCCATTGGCGACGGTGTTGTAGGTTTAAAAAATGAGTCCAACATCGTCTGGTGGTGGGACTAGACACTCTGGGCTCAAATAATAGCCTCCCAGATTTCTGCAGCCATTTTAAGTTCAGGGCCACGAACCATCATACCACTACCAATTTGTTGTAGGTACCACTTCATCATGCACTGATAGAGTTCAAAGCTCTGTGGCTTCATTATCACTTTTCTTTCGGCACTTTTTCCAGTTTTTGAGGCAGCAGAAAACATCCAAGTGGCTGTTCAGAAGTTTCGGTAATAATTTTAGAATTTTGCCCTTTCCCAGGGCCTGTTCGGATATTGGCAAGGTTCAGATAATGGCAGGCTGGATATGCGACATATCATTGTAACTGTGTTGCATGAGGTGAGAAGTACAATACCTACATATACTCTGTTCAAAAGGCCATTTGAATCATGATACCTTTGCACATCTGGCAAGATACTTATTGAATGAGTGATGGTAAATATGTTTCCTTCTTTAGGTTGTCCTTGCTTGGTGGGAAATTCCCAATGTGGTAATACAGTAACTTTAACAGTACATTATATAATTATTTTCTAGGGAAATTAAATTAATTTAAAAGCAATACTACAAGCATTACTGGAACTCATAGTGTTATATCTGATAGCTCAGAGGGCAGGACTGGAGTTTTATCCTTCATTTTCTGTTCAGCATTATCTCTGGACATAATTAGTAAATTGCAAATGCATATAAAAATTTTTGTAATCATAAATGTAATTTTTCTATCATTGATGCTTTTACAGATTGAAGAAAAAACTAAAACATCAGGAAAAGTTCAGCAACTGTTTGAAATTCTTTTTGATTCAGGTTGTGAAAAAGATAAGAGAGAAACTTGTGCCAACAACCTTGTGGCTTTGGCTAAGGAACGAGCAGGTAAGTTGTTATATGTATCTTATAGTGGATGATAGTCACATTCTTGTTAACATAAGATTCCTCTTAGAATGTTTTTGAGGGAAAACCAACTTGCGTACATTGTCCCATGATACCTCACCCCACAAAGTTTATTACATCTCTTGTAAAGAATGGTGTAAACCCCATCCCTTTCCCCCTCCCACACACACACACACACACACACACACACACACACAGGGGCCAGGAGCTAAGACTCGAACCCTGCAACCACAAATAGGTGAGTGCATGCACACACACACACACACACACAGTGGGTGCAGACGTGGGTGCAGACGTGGGTGCACAAGGCTCCGAGACCTTAGTGTTTTTAAGGCGTGCAGTAACTGCTAGCAGTAAACAGTGGTAGTGACAACGTCAGTGAACAATCCTACGAGTGATAACTAAAGTTATTAGTTAAGATAAAGTCGAGAGGAAGCCTGAAATCATTAATATTTCAAAGTGCCAAACCGTTGGGGGTCTATTAGGCACTGTTGCCACAGATTCAAATATACAAAGATCAAAGTGAGTGTGGAAGCGGGTGTTCAAGAATTACCAGCGTTTGGTTAACAAGTGAAATGTGGGGCACCATACAGTGAGAGTGAAAAAGTTAATAAGCAAAAGGAGAAAGGAAATATAAAATATACAACAAGGGAAGATGGCAGTAGTAAGCCTGCTGAAGCAGTGACATCACAACAGTTGTATGCCATTATACATATAAAGTGTAACACCGAATGTGAAGTGTATTCTGTCATAAGTGAAAAGTGAAATCACTTGAGGAATGCGGGATGCATGAGCATATATGGTTATAAACATCACGGGTGAAGGATTTACAAAATAGTGATAGAAGGCCTATGTACGGCGACTACGTCATCAGCATCTGGCAGCTTGTCATCACACCGCTGCCAGCGCAAGTATTGCTCATCTGTTGAGGTTGTATGTTGTGGGGTTCTGAATCCTGGTCTTGCATCACTGTTAGATACTGGTTACTCACTCCTGCAAGCTATTACCAGAATTAGAGTAAAAATAGCATAGACGAGAGTGCAAGGAGTAAAGCGGTAGTGAGGGATAATGTCAGACACTTAAGCACACACACACATACACACACATACACACACATACACACACACATACACACACACACATACACACACACACATACACACACACACACACACACACACACACACACACACACACACACACACACACATACACACAGGAACAAGCACTTGTAAAAGCTGTAGTACACATGCCGCACACACACATACACAGGATTTCACACCTTCCTGTGAACTGACCATCTTAACCTCACTCCTCTCTCTCTCTCTCCCTCTCTCACTATCTGTCTCCCTCTCTACCTATCTCTCTACTTATCTCACTCTTTACCTATCTCTCTCTACCTATCTCTCTCTACCTATCACTCTACCTATCTCTCTCTACCTATCTCTCTCTCCCTCTCCATCTCTTCCCTCTCCCATCTCTTCCCTCTAACACCTCCTCCCCTCTAACATCTCTCCCCTCTCTTTATCTCTCCCCTCTCCCTTTTCCCATCTCTCTCCCCTCCTCCCCTCTCTCTCCCCTCTCTTCCATCTCCCCCCTCTTCTCCCCTTCTCCCCTTCTCTCCCCCTCTCCTTCTCTCTTTGCCCTCTCTCTCTCTCTTTCTATCTCTCACTCTCTTCCCCCTTTTCCCTTCTCACTCTCCCCCTCTCTCCTTCTACATTTCCCTTCTCTCTCTCTCTCTCTCTCTCTCTCTCTCTCTCTCTCTCTCTCTCTCTCTCTCTCTCTCTCTCTCTCTCTCTCTCTCTCTCCCCCCCTTTTTCCTTCTCACTCTCCCCCTCTCTCCTTCCTTTCCCTTCTCTCTCTCTCTCTTCCCCATTTTCCCTTCTCTCTCTCTCTTCCCCATTTTCCCTTCTCACTCTCCCCCTCTCCTACCCTTCCCTTCTCTCTCTCTCTCCCCCTTTTTCCTTCTCACTCTCCCCCTCTCTCTCTCCTACCTTCCCTTTTTTTTTTTTTTTTTTTTTTTTTTTTTTTTTTTTTTACACAGGGTTTGACAAGGTTAAGGATCCCTAGCTTTATTGACAGCTATTTACAGGTTAAGGATTCCTAACTTTATTGGCAAGCTAAGAGCTGTTACCTACATCAGCTCATTTGAAAGCATTTTTGTTATGAGACATACAAGTAGGGAACAGGATGAAGTTGGAGCCATCTGTGGGCCAGCATTTTCATTTGATCAACTGACGTTATCTCACTCTCTCTCTCTCTCTTACCCTTCCCTTCTCTCTCTTTCCCCCCCTCTCTCTCACTCTCCCCCTTTCCCTTCTCACTCTCCCCCTCTCTCTCTCTTTCTACCTTTCCCTTCTCTCTCTCTCTCAAAAAAAAAAAATGGTGGGGACTTGCAGGAACCAGGGATCAGATGAGAATGGTTCTGGTAGGGAGAAAGCAGACGAAAAGGATGGAACAAGAGTGGGAGAGAAAATTAGGAGAGCTTTCTGAAAAAATGGAGAAAGAGCTCTCTGTGAAATTGGAAAAGAGGTTGGAGAAGGAGACAAAGAATTGGGAGGCACAAGTCGAAACTGCAGTAGCCAGGATAAGGGTCCTAGTCTAAGTTTAGATAAACAGGCTGAAGCGAGTTACAGGCGCAGTGACCAGAGAAGACACAGCATATGAAGCTGAGAGGCCGAACAGGAAGGAAGGAGATATGAATTATGCTAAGGTCATATCAGCCTGCCAAGGAGTGAAAGGGAAGAACAGCTGGGTGCAGATGGAGAGGGTGATAGGTCGAATGCTGAAGCACAACCACACTACCAAGAGCCACTGGAAAAATCAAGGGAGAAAATGACCACATACAGACAGGATCCAGAGTCACAGAGGGTGAGGCAATGGAAGGAGGAAAGGGCAAAATCAGTGTTTATCCATGGGCTTCAGGAGAGAGAGGAAAGGACACTGAAAGGCAGCAGAAAGAAAGAAAGGAGATTGAGAAAATCTCATGAAAATAGGTGAAGAAGAGATGGATGAGATTGTAAATTTTCAGAGAATAGGGGGGTACTTGAAGGGGAGAAACCGACCGATCAAGCTGATTCTCAGGACGGAAACAGTGTGGCACAGGATCCTCCAAGAGAAACCACGGTTGAAATACTCAGAAGAGTACAAGAGGGTGTTCCTAGACAGAGACAGAGCACAAACAGAACGACAGCAGCTGAGGGAGAGGACAAAAAAGCGAAAGGAGCTAGGAAAGGAGACAAGGATGGAACCAGCAGAAGTCAGTCAGAGCAGAACAGAGCAGCAAGGGCAAGCACACACACAACTATCCTCAGAACCCCACAACCTACCACACCATCCCAACACATACTACAATCCATACCCCCAGCTTCCACCCAACACCGAGCTATAGAATCCCACAGTATGTTACCAGGTCTCCCACCCTTACAGGCCCCCCAAACCACAGTGTTGGAAAGGAAACTGAAGGTATGGTACACAAACGCTGATGGAATAACAAATAAGTGGGACGAGTGGCACGAAAGAGTCAAAGAGGCATCACTGGACATCATAGCTCTCACAGAAACCAAGCTTATGGGTATGATAACAGATGCCATCTTTCCAACAGGATACCAGATCCTGAGGAAAGACAGAGGGAACAGGGGGGTGGAGGAGTGGCACTGCTGATCAAAAACCGATGGAATTTTGATGAGCTGGAGAGAGGAGACAGCGGAGAAGAAAGTGATTACATAGCGGGAACGCTTCACTCTGGAGGTCCCAAGGTGGTAATTGCAGTGATGTATAACCCACCACAGAACAGCAGGAGGCCAAGGCAAGAGTATGACGAGAGCAATAGAGTGATGGTTGACACACTGACTGCAGTGGCCAGAAGAGCTCATGCATTCAGGGCAAAGCTCCTGATCATGGGTGACTTTAAGCACAAGGAGATCAATTGGGAGAACTTGGAGCCACATGGGGGCCAAGATACATGGAGGGCTAAGATGATGGAGGTGGTACTGGAAAACTTCATGTACCAACACGTAAGGGACACTACAAGAGAGAGAGAGGAGAGGATGAACCAGCAAGACTGGACTTGGTATTCACCTTGATTAGTGCAGATATTGAGGACATCACATGTGAAAGACCCCTTGGGGCCAGCGATCATGTGGTTTTAAGCTTCGAATACACAGTAGAGCTACAAGTGGAGGGGGAAGCAGGAAGGCCAGGACGAATGAAGCCAAACTACAAGGGGACTACACGGGAATGAGGAACTCCCTGAACGGGGTTCAGTGGGACAGAGAACTGGCAGGGAAGCCAGTTAATGAGATGATGGAATATGTAGCAACAATGTGCAAGGAGGCTGAGGAGAGGTTTGTACCCAAGGGTAACGGGATAATGAAAAAGCCAGGATGAGCCCATGGTTCACCCAAAGGTGCAGGGAGGCAAAAACCAAGTTTTGCTAGGGAATGGAAGAAATATAGAAGGAAAAGGGAAACCCAGGAGAAAATTAAGGGAGCATCGTAGATTTCAGAAACGAATATGCACAGATAAAAAGGGGAGGCCCAACGACTATGAAAACGACATAGCAGCGAAGCCAAATCTGACCCGAAACTGTTTTTATAAGCCACATCAGGAGGAAAACAACAGTCAAGGACCAGGTAATCAGGCAAAGGGAAAGGAAAGGGAAAGGGGAGGAGAGACAACAAGAAATGACCGTGAAGTATGTGAGGAACTCAACAAGAGATTCAAAGAAGTGTTCACAGAGGAGACAGAAGGGGCTCCAGAAAGACAGAGAGGTGGGGGCACACCACCAAGTGCTGGACACAGTGCACACAACCGAGGAAGAAATGAAGAGGCTTCTGAGTGAGCTAGATACCTCAAAGGCAATGGGGCCAGAAAACATCTCCCCATGGGTCCTGAGAGAGGGGGCAGAGGCACTATGTGTAACCCCTAACAACAAAATTCAATACATTTATCGAAACAGGGAGATTGCCTGAGGCATGGAAGACAGCAAATGTAGTCCCAATCTTTAAAAAGGAGACAGACATGGAAACACTAAACTAGACCAGTGTCACTGACAGTATAGTATGCAAAATCATGGAGAAGATTATCAGGAGAAGAGAGGGGGAACACCCAGAAAGAATGATCTCATCAACAGCACCAACATGGTTTCAGGGGTGGGAAATCTGTGTCACAAACCTACTGGAGTTCTATGACATGGTAACAGCAGTAAGACAAGAGAGAGAGGGGTGGGTGGATTGCATATTCTTGGACTGCAAGAAGGCGTTTGACACAGTTCCACACGAGATTAGTGCAAAAACTGGAGACCAAGCAGGGATAACCAGGGGGAAGCACTACAGTGGATCAGGGAATACTTTTCAGGAAGACAGCAGCGAGTCATGGTACGTGGGGAGGTGTCAGAGTGGGCACCTGTGCCGCGGGGTCCCACAGGGGTCAGTCCTAGGACCAGTGCTGTTTCTGGGATTTTTGAACGACATGACGGAAGGAATAGACCCGAGGTGTCCCTGTTTGCAGATGACGTGAAGTTGAGAGAAGAATTCACTCGATCAAGACCAGCAGAACTACAAAGGGATCTGGACAGGCTGCAGACCTGGTCCAGCAATTGGCTCCTGGAGTTCAGTCCCACCAAGTGCAAAGTCATGAAGATTGGGGAAGAGCAAAGAAGACTGCAGACGGAGTACAGTCTAGGGGGCCAGAGACTACAAACCTCACTCAAGGAAAAAGATCTTGGGGTGAGTATAACACCAGGCACATCTCCTGAAGCGCACATCAACCAAATAATGGCTGCTGCATATGGGCGCCTAGCAAACCTCAGAACAGCATTCCGACATCTTAATAAGGAGTCGTTCAGGGCCCTGTACACCGTGTACGTTAGGCCCATATTGGAGTATGCGGCACCAGTTTGGAACCCACACCTAGCCAAGCATGTAAAGAAACTAGAGAAAGTGCAAAGGTTTGCCACAAGACTAGTCCCAGAGCTAAGAGGTATGTCCTACGAGGAGAGGTTAAGGGAAATCAACCTGACGACACTGGAGGACAGGAGAGATAGGGGGGACATGATAAACGACTTACAAAATACTGAGAGGAATTGACAAGGTGGACAAAGACAGGATGTTCCAGAGACTGGACACAGCAACAAGGGGACACAGTTGGAAGCTGAAGACACAGATGAATCACAGGGATGTTAGGAAGTATTTCTTCAGCCACAGAGTAGTCAGGAAGTGGAATAGTTTGGGAAGAGATGTAGTGGAGGCAGGATCCATACTTAGCTTTAAGCAGAGGTACGATAAAGCTCATGGTTCAGGGAGAGTGAGCTAGTGGCGACCAGTGAAGAGGCGGGACCAGGAGCTTGGACTCGACCCCTGCAACCTCAACTAGGTGAGTACACACACACACACACACAACACACACACACACACACACACACACACACACACACACACACACACACACACACACACACACACACACACACACACTCACTCACTCACTCACTCACACTCACACTCTCACTTCTCATTCCCTCATTCTCTCTCATTCTCTCTCATTCTTTCTCACTCTCATTCTCTTACTCTCCTTTTCTCACTCATTCTCTCACTCTCTCTCGTTATCTCACTCATTCTCTCTCATTCTCTCATTTTCTCTCTCTGTCTCTCTCTCTCTCTCTCTCATCTCTCTCTCTCTCTCTCTCTCTCACTCTCTCTCTCTCTCTCTCTCTCTCTCTCTCTCACTCACTCACTCACTCACTCACTCTCACTACAAACTGTCAATATCCCAGACCCCTCCTTTAAAGTGCAGGCATTGTACTTCCCATTTCCAGGACTTAAGTCTGGCTAAATCTATAATAACCTGTTTCCCTGAATCCCTTCACTAAATATTACCCTGCTTACTCTCCAACACCTCGTCAAGTCCCAAAAACCATTCATCTCCATTTACTCCTATCTAACACATTCACACACACTTGCTGGAAGTCAAAGCCCCTTGCCCACAAAACCTCCTTTACTCCCTCCCTCCATATGTTGTGATAATAATGGACAATTCTGGAAACTGGACTTTGTCCATTGTCTGTATTTTGTCCATTACGTCCATTAAACCAAGATCTTACTGTATTTATATGACTAAGAATATCACAGAAATAATTATGCAATTACAAATCTTTTAAAAGACCTAACTAGGAATAATGGATAGATCCTAAATATGTATAAGTAGAATATTATTTTTCTCTACAGTAATAACTGATATAGTAAGATAAAAGCAGGTATATATATATATATATAGTTAAAATAATTTTGTGGATGAAGTGTTTGTGATGCAGCTACTTGTAAATGAAAATTGGTTAAAGCATTAGTTTGGAAAATAGTGGAACTGTAGGGTTGAGAGGTGATTAGTAGTTAAGGGAAAGAATTTTTTTTTTTGACAAACTGGCTGTCTCCCTCCAAGGTAAGGTGATCCAGAAAAGAAGAAACACTTACTATCATTCACTCCATCACTGTCTTGCCAGAGGGACACCAATACTATAGTTCAAAACTGCAAATATCCGCACCCCATCTAAGGTTCCAAAAATGATTTATAAACCCAAATTTGCTTTTCTTAAAAGAAAAAAATATTAACAGTAGGCTTGATAAGTGATGCTTTTTATTGGGTAGATCTCATAGCAAGTATTCTTTTTATTTTTTTAATAGGCTCTGAGCGTTGGAAGCAAATTGCTGGGACGTGATTCAGATGCGAAAACAAAAAGAATTTGAAATCAGAGTTGCTTTGCCAGAACTTGTCTAAATTTCTGCAAGGACTTGGAGAGGGTAAGTATTCTGTTTTACAAAATTTGTGATTATGGAAAAAATTTCCCTTATGATGTTTATTAAAAATGTTAATACATTAGATTTCCCTAAAAAGGCGCCATGTTCATGAGAAAATTGCAGCATGATCAGACTTTTGGGCAATACCTTACCATCAAAATTACCGATAAAACCCGATACCAATAACGGCACACCCGAGCTGGTTTAAGATTTTTCTAGGCCCCGGGGCTACGGGTCCGGGGGGCCCAAGTGATTTTTTCAAAAGAAAAAAAAATAATCCAAACAGTCGTTTTCATCATATATGTGATAAAAATATATAAACGTAGTGTAAAGGTAAAAAAGTTAAAGGGGAACAAGGTAAGTAAGGTATGGGGGGTACAAACGATTTAGATAAAGAAAAATTTAGCTTAGACAAAATTGGAAAAGGGGGGGGTGTCCTGTTAATGTGGCATTTTGCCAAGAAGAGGTTTGGGTAATGAAGGTTGTCCAAGCAATTGGTATTAATTGTTGGTGGAAAAACACTGTAAGGATAATGCAGTACCTTTATTGACAATGGGACAATTTCTAGGGCGAAATGACAGTAGCCGGGGATGGGGTTCATTTACCCAGGGAGGTGTGGGTTTCTTGCTAACTCAGTTGGGGGGGTTTTGGGACTTTAAATAGGTTAGTTAGAGGATGGGTTTAGAAATGATTAATAAGAGTATATATTTGACTTATGCTCTGATTTAAGAATCTTAATAGAAACTGTCAGGATTTAAAACTCTGGTTAATGATAATTTCAGAAATTGTGTAAAACAAGATGAATGGGAAAAAATGTGCAGAAGAAAAAACATTTGATGGTTTTTTTTATGTAACAGTCGAAGTGCAAGAAATAAAATTAATGAACACGTTTGGTAGCATGTGCGGGAACTTTGTTCTTTGCTTAACAAAACGTGGTATGATTTAAAGACGGGATATGACTGCTGGTGTAATTTTCAGGGATTTAAGTTGTTCAAAGTGGATAGATGTAAGGGAAGGGGGGGAGGAGTTGTTGTATGTTTGAGAAAAATATTTAATGTTGCATAAAAAAAAGGTATAAAAATAGATGGAGCGTTAAAAAAGTCGTTTGGGTAGAGTTCGTGGAGGGTCAAGAAAAACTAATTTGGTGTAAAATTACCCACCTCCAGGTTGGTCACGATAGAGGGGGATTTTTGGGGCAAATTGTTAGGGGTTCTGGACACAGTAAAATATCATAGTAGGGGGCTTTAAATTAGCCAAATTGCGGAATTCTTTGACAGGTAATCTAGGGGTCCGTGACTTCATGGGAAAAAGTTCAGGACTGTTTTCTGAAAAAGGTGTAACTGGCCTACCAGGGGGATAATTTCAGACCCAGTCTTGTCAAATTAAAAACACTCGTAATAACTGGAGATCACTGAAGATTTTTCGCAAGTGATCACAAAACCCACTTTTAGCATTAATTGGGAAAGCAAGAATAATGATAAAAGTAAAATCCCTGATTTTGTTCTGCCGATTATAATGGATTAGGGACATCTTCTAATTTGATTGGGGTTATCTAGCTAATGATTTATTGCGATAATCTACTCATGAATATAAGGGGCTGCTTTTATGATTGTTTTCTTAATAAGTAACAGTGCCCAGGTTATACATTCCTCAGAGAAAAATTAGGCAATAAAACGATCCCAAAAGGGTTAACAGGAGGCTAAAGCATCTTTAGGGGAGAAAAAGGGGAAAAATTTTTAAAGGGGCTCAGAAGAGGAGAGGGTTAACCTTTCTGACCAATATGTTAGCTTAAAAGAGAATAAAAAGGCGATTAGAAAGGCTAAAAAGTGACTTGAAATTAGAGTTGAATGAATCAAAGACAAACCAAAGGGGTTTTTCAAATGTATAGGACGAAGGTGAAGGAAAAAAGTAGGGCCTCGAAATCGGGAAGGGGCACTGACAGAAAAAGAACGGGAAATGTGTTCCTTTTTAAGACTATTTTTTTTTCAGTTTTTTTTACAGGAAGTTAAAGAGATTCCCTAATTAAAAAATTATTTATCCCGATAATTTTTTTAACTAAAATTTTCTGTCACAGGACAGGTTATAAACAGATAGCAAAAATGAAACAAAAAAAAGCCCCGGGGCCCGATAGTTTTTTTCAAAGGGGACTTTAAGGAATCAAGATGGAGCTTGTCACCATTAAGAGTGTTTAATGCGTCCATCCTTACCAGGTTGTGCCCGAGTTGGGAAGATGGCTAAAGTGGTTCCCATATTCAAATCAGGGATAACCACTCCTTCAAAAATTTCCGTCCAATTACCTGACCAATGGGAAGTTATTAGAATAATTAAGTGACATTAACGAAATCACCTTAAGAGAAAATTGTAAAAGAATTCAGCATGGATTCACGAGAGGTCGTTCCTGCCTGACAAAATTACGACTTCTTCAATGAAAAAATTTGAGGCGTTACAGTGATAAGGAATATGTATTGTTTATTTGGATTTTAGTAAAGCCTTCGACAGAGTACCTCACAAGAGACTCTTAAGAAAGTGGCAGCTCATGGTATAGGAGGTAAAGTTCTAGCATGGATTGAGGCATGGCTTACCAATAGAAAGCAGAGAGTTACCATTAATGGAGTGAAATCTGAATGGGGATTAGTCACTAGTGGCGTTCCACAAGGATCGGGTTTTGGGCCCTCTCCTGTTTCATAATTTACATTAATGACCTTGATGAAGGATTACTAGTGACATGAGTAAATTTGCTGATGAACAAAGTTTAGGCCGTATAATTCACTCGAGGAGGATATCAATGAACTCCAGGATGATTTGAACAAATTAATGTCTTGGTCTGAAAAATGGCAGATGAAGTTTAATGGGGATAAGTGTAAGGTACTTGCCCTTGGTAATGAAATAACCCTCGAAGCTAAAATCTAGGTGAAGTAGAGCTTGGTCATACAGAATGTGAAAAAGACTTGGGAGTCATGGTAAGCAGAAATCTAAAGCCAAGACACCCAGTGCCTTAGTGTGCGCAACAAGGCCAACAGATACTTGGATTTATCTCAAGAAGTATAAGTAACAGAAGTCCAAAAGTTATTTACAGTCTTATACATCACTGGTGAGGCCTCATTTAGATTATGCTGCTCAGTTTTGGTCCCCTTACTACAGGATGGACTAGACTCATTAGAGAACATACAGAGAAGAATGACTAAAATGATTTACTGTGTAAGGAACCTCCCGTATGAAGATAGACTTAAAGCCTTAAATCCCACCCTCGGAGAGGCGTAGAATGAGGGGAGAAAATCTTGAAGTGGGATAATGGATGACGGGCATAAACAAGGGAGACATTAATAAAGTACTGAGGGTGTCCGAACCGGTAAGAACCAGGAATAATGGATTTAAGTTGGATAAATTTAGATTTAGAAAGGACATAGGTAAGTACTGGTTTTCTAACAGAGTTGTAGATGCATGGAACAGTCTTCCCAGTGGGGTGATAGAGGCTAGGACCTTGGGTAGCTTTAAGAAGAGACTGGACAAATATATGAGTGGGAGGGGCTGGGTTTGATTGGTGTTAAGGGGTACGGGAGTTATTTCTTGAGTAGCTTTAGGTAGATGTCGTTTTGATAAGGACCTGCCTCGTATGGGCCATTAGGCCTTCTGCAGTGTTCCTACATTCTTATGTTCTTATGTTCTTATATCTCATTGGAGGGAGGGAGTATGGAAGAAGTGAATGTGTTCAGATATTTGGGAGTTCTCTTGTCAGAAGATGGGTTTGTGAAGGATGAGCGTAACCATAGAATTGATGAAGGAAAAAAAGGCGAGTGGTGCGTTGAGGTATCTGTGGAGACATAGATAGTTATCCATGGGTGTGAAGCATGGGTTGTAAATGCTGCAGTGAGGAGACAGCTGGAGGCAGTGGAGATGTGTCTAAGGGCAATGTGTGGTGTTAATATTATGCAGAGAATTTGTAGTGTGGAAATTAGGAGGAGGTGTGGAGTACTAAAAGTATTAATCAGAGGGCTGAATAGGGGTTGTTGAGATGGTTTGGTCATTTAGAGAGGATGGAACAAAGTAGAATGACTTGGAGTGCGTATAGATCTATAGGGGGAGAAAGGTGGGGAACGGGTCATCCTCGAAAAGGTTGGAGGGGGGGTGTAAAGGAGGTTTTGTGGGCAAGGGGCTTGGATTTCCAGTAAGCGTGTGTGCGCGTGTTAGGTAGGAGTGAATGGAGATGAATTGTTTTTGGGACCTGACGAGCTGTTGGAGTGTGAGCAGGGTAATGTTTTGTGAAGGGATTCAGGGAAACCAGTTAACTAGACTTGAGTCCTGGAAATAGGAAGTACAATGCCTGCACTTTAAAGGAGGGGTTTGGGATATTGGCAGATTGGAGGGACATCTAAACTGTCACATCTGAGCGCCTCTGCAAAGACGGTGATTACGTGTGAGTGATGGTGAAAGTGTTGAATGATGATGAAAGTTTTTCTTTTTGGTTTTTTTTTTTTCTTTTTTTGGGTCACCCTGCCTCGGTGGGAAACAGCTGACATGTTAAAAAAAATGCTGTTTATATAAGAGATTTTTTTTAAACTTAAACTCATTTTTTAGTTTCAGCGGACCTAAATCTTTAAACATTGCTCTAACCTTGTTAATATTGATGTTCATTAGAAAAAGTGTTGAGAAACGAAGAGATTTGGGCATGAGAAACTTAAGTGAATTCATTTTCACGGAAACTGTATGATTCGTAAGATTAATTTTCAATTTAAAATTCATGTATGAAACCAAGAAAAAGATCATCCCCAAAAAATTTGTGTTTCTAGTCCAATTTGTACAGTTTAGTGCTTCCATGTGAACACAATATTAATTGTCCAGTTTGTGCCAAAAATAAAGTAAAACATTTGTACGTGTAATATCCTAATAGTGAAATAGAGATTGGGTGAATGATGGTAACTGTGTTTCCTTTTCTTTGGGTCATCCTGTCTTGGCAGATGAGCATTGAGGTATTAAAAAAATATAGTAATAATTTGCTTGTACATGTATCTCATTTGATAATTTTTTCTACCTTTTGATTTAAGAATTAAGAAAATGTGAATTAAGAATTAAGAAAATGATCCTCTTATCAGGTTAACTGCAATATACTGTACTGTATGTTTAATAATGTAAACTGTGGAATGTACATGCAGCTTCAGATTGCATTGTAAATGAGAAACTTCATCTACATCTCATATGAGATTTCTTAATGAGTTTGAAGCATTGCATTAATTATATTGCAGTTAACCTGATCCCATTTTACAAAGGTTGGTTATACTGCAGTTTACATAATTTTTTCTAAAAGCATTCATTGTTAGGCATTTTGATACATTTTTTTTTACACAACACCCATCTCCCACTGAGCAGGGCGATCCGAAAAAAAAAGAAACTTTGTTCCCGAAAAAAAAAGAAACTTTGTTCCCGAAAAAAAAGAAACTTTGTTCTTTTTCAGGTCAGAAATGTAAAAAGAAGAAACTAAGTTTCTTCTTTTTACATTTAGTAATTTATACAGAAGAGGTTACTAGCCCTTTGCTCCCAGAATTATGATATATCTTTCTTTCTTTCTTTCAACACATCGGCCGTATCCCACCTAGGCGGGGTGGCCCAAAAGGAAAAACGAAAGTTTCTCCTTTTTCATTTAGTAATACAGTGGACCCCCGCATAACGATTACCTCCGAATGCGACCAATTATGTAAGTGTATTTATGTAAGTGCGTTTGTACGTGTATGTTTGGGGGTCTGAAATGGACTAATCTACTTCACAATATTCCTTATGGGAATAAATTCGGTCAGTACTGGCACCTGAACATACTTATGGAGTGAAAAAATATCGTTAACCGGGGGTCCACTGTATATACAGGAGAAGAGGTTACTAGCCCCTTGCTCCCGGCATTTTAGTCGCCTCTTACAACGCGCATGGCTTATGGAGGAAGAATTCTGTTCCACTTCCCCATGGAGATAAGAGGAAATAAACAAGAATAAGAACTAGAAAGAAAATAGAAGAAAACCCAGAGGGGTGTGTATATATGTGCTTGTACATGTATGTGTTGTGTGACCTAAGTGTAAGTAGAAGTAGCAAGACGTACCTGAAATCTTGCATGTTTATGAGACAGAAAAAAGGACACCAGCAATCCTATTATGTAAAACAATTACAGGCTTTTGTTTTGCACTCACTTGGCAGGACGGTAGTACCTCCCTGGGCGGTTGCTGTCTACCAACCTACTACCTAGATTATGATATATATGTAAATAAATATATGAGCTTTTATCATTGAATGAATCATGCAGTTACCTATTGCTAGTCACAGGAACAGAGTAAAGGAGATATGGATTACTCTGAATGCTAGGTTCTTGAGCATCCAGTAGGCTTATGTGATCATGTTAGATTGAAATGAGCAGAGATGAGCAGTTTTTATGACATGTACTGTTGAAATATGAGCAAGGTAATATTTATAAAGGGATACAGGGAAAAACTGGTTAGCCAGGCTTGAGTCCTGGAGGTGAGGATTAGTTCCTGCATTCTAGAGGAAGGATGAGGATGTAGATGAATGGTTCAGAGAACCGACATGTTTCTGGTAAGACAGCAGTTGAATGAGTGGATGTGTTTTCCTCTTTTTTTGGGTCACCCTACCTTAGTGGGATATAGCTGATGTGTTAAAAACTAATTTGTTTGTATTTCCAGTGGCTGTAGATCTTAATGCTTCCTTTAGTTACTCATTCCATTGTTGATATAATCAAATATGTATGTTTTTATGTATGCATATGATGTGCTGTTGGAGTGTGAGCAAGATAACATTTATGAAGGGATTCAGGGAAACTGGCAAGCTGGACTTGAGTCCTGGAAATGGGAAGTACAGTGCCTGCACTCTGAAGGAGGGGTGTTAATGTTGCAGTTTTATAACTGCAGTATAAGCGCGCCTCTGGCAAGACAGTGATGGAGTGAATGACAATGAAAGTTTTTCTTATTCAGGCCACCCTACCTTGGTGGGAGATGGCCGATGTGTTAATAAAAAAAAATAATGTATATTGTATTTTCTTTTCATTGTTATCTTGATTGCATTTTTGCAGTGCAAGATTGTCCTGCAAGAGGTGGGTATACCCTGGCTTCTAGAGCTGATGAACAGTAAAGAACAAGCAATAGTCAATGCCACACAGTACACCTTCCAGACATTCTTCAACACCCTGGCTGGCATGGATATTAAACTAGAAAAGAAAGCTGATAAAAAACTCCTTGCAGGTAGGCTTTATATTCTTTCTTGATTTCAGAGACTTGTATGTGTTTTCAGAGACTTCTACCTTGTTTCAATCACTTTGACCAAGAATGGATGAACTATGGTACTGTGTTTCAATCACTTTGACCAAGATATGGATGAAACATTGTAACATAAAGGTTTTTCCCTGCTTAAAATGTCATAGGATTGTCAATTGTTGGCACATCCCATTGTCTACTCTGTTTCTTTGTAAAAAAAAATTAATGAACAAAATTTTCCTCTTAGCTTTGCATGGAACCATTTTTCACCATTAGATGAGTTTTATTCTTTTTCGGGTCACCTGCCTCAGTCAGAAATGGCCGATGTGCAAAAAAATAAAAAACTTAAGTAAACCCTCGTAATATTTGGACCCAGTTATAACGGGATTTTTTTAAAAATTTATGAGGCAAATTCATGGGAAAATTTGTACTGTTTTAAAAAAACTCGTGTTCTCTGCTTCCCATCGGGAATTACTTTTTAAAACTCTGTTTTTCAAATATTACAAGATGTATTTTAGCTACAGTACATTTTTAAAAAATTTATCTTCAAATCCCCCAGCTATAGGGGGTTTTTCTTTGTACTTAGAAAACCCAAAAATTGTAATTACCTTTGTAACCTTTAAAAAGAAATAAAACTTTTCTTTTTTATTTTTTAAGTCTTGATTTGTTTGAGTGATGTTTTATTTATTTTTTATCACACCGGCCGATTCCCCCCAAGGCAGGGGGGCCCGAAAAGAAAAACTTTCCCCCTCTTCACTCCTCATGTCTTCCAGAAGGGTCTTTACACTACATTTTTTAAACTGAAACATTAACCCCCCCCTTCAGGTGCGGGCACTGTATCCCATCCCCGGGCTCAAGTCCGCCTGCCGGTTTCCCTGAATCCCTTCATAAATGTACTTGCTCCACTCCAACAGCACGAAGTTTTAAAAAACCCATTTGCCCATTCACCCCTATCAAACACGAGCATCCTGCGGAAGTCAACCCCCTCGCACAACAAAACCTCCTTTACCCCCCCCCTCCAACCTTCCTGGGCCACCCCCTACCGCCTTCCTTCCCTACAAAAAGAAACACTCTTGAAGTCATTCTGTTTCGCTCCTTCTCTCTACTTGCCCGAACCCCCCTCAACAACCCTTTTCCTCACCCCTCTGGACAACATTTTGGAAATCCGCACCTCCTCCTAACTTAAAAAACCGTTTCTCTGCATTATATTCACCCCACACATTGCCCTCAACATGACATTTTTCCACGCCTCCAGCCTTCTCCTCGCGCAACTTCACACCCACGCTTCACACCCAATAAGAGCGTTGGTAAAACTAACTCCATACTTTCCCCCTTTTTGCCCCAAGGACAAAGTTTTTTGTCTCCACAGATTTAAGTGCACCATCACTCTTTTCCCTCATCAATTCTATGTTTAAAACCCTCTTTCAAACCACCCGCTGACCTCCACCCCAAATATCTGAATACGTTCACCTCCTAAAAATCCTCTCCCCCCAATTGTATTCAATCTTTCATCACCTAATTTTTTTGTTACCTATAACCTTATCTTTCCTGTATTCACCTTTAATTTTCTTCTTTTGCACACCCAAAACCAATTCATCCACCAATCTCTGCAACTTCTCTTCAGAATTTTTCCCAAAGCAAGTGTATCAGCAAAGAGAAAGCTGTGACAACTCCCCTTTGTGTTGATTCTTTATCTTTTAACTCCACCCTTTTCCCAAGCCCCTCGCATTTACTTCTCTTACCCCCCCATCATAAAAATTTTTTAAACAACCACGGTGACATCACACACCCTTGTCTAAGGCCTACTTTTTACGGGGAAAAATTCCCCTTTTCCCATACTCTAATTTTGAGCCTCACTATCCTCGAAAAAAACTCTTCACTGCTTAGTAACCCCTCCAACACCTACACTTGAAAAATTCTGCCACATTGCCCCCCTATCCACCCTGTCATACCCTTTTCCAAATCCAAAAAAGCCACAAAGACCTCTTTAGCCTTATCAAATTGTTCATTTATATGTTTCACTGTAAACACCGGTCCCACCCCCCCTACCTTTCCTAAAGCCTCCTGTTATTGCTATCCTATTCTCCGCTTACCTTAATTCTTTTAAATTTAACTCTACCTTTTAAACTTTACCAGGTACATCAACAACTTTTTCCCCCTATAATTTTTTGCACTCTCTTTTATCCCCTTGCCTTTATACAAAGGAATAGGCATGCTCTCTCCAACCCCAGGTCCCCTTTACCCTCTTCCATACATTTATTAAATAATTGACCAACCACTCCAAAACTAACCCCCCACCTGTTTTTTAACTTTCTATTTTTTATCCCATCAATCCCGGCCCCCTTACCCCCTTTATTTTACCTACTGCCCGAACTTCCCCCACACCCCAACTGACCTTCCCACCCTACAAGTTTTAAAATTTTCCTTGCCCTATACCGAAACACAGCTTCCCCTTTTTCATCAAAATTTAACAATTCCTCAAAATAAATTCTTCCATTTTCCAAAACCCTAATCTCCATTTAATAAACCCCCCTCTCCTATTTTTAATGACAAAACCTTTGTTTTTTAGGCTTTCTTAAATTTTAACCACTCCAAAACTTTTTCTTATTTTCAACAAAAATTTTTGTAAATCTCACCCACTCTCTCTTTTGCTCTCTTTTTTTTATTGCTTCACCACTTCTTAACTTTCCTTTTCTCCATATATCTTCCCCCTTGCATACTTTTTACTTTTTAAAAAAATTCTCATATGTAACTTTTTTTCCCCCCTTTCTACTCTCTTTACATCATCATTCCACCAACGCTCCTCTTCCCCCCCCCGCACCCACTTTCCCGAACCACAAACTTCTCTGAACACTCTAACACTCTTTTTTTAAAACCCACCCCCTCCTCTTTTCGCCCCCTTTCCTATGCTCCATTAGCCCATCTATCCTCCAATAGCGTTTTTACTTTCCCTAACTGCCCCCTCTTTTAGTTTATAAAACCCTTTTCCTCTCTCTTCCCCGATGCTTTTATTTCCTTTTATCCCCCCTACCTTTTTTCTCTCATGTACACAACTAAAAGTGTCGAATTTTTCTGTGGCCCTCATAAACATTGAGTGATGTATTCCCAAATTATGTCGAATACAGTTTAAAATCTGTCCCCGATTATTTTTTTTTATTTTTTTTTTCAAAAGTCACCTCTCCCACAGAGGCAGGGTGCCCAAGAAAAGAAAAAATCCCAAAAAAAAAATTCTTTCATCTCATTTAACAGTTTCACCTCCTCTACATAATCACTGTTTTTGCAGAGGCGCTCGATACAACATGTAGAAGATTTTAAAAAATATAGTATAAGACCCTCCAAAAAGCCAATATCCCAAAAACCCCCCTTTAAAGTACTTTCCCCTTTCCCGTACTCAGTCTGGCTTTATAAAAAAAACCGGTTTTCCCTGATCCCTTTACTAAATATTTCCCTGCTCACACTCCAACACTCGCGGGGCCCCAAAAAACCTTCACTCCATTTACTTCTTCTAACACGCTCACACACCTTGCTGAAAGTCCAAACCCTCTCCCACAAAACCTCCCTTTTTACCCCCTCCCTCCAACGTTTTTGAGGATGACCCCTACCCCCCTTCCTTCCCCTACAGATTTTTACATCTCCAAACTTCAACTTTGATCCATTCTCTCTAAATTCAAAACCACTCAAAAACCCCTCTTCACCCCCTTTACTAATACTTTTTTAACTCCACACCCTTTTCCTAAAATTTCCCCCCACTCCCCAAATTTTCTGCAAATTTTTAAAACCCCCACATGCCCTTTGACAGGACATCTCCACTGCCTCCCAAACCCCCTCCTCGCTGCAGTATTTAAGCCCCGGCCACACCCATATGAGATCGTTGGTCCACATACTTTCATACATTTTCCTTCTTTGCCTCCTTGGGTAACGTTTTTTGTCTCCACATATACCTTAATGCCCCCTCACCTTTTTTTTTTCCCTTTATCAATTCTGGGTTAAATTCATCCTTCAAAACCCCCTCTGACTGTCAACCCCCAAATTCTAAAAACATCACTTCTTCCATATCCTCTCTCCAAGGATATCCAATTTTTTTTTATTTTGATCATTTGATACCCCATACCTTACTCTTATCTATGTTTCCTTTCAACTTTCTACCTTTTCAACCCTCCCAAAATTGCCCCTAACCTTTGCAACTTTTCTTAGAATCTTCCATAAGCATCAAACCCCAGCAAAAAATAACTGTCATTTTCCATTTTATTTGATTTCCCATAATTTTTCCCCCCCTTTCCCCAAAAACCCTAGCTTTTTTTTTATGATTAATTTTTATTTTGTATTGTTTTTTCCTATAATACCCAAAAAACCCCCATTTTTTTCATTTCCAAATCAAAAGAAATGATAGTTTATGGCCACGTTTGTCTTATTTGGACCCAACGCACCAGAGTGGAATATGCCGAGATGCCCCTAATGAACTCTTCTCAAAACGGGGGTGGAACAAACTGGGCGGGGAGACAGGTTCGTCAGAATGGGAGGTATGGTTTCCAATTTTTTAACAAGCGGCCCCTCCCACCCGGGGAGGGGCCAAAAAAAAGAAAAAACCCCAAAAAGAAAATACGATTTCAGCATCATTCAGCACTTTCACCTCACTAAAAACCCAAAAAAATGTTTTTGCAGAGATGCTCAGGACCAACTTTAGAAGCTATAGTATAAAAGAAAAACATATCCCCCCAAAATGCTAATATCCCCAAAAAACCCCCTTTAGAGTGCAGGCATTGTACTTCCCATTTCCAGGACTCAAGTCTGGCTATATAAAAATAACTGGTTTCCCTGAATCCCTTCACTAAATATTACCCTGCTCACACTCCAACAGATCGTCAGGTCCCAGATACCATTCGTCTCCATTCACTCCTATCGAACACGCTCATGCACGCCTGCTGGAAGTCCAAGCCCCTCACCCACAAAACCTCCCTTACCCCTTCCTTCCTTGTTTAAATTAGAACTAGTCACATAGAGAATTTGCTTTATAATGTTGCTATTAAAAGCTTGATTATCTTGGATAGTATTTTATTTAGAAATTAACACAGTTACTTTTTGCTGATGATACTTTGCTTATGGGAGATTCTAAAGAAAAGTTGCAAAGGTTAGTGGACGAATTTGGGAGGGTGTGTAAAGGTAGAAAGTTGAAAGTGGACATAAAAAAGAGTAAGGTGATGAGCATATCAGGTGATTTAGATAAAGAAAAAATGAATATTACATTGGAGAGAGGGAGTATGGAAGAAGTGAATGTTTTCAGATATTTGGGAGTGGACTTGTCAGCAGATGGGTTTATGAAGGATGAGGTTAACCATAGAATTGATGAAGGAAAAAATGTGGGTGGTGCATTGAGGTATCTGTGGAGACAAAAAATGTTATCTATGGAGGTAAAGAAGGGAATGTATTAAATTATAGTGGTACCAACAATCTTATATGGGTGTGAAGCTTGGGTTGTAAATGCTGCAGCGAGGAAGTGTCTGGAAGCAGTGGAGATGTACAAAAAACTGCCCATTTACCGATTTCAACTACCCAATAACGTGGTTAGAAATTTGCAATTTGGCCATTTTCACAAAAATTAAAAAATATAACAATTTCAAAATAGGGTCCAGAATGAGCAATGCAGGTATTCCTGGCTCTAAAATAACATTATCTTTGTTCATCAGCCACGTCTCCAGGCTCCTCTGATATTACTTTTGCTTTCTATTTTGAATTTTTATTCAAATAAAAAATAGAAGATTTACTGTTATGCAGACTACTGCAATATTGTAATAATTGTATAAATAATGTCAACCCATTCATGACTGCATATTAGAATGGCTACTTGGATATTTATTGGAAAGGTTCTTTTCATAGTTAAACCAATCAAAATCACCTCTATTTCTATTATATGTTTTCCATTCTAGCAAATGAGACCAAGAAAACGAGAATACAACCATAAATACTATACGAAAATAGACCACAAAGTCGGCATTTTAATTCAAAAAATGGTCGGAGTTTTTTTTTCTCATTATGCACTGTGTGCTGCACATTTTTTTTTATATGGTGCACACTGACCCATTTTCTCACATGTGGGCCTACCAGCTTTCTCCTGCTTGATTTGAAGCCGCTAGTATTTATGAGTACAGGTCTCCCTCAACATTCACGTTTTCAACTTTCACGGGCTTCACACATTCGCGAATTCCCAACCGCCAAATTCCCAGCCGCCAAATCATATTTAAGTTTCCCGCCACCTGCGAGTCCCTACTACCCTCCCTCCGACCCCCGCAACTGGCAGCCAGCCCTCCCACCACTCAGTGTGGCGAGTGTTTTGTTTGTTCATTATTTGCTATTAAACTACAGTATAAATAATGTAAACCCATTCATGACTGCATATTGGAATGGCTATTCGGACAGGTATTAGATGGTGACATCATGTGTTTACTCTTGAACACTGCAAAGAATTAAACATTTCTGCTACAGCTAATAATAACAATAGTAATAATAATAATAATAATAATAATAATAAATATAATATAATTGAAGAAGGAAATTGTACAAAAATACGAGGGAGTGGTTGACACATCGTCAGTGTGACTTTGTTTATGCTGGAGTGAACATTAGTCTCCCTGCTCTTCCAAACATTTCACAATAATTCATTGTGTTTGGTGCTTGTAGGTTGAGTGTGACTGGAGTGGTAGAGGCAGTAATTGAGGCAATGGTATTTAATAACATACATGTTAATAATAATACATGTTATTAATAATATGTACTATTATTATTTATAACATATATGTTATTAAATACATACATGTTAATAATAATACATGTTATTAATAATAACATGTACTATTATTATTTATAACATATATGTTATTAAATACCACTGGCTCAACCACTGAATTATTGTGAAATGTTTGGAAGAGCATGGAGACTAATGTTCACTCCAGCATAAACAAAGTCACACTGACGATGTGTCAACCACTCCCTCGTATTTTTGTACAATTTCCTTCTTCAATTATATCGTATTTATTATTATTATTATTATTATTATTATTATTATTATTATTATTGTTATTATTAGCAATAGCAGAAATGTTCGATTCTTTGCTGTGTTCAAGAGTAAACACATGATGTCACCGTCTAATACCTTTCCTAATAGCCATTCCAATATGCAGTCATGAATGGGTTTACATTATTTATTCTGTAGTTTAATAGCAAATAATGAACAAACAAACACCACACTGAGTGGTGGGAGGGCTGGCTGCCAGTTGTGGGGGTCGGAGGGAGGGTAGTAGGGACTCGCAGTGGTGGAGGCATTGGTGGAGGCAGTGGTATTTAACCCTTTGACTGTCGCAACCCCCAATCCTGAGGTGTCTCCTGGTGTCACAAAATTAAAAAAAAAAAATATTTTTTCTTATGAAATGATAGAGAATCTTTTCCCGATTGTAATGACACCAAAAAAACGAAATTTGATGGAAAACTGACGGAATTATGCTCTTGCGAAGTTAGCGACCTCGGCGCTGTTTACAAATCGGCGATTTCGCCCACTTTGAGCCCTATTTTCGGCTAATTCCATTGTTTCAGTCGCCCAAACTCATAGCTATTTCTTTAGAACTTCATTTTTTCTATCGATTGAGTACAAGAAACTGCCCATTTACTGATTTCAACTACCTAATAATGTGGTCAGAAATTTTGCAATTTGGCCAATTTCACGAAAACTAAAAAATATGACAATTTCAAAATAAGGTCCAGAATGAACAATGCAGACATTCCTGGCTCTAAAATAACGTTTTCTTTGTTCATCAGTCACATCTCCAGGCCCCTCTGATATTACTCTTGCTTTCTATTTTGAATTTTTATTCAAACAAAAAATATTAGATTTACTATTATGCAGACTACTGCAATGCTGTAATAACTGTATAAATAACATCAACCCATTCATGACTGCATATTAGAATGGCTAGTTGGACATTTATTGGACAATGGCATCATTTGTTTACTTTTGAACATTGGCAAAAATCAAACATTTCCCCTACTTTGAGCTCCATTTCTAGGTTCTTTTTATAGTAAAATCAATCAAAAACACCTCTATTTCTGTAATATGTTTTCCATTCTATCAAATGAGACCAAGAAAACGAGAATACAACCATAAATACTATACGAAAATAGACCACAAAGTCGGCATTTTAATTAAAAAAAACGGTCAGAGTTTTTTTTTCTCATTATGCACTGCGTGCTCCAGGATTTTTTTATATGGTGCACACTGACCACACAGACCCATTCTCTCACATGTGGGCCTACCAGCTTTCTCCTGCTTGATTTGAAGCCGCTAGAATTTATGAGTATATATACGTCAAACATGGCACCTCGTAAAACGTATGTATATGGCTGCGACAGTCAAAGGGTTAATAACATACATGTTATTAAATAACATACGTTATTAAAGCATAACATGTATATATTTAGTACAATTTACGATGTTTTCATGTATTTTATGATTATTCATGGTTCAACAAGTTAAGGAAGCAGTATTGTAATATATTTCCCTACAATATTGGGGCACCAAACATTCACGGTTTTTCAACATTCGCGAGGCTCTTGATCCCCTAACCCTCGCGAATGTTGAGGGAGACCTGTATATATATGTCAAAAATGGTGGCTCGTAAGACGTATATATACGACCAAAACAATCAAAGGGTTAAAGGAGGGGTTTGGGATATTGACAGTTTGGAGGGACTTCTGAACTGTCGTATCTGAGCGCCTCTGCAAAGACGGTGATTATGCATGAGTGAGGTGAAAGTGCTGAATGATGATGATGAAAGTATTTTCTTTTTGGGAGTTTCTTCCTTTTTTGGTCACCCTGCCTCGGTGGGAGACGGCCGACTTGTTAAAAAAAAAAAGCGTATTTTAATATGAACGAAGTGCATTTGTATAAAGTAGATAACACAGTTTATTGAATAAAAAATAGGCAAATTTTAATATAGCATGTCAGCTCATTTAACATTAGTAAATATTTTGGTATATAACAAGTAAATATGGCAGGTACTATAAGAATATTATTACATTTACAGGTATAGAAAAAATGCTAGACATTTGCTCAGAACTGGAGGAATTCAAGTTTGAGAGTCGTATCGAGATCACAGATAATACACGCATGACAACAGCGATTTGCCTCTCAAAAGTTTATGAAACCCAATATGATGATAAATCTAAGGATTTATATCATCAACGAGTTGATGAATACATCAGGTACGTGTCGAGCTGCTGTATGGCAGATGTTGACGTAAAGTAACATGAACAATTAATTAGTTGAATGGTGAGATGCACGACCAAAAGCTGGAGCTCATTCCTGTAATCTCAGATAGGCAATTACAGGGTGTGACAGCTTATGGTACCACAGCTGAATCATGAGATATAAAGTAGATGATCTGATTCTTCAACGAAATTGCCTTGGTGGTGCCAGTAAAGAGTTTGAAGTCCAAATAATTGGAGCTACCCTTCCCTTCCCTGGATCAAACCTGATTATCTCCTAGTCCCCAGGTGCTGTATGACTTGTATGAGTTTAGTACACACTTAAGGAGAGGCGGGGATGTTGTGATTTGGAAGGTCATCTGAACTGCAATGTCAGCATACTTAAGAACATAAGAAAGAAGGAACACTGCAACAGGCCTACTGGCCTATGTGAGGCAGGTCCAATTCTCCCACCGGCTTAAGCTCACTGACCTAGTGACCTTAAGCTCACTGACCGCCTGACCTCACTGACCTAGTGAGGTCAGACATGTCACTTAAGGGAGGAGCACGGCATCCAACCTAGTAGCACAAGCTAGTCAGGTCCAACTCACACCCACCCACACCCACTCATGTATTTATCCAACCTATTTTTAAAACTACACAATGTCTTAGCTTCTATGATGGTACTCGGGAGTTTGTTACACTGATCCACAAGATAGTGATTGAATGAGTAACAGTGAAAGTGTTTTCTTTGTTAGGTCACCTTACTTCAGTGGGAGATGGCTGTAGTGTTAAAAAAAGAAATATATATAATATAGGAAAGAGCAGAGTGAGAGAATAACAAAAAAATAGGTAATGAAAGATAGGATATGAGATTGGAGGGAGGGAGTATGAAGGAAGTGAATGTGATGTGATATATAGGAGTTGACTTGTCAGCAGGTGGGTTTATGAAAGACGAGGTTAACCATAGAATTTACGAGGAAAAAAAAGGATGTTGGTAAATTAGACATATGTGCAACACTTGGGTATCTTTAATGAGGAAACATTTTGCCACACAGTGCCTTCAACAGTCCATACAGAGGAGAACGGTGAAGAACAGGAGTAGTTTGAGGCAATCAGTCCCTCAGCCTTGAGTCAATGTAATCAGTCCATCAATCTTGAAAAGAATACAGCATATGTGTGAAGAAGTGGCTTATATATACTGTAGGCAGGAGAGGTGCAGCAGTTGTAGACGGTATCACATATGTCCAATGTGGAAGTAGGTCATGCCCAAGGGTTAGGCAAGTGAAGAATTCCCTGTATTAAGATCCCAAGATGTGGCTGTGTAGCTCAAGGGTCAACTGTATATACCTCTGATGTTTGTATATGCACCTTAGGAGACAGATTTAGCATAATTGGATCTTTTTTCATTATCTAGTTTGGGATAGTGGAGGACTGATTGAGTATTAATATTGAATAAGATTCTTGCTTTTGGGGATAATAAAATAAGTACGAGTGTTGTGAGGCTAACACCATAATATGTAAATTTAACACAGTAGTATAGGAGTATAATCATGATATTTTTCTTGTATTTCAATGTTTATTAATATTCTTGGAGACTAATCCATGGCTTTGTGGTTACACAGTGTCAGTAGGCAAATTAACTACTTATACTAAAATGGTAAATATACTTTCTATTCATCATCAGACTACGGCTGCTGACCCCAGACATAGAACACAAAGTTCGTGTCACTGTTGCCATTACAACTTTGCTTCTTGGACCTTTAGATGTAGGGAGTAGACTCATCTCAAGAGAGGGAATCTTGGAAATGATGTTGGTCATGGCAAACACAGATGATGTCTTACAGCAGAAGGTGGGTGTATGTTTTAAATTTATGTGATGGTTAAAGCCTTAACAGTTACAGTACTGTGTATGGAGCAGCTCACAAATAACCTGTACTTAGGAGAGGAACCTCATAATGATATTTCAGTTCAAGCCACAATAGTCAAGGACGGACTGTAGCACTGTCATAAGGTTCCTCTCTAAAGTGTGGGTTATTTGTGCAATGTGAGTTTTTATAGGCAGTGGATGAAAAATGTTTACAAGTGCAAGCAAGGATATTGATGATAAGTTAAATAATGAAAAATTTTTAAAACAGTATCCTAAGAGTACAGTTTCTGGAACAGTTAAGCAAATTTAGTGAGACTAGCTTTAAAAATTTTGAAATGGTGTAAAGAAAAATGAGAGCAAATGTTATTACAGTACTCTAAATTTACAGAGTAATATTGGGCTGGAAGTTTTTATTTCTTTTGTAATGTTTTGGATAGGGCCGGTATGTTGAAAGAATATACAAGTCAACACAAATAGTGTACATTATTAAATGGGTAGTAGGTTGGTAGACAGCAACCACCCAGGGAAGTACTACCGTCCTGCCAGATGACTGTGAAACAGAAACCTGTAACTGTTTTACATGATGGTAGGATTGCTGGTTTTCTTTTTCTGTCTCATAAACACGCTAAGATAACAGGGATATCTTGCTACTCCTACTTACACTTTGGTCACACTTCACAGACACGCACATGCATATATATATATACATACATCTAGGTTTTTCTCCTTTTTCTAAATAGCTCTTGTTCTTTTTTATTTCTTCTATTGTCCATGGGGAAGTGGAAAAGAATCTTTCCTCCGTAAGCCATGCGTGTCGTATGAGGCGACTAAAATGCCGGGAGCAATGGGCTAGTAACCCCTTCTCCTGTATACATTTACTAAAAAAGAGAAGAAGAAAACTTTATAAAACTGGGTTGCTTAAATGTGCGTGGATGTAGTGCGGATGACAAGAAACAGATGATTGCTGATGTTATGAATGAAAAGAAGTTGGATGTCCTGGCCCTAAGCGAAACAAAGCTGAAGGGGGTAGGAGAGTTTCAGTGGGGGGAAATAAATGGGATTAAATCTGGAGTATCTGAGAGAGTTAGAGCAAAGGAAGGGGTAGCAGTAATGTTAAATGATCAGTTATGGAAGGAGAAAAGAGAATATGAATGTGTAAATTCAAGAATTATGTGGATTAAAGTAAAGGTTGGATGCGAGAAGTGGGTCATAATAAGCGTGTATGCACCTGGAGAAGAGAGGAATGCAGAGGAGAGAGATTTTGGGAGATGTTAAGTGAATGTATAGGAGCCTTTGAACGAAATGAGAGAGTAATTGTGGTAGGGGACCTGAATGCTAAAGTAGGAGAAACTTTTAGAGAGGGTGTGGTAGGTAAGTTTGGGGTGCCAGGTGTAAATGATAATGGGAGCCCTTTGATTGAACTTTGTATAGAAAGGGGTTTAGTTATAGGTAATACATATTTTAAGAAAAAGAGGATAAATAAGTATACACGATATGATGTAGGGCGAAATGACAGTAGTTTGTTGGATTATGTATTGGTAGATAAAAGACTGTTGAGTAGACTTCAGGATGTACATGTTTATAGAGGGGCCACAGATATATCAGATCACTTTCTAGTTGTAGCTACACTGAGAGTAAAAGGTAGATGGGATACAAGGAGAATAGAAGCATCAGGGAAGAGAGAGGTGAAGGTTTATAAACTAAAAGAGGAGGCAGTTAGGGTAAGATATAAACAGCTATTGGAGGATAGATGGGCTAATGAGAGCATAGGCAATGGGGTCGAAGAGGTATGGGCTAGGTTTAAAAATGTAGTGTTAGAGTGTTCAGCAGAAGTTTGTGGTTACAGGAAAGTGGGTGCAGGAGGGAAGAGGAGCGATTGGTGGAATGATGATGTAAAGAGAGTAGTAAGGGAGAAAAAGTTAGCATATGAGAAGTTTTTACAAAGTAGAAGTGATGCAAGGAGGGAAGAGTATATGGAGAAAAAGAGAGAAGTTAAGAGAGTGGTGAAGCAATGTAAAAAGGAGCAAATGAGAGAGTGGGTGAGATGTTATCAACAAATTTTGTTGAAAATAAGAAAAAGTTTTGGAGTGAGATTAACAAGTTAAGAAAGCCTAGAGAACAAATGGATTTGTCAGTTAAAAATAGGAGAGGAGAGTTATTAAATGGAGAGTTAGAGGTATTGGGAAGATGGAGGGAATATTTTGAGGAATTGTTAAATGTTGATGAAGATAGGGAAGCTGTGATTTCGTGTATAGGGCAAGGAGGAATAACATCTTGTAGGAGTGAGGAAGAGCCAGTTGTGAGTGTGGGGGAAGTTCGTGAGGCAGTAGGTAAAATGAAAGGGGTAAGGCAGCCGGGATTGATGGGGTAAAGATAGAAATGTTAAAAGCAGGTGGGGATATAGTTTTGGAGTGGTTGGTGCAATTATTTAATAAATGTATGGAAGAGGGTAAGGTACCTAGGGATTGGCAGAGAGAGCATGCATAGTTCCTTTGTATAAAGGCAAAGGGGATAAAAGAGAGTGCAAAAATTATAGGGGGATAAGTCTGTTGAGTGTACCTGGTAAGGTGTATGGTAGAGTTATAATTGAAAGAATTAAGAGTAAGACGGAGAATAGGATAGCAGATGAACAAGGAGGCTTTAGGGAAAAGGGAGGGGGTGTGTGGACCAGGTGTTTACAGTGAAACATATAAGTGAACAGTATTTAGATAAGGCTAAAGAGGTCTTTGTGGCATTTATGGATTTGGAAAAGGCGTATGACAGGGTGGATAGGGGGGCAATGTGGCAGATGTTGCAAGTGTTGGTGTAGGAGGTAGGTTACTGAAAGCAGTGAAGAGTTTTTACGAGGATAGTGAGGCTCAAGTTAGAGTATGTAGGAAAGAGGGAAATTTTTTCCCAGTAAAAGTAGGCCTTAGACAAGGATGTGTGATGTCACCGTGGTTGTTTAATATATTTATAGATGGGGTTGTAAAGAGAAGTAAATGCGAGGTCTTGGCAAGAGGCGTGGAGTTAAAAGATAAAGAATCACACACAAAGTGGGAGTTGTTACAGCTGCTCTTTGCTGATGACACTGTGCTCTTGGGAGATTCTGAAGAGAAGTTGCAGAGATTGGTGGATGAATTTGGTAGGGTGTGCAAAAAGAAGAAAATTAAAGGTGAATACAGGAAAGAGTAAGGTTATGAGGATAACAAAAAGATTAGGTGATGAAAGATTGAATATCAGATTGGAGGGAGAGAGTATGGAGGAGGTGGGAAAGTATTCAGATATTTGGGAGTTGGACGTGTCAGCGGATGGGTCTATGAAAGATGAGGTGATCATAGAATTGATGAGGGAAAAAGAGTGAGTGGTGCACTTAGGAGTCTGTGGAGACAAAGAACTTTGTCCTTGGAGGCAAAGAGGGGAATGTATGAGAGTATAGTTTTACCAACGCTCTTATATGGGTGTGAAGCGTGGGTGATGAATGTTGCAGCGAGGAGAAGGCTGGAGGCAGTGGAGATGTCATGTCTGAGGGCAATGTGTGGTGTGAATATAATGCAGAGAATTCGTAGTTTGGAAGTTAGGAGGAGGTGCGGGATTACCAAAACTGTTGTCCAGAGGGCTGAGGAAGGGTTGTTGAGGTGGTTCGACATGTAGAGAGAATGGAGCGAAACAGAATGACTTCAAGAGTGTATCAGTCTGTAGTGGAAGGAAGGCGGGGTAGGGGTCGGCCTAGGAAGGGTTGGAGGGAGGGGGTTAAAGGAGGTTTTGTGTGCGAGGGGCTTGGACTTCCAGCAGGCATGCGTGGAGCGTGTTTGATAGGAGTGAATGGAGACAAATGGTTTTTAATACTTGACGTGCTGTTGGAGTGTGAGCAAAGTAACATTTATGAAGGGATTCAGGGAAACCGGCAGGCCGGACTTGAGTCCTGGAGATGGGAAGTACAGTGCCTGCACTCTGAAGGAGGGGTGTTAATGTTGCAGTTTAAAAACTGTAGTGTAAAGCACCCTTCTGGCAAGACAGTGATGGAGTGAATGATGGTGAAAGTTTTTCTTTTTCGGGCCACCCTGCCTTGGTGGGAATCGGCCAGTGTGATAATAAAATAAAAATAAATATTAAATGTCATTATATTTGATGAGCCTGACCCATGGCAGGGCTCCAGGAGTAGAAAGACTCTCGAAACTCATCAAAGGTATGTACTGTACTGTATATTATAACAAAATTGCAAGATACAAGTAATATATTAATATATAATTAATCCACTTTAAAAGGGGATTAGATTACAAGTGCTTTTGTTATTTTTTATTTATCAGCCACATTCTCTGTTACTTGAGAATGTGAATGAGAGATCATAGAAATGTATGGAATTTAATACATAACTGTATATTGTACATGGTTAGGTAATTTAATCTACTTTAACCATCACTTTTCATCTTCTCAGGTTGCCTGTGAAGCTCTGATTGCTGCAGCTTCCAAAAAAGAAAAGTGCAGACCCATTATAACACAGGGTACAGACATCTTAAAGAAACTTTATCAGAGCAAGAATGATTCAATTCGAGTGCGAGCACTGGTGGGATTGTGTAAGCTTGGTTCTATGGGAGGCACTGATGCTTCAATGAAACCCTTTTCTGAAGGAGCCTCTCTCAAGCTGGCAGAAGCTTGTAGAAGGTATGTTTTATGTATATGTTATCTCCTGTGTTTTCGACAATTACTTTTAAAAGCTCAAAAAAACCTGTTAGCCAGATTGAGTTCTGGAGGTGTTAATTACAGTACCTGCACCCTGAAGGATTACGTAAGTTTTTATTTAGGCTTATGTACATATAATTTTATTTTTCGCCATGGTCTTGAGGGCACACACATTATGGGCATCTGAAAAGTACATTATGTAGATTTAACTAGTATAACCTAAAAGTTCAGCAGTGTGACTTACCAGATGGGGATGTTGTGGTTCCAGAGATGGGAAGTTCAGTGCTTGCACTCTGAAAGGGTTGGCAGAGATGATGTGGTTTTTGGAGGTGGGAAGTACAGTGCGTGCACTGAAAATATGGGTAAGAATGTTCTGGAAGTGGGACATTCAGTGAATGCATTCTGGAGGTTGGATCAGGGTTTTGCAATTCAGGGGGTCATTTGAATTGTGATGTCCACTTCAAAACTGCTATTTAATGAATAACAGTGAATGTGTTTTTCCTTCTATAGATCACTCTGGCTTGGTGGAAATGGCCTCTTTAAAAAAAGTAAAAAATATTGCTGTACTTTTTAAAACATCTTTTTAACAAACTGGCCGTATCCCACTGAGGCAGGGTGACCTAAAAAGAAAGAAAAATTGCATTTTTCTTTTTGCAGTTAGTACGTAATTTATACAGGAGAAGGGGTTACTAGCCCCTTGCTCCCAGCATTTTAGTCACCTCTTACAACACATGGCTTATGGAGGAAGGATTCTTCTCCACTTACACCCAATGTTTTAACAGAAGGTATAAGTTTCCACATACAGTGAGGAGGAAGAGGTTGACATACTATATGCCTGTTGGTTACTGATACATAGTGAGGAAAAAAAAGCCGAGATAGCATTATAGTGTATCAGGGTATTAAAGATACCAGCATGGGAATGAAAGGAGTGAGTATACCATTATGGAAGGATAAGTACACAAATTTCAGGAAGATCAAAGGCATCACATTACTTTGAGCTTGAAGGTATTGGAATAATATTAAATACATGAATGAGGAGAATGGTTGAATACCACACATAAGAGAACCTATATGGAATTAAAAAATATAGTGAAAGAGAGAAGACTGTCCTTGAGCAGGACCTGTCTGCCATGGATCAATGCTTGTCTGTTCTTATGTTCTTTTGTTTGTAATGAGGTAGATTGCAGAGAAACAAAAGGCACTCAATACACAAATAACCCGCACATAAAAGAGAGAAGCTTACGACGACGTTTCGGTCCGACTTGGACCATTGACAAAGTCACAAAGTGTGACTTTGTCAATGGTCCAAGTCGGACCGAAACGTCGTCGTAAGCTTCTCTCTTTTATGTGCGGGTTATTTGTGTATCGTTCCAGTCACGGTATTGTGCCTTTTTGTTATTTAAAAGGCACTCAACAAAACATTATTTTGGACATTTTAAATGTGGAGGTGTATGGTGTTATGCAAGAGAACTGACATTGTGTAAGTGCAGGATCAGAATTATTTCCAGAGCAATTTGCAAAGATTCAAGGCTTTTTAGTTACTTTCCTTTCAATGGGAGTGCCTTGATTCTAGTGGAGAGTTCTTGATCCAAGATATTGGAGCTGCCCTTCCCTTTTTTATAATACATGTACCTGATTACCTCTCATTCACTAGGCATTGTGTAACCCCTAGAGATTTTGCAATTACATAAATATAATAATAATTCCCTACAAGTGTCCTCAGTATTATGCAGTAGATGTGCTTCAGGCCTGTGGTAACTATATTAAGCTAAGACCATCTTCAGTACATTTTACAAACCTTTGAGATCACATATGGCGAATGTATATTGCACATATAAAATTATGCTTTTATTGTTTGTTTTTCTTTGTTATTTTATTGGGTGTGTGTTCTACACTGGAACCTTGGTTTTCGTTTGCCCTAGTTTTCGTCGAATTCGGTTGTTGATGACTTTTTTCGTCAAAATTTTGTCCCAGTTTTTGTTCATCACCTCAGTTTTTGTTGAGTTGACAGTGGTCCGCCATACTGAACATGTCTGCCCGCACCCACACAAAGCATCCCATGCATTCTGAGTCAGTCTGGCTTTGTTTCTTGTCATTAGAGGGTGGTAGTGATGGTGTTAGAGGTGGTAGTAGTTGTGATGGTGGTAGTGATTGTGGTAGAGGGTGGTAGTGATGGTGGTAGAGGATGGTAGTGATGGTGGTAGAGGATGGTAGTGATGGTGGTAGAGGATGGTAGTGATGGTGGTAGAGGATGGTAGTGATGGTGGTAGAGGGTAGTAGTGATATGGTGGTAGAGGGTGGTAGTGATGGTGGTAGAGGGTGGTAGTAGTTGTGATGGTGGTAGTGGTAGTGATGGTGGTAGAGGGTGGTAGTGATTGTGGTAGAGGGTGGTAGTGGTTGTGATGGTGGTAGTGATAACCTCTCCCCTCCTCGCCGTCTTCCATACGCCAACAAGAGTCTTCAATAAAGGTAAAAGTTATGTTAAATGTTCATTTATCCATTTCATTAATCCTTTATATTTATTTCTCATTGTTTTCTGTATGTAAAACTATAGTTATTCTCTATAAAATGTATTTTTTTGTTAATACTTTTGGGTGTCTGGAATGGAATAATTAGAGTTACATTATTTCTTATGGGAAATATTCAGTTTTTGTCAAATTTGGTTTTTGTCAGACTTTCTGGAACGAATAAATGATGAAAACCGAGGTTCCGCTGTATATAAAAAATTTTATTGGTACAAGTGCTGACTGACCTTTATGATGAAAAATGCACTGCAAATATCACAAATACTATACACAGAATTACCATTGGAAAGGTTAAATCACATAATAGAAAATTCTCAAAAAAAAGTAAACCTGCATAGGGAAGTTTTTTTTTTTAGCTATTTCTTAACCCTTAAACTGTCCAAACGTAGATCTGTGTTTGCACGCGTAGCACTCCAAACATAGATCTACGTTGAACATTAAAATGGTATAAAATACCAACAGGTTGTTAGGTAAGACACATATGCAACAGTTAGGTATCTTTATTTCGAAACGTTTCACCTACACGGTAGGCTTCTTCAGTCGAGTACAGAAAAGTTGATAGAAGCAGAAGAGACTTGAAGATGATGTAATCAGTCCATCACCCTTAAAGGGTGATCAGTCCATCACCCTTAACCCTTTGAGGGTTTTCGTCGTACTAGTACGTCTTACGCGTAGGGGTTTTTGACGTACTAGTACGCATAAATTCTAGCGGCCTCAAATCTCGCGCGAAAAGGCTGGTAGGCCTAGGTGTGAGAGAATGAGTCTGCGTGGTCGGTGTGCGCGGTAGAAAAAAAATCTGGGACCCAGTGGTGCATTGTGGGAATGCCCTCTTAGTAAACAATGTCCACCATGCCTTGCGGTAAGAAGCTCCTCACTCCTCGGCGAATTGGGACACTTTTGTTCCCCAGTGACAGTTCTAATAGTGATGGAAGTGCCAGTGAAGATGAGTTTCGTGGTTTTAGTGAGGTTTTGACCGAAACTAATGACCATAATATCGGTAATAGTGAAGAAAACCCAGACGACCCTCAGCCTTCCACCTCTGGTGCTGGGCCCTCGTGTTCACGTTCAGTTGTTCCAGAACCCAAGAGGAAACTTCTATTTTCCCAAATCCCAGACTCAGATGAGAGCATGGGCGATGATAGTGATAGTGAATATGAACTACAAGCTCTTCAAACTAGTTCCAGTAGTGATAGTGAAGTGCAATATTCCCCAGTGAAGCGTCAGTATATACGACGATATATGCGCTCTGGTAGTGTGCCATATGTTATACCAAGGGGAAGGAGTGTATCTCGGAGTACATCCCGTGGCTGTACAACAGGAACAGACAGTGAAAATGACGAAGATACTGTTGCAATTGGGATGGAAAATGTGCGTGGTGGTAGTGGTGCTGGCGGTGAGGCACCAGCAGTGGGCCATGCTGCCACCCACGCTGCCACCCATGCCGCTGCCTCAGCTGATCTAGAACAAAGGCCACCATCCCCCACTCCCCCACCACACCAGCCTCCACAACCACAACCACCTGTCATTGTCCAGTACCCACCAGCAGACCGCACCTGGGATTGGCAGGAAGCTGTCAATTTTGTTCCAAATCCCCACCAGTTTGATGGCAGCCAAAGTGGAATACGGCCATCTTGTGCACTTGGGAACAATACCACTGAACTGGAATGTTTCGAGTTATTCTTTGACGAACCACTGATGAAAAGTATTGTCATGGAAAGCAACACATACTACGAGTACACCATGGCAAACACATTACTTTCACCAAAATCACGTCTACACCAGTGGAAGGAGGCAACTGTGGCTGAGATGTATCTTTTCTTTGCCACAATAATGCTTATGCCACATGTGTATAAGCACAAAGTGAAATCATACTGGTCAACAGACCCCCTGATTGCAACACCAGGTTTCAGTGATATAATGCCAGTGAATCGATTTGTGCTAATGTTACGTATGCTTCACTTCTCAGATAAAACCAGGCCTGACAGAACTGACAGGTTATATAAGATTAGGAATGTGTTTGTGTATCTGAAACAGAAATTCAGTACGCATTTTTATCCCTTCAGGAAGCTTGTAATTGACGAGTCTTTGATTCTGTTCAAAGGAAGACTCTCTTTCAAGCAGTACATACCAAGCAAGAGGAAACGCTTTGGTATAAAGTTGTTTGTGCTTTGTGATTGTTACAGTGGTCTGGTATTGGATATTATTGTGTACACTGGAAGTTATACATTGCAAAATACCAGGAAGTTATTGGGCATCTCAGGTGATGTGGTTCGAACAATGATAGAACCATACCTTGGTAAGGGGCATATATTATACACAGATAACTGGTACACAAGCCCCTCACTCAGTGATTTTTTGCGAGTGAACATGACAGATGTGTGTGGCACAGTGCGTGCAAATCGAAAACATATGCCCAGGTTTGACGCTGGCACTCGTAGAGGTGAGGTGCAGGCGTTTGCTGCCAATGACATCATGGCATTTCGGTGGCATGACAAACGAGATGTCACACTGTTGTCATCAATTCACCCTAATGAAATGGCAGACAGTGGCAGGCAACATAGAGAGAGAAATGAACCCATTCTAAAACCTGCAGCTGTGATTGATTACACCTTCAACATGCATTCAGTGGACAAATGTGACATGCAGATTGAGTTTGCTGATTGTGTTCGCAAGAGTTATAAGTGGTACATCAAACTGTTTTTCCATCTTCTGGACATTTCCATGCTCAATGCTTATAATATGTATAAGATGAGGACCAGAAACAAACCACAGTACGGCGAATTCTGTTTGTCTGTCATCAGACAAATAGTATTCAAGTACTAAGGAACAGCACCTGTAATTGACCGCCCACCAAATTATCAACAACTACCTGCTCGTCTGAAGCATGGTGATCACTCCTAGTAAAACTGCCTGCTACTTGCTTTGAAGAAAAAGGCTCAGAAGGGGTGTTACGTCTGTGCACATACAAAAAAACGCACACAACAACGCAGAGACACTCGTTTTATGTGTGAGGAGTGCAAAACACTGTGCATGACACCATGTTTCAAAGAGTTCCACAGGCTGCAGAACTTCTAGAAACATTCCCTGTGACTGTATATGTGTATATAAAATATAGAAAAATAGTAATAAACAACATTTCATATCGTTTGTGTAAATATTTTCTGTAAACAAAATAATGACAACAGTGTTTACGCCCTTATTGTGTAGTATTGAAAAAGAAATAACTTACAAAATACTGATCATGTTGGCCTCAGAGGCCATAAAAGTTACTCAGAAAAAGAAAAATTGAAAAATAATTGAAAATAGTACATAAAAAAGTAAATAGAAAAATACCGGGTGACGGCAGTCGGCGATGTTACCATATGTTGTTCAATTTTGGCAAATTTCACACCTCCATATCTTGGTAAGTATTGACGTTAAAATTTTTTTGTTTAGCCTATAATGTTTAGAAAAAAATACTCTATTTTTTCATAAGAAAAAATAATTTTTTTTTTTTTTTTTGAAATTTGGCCGACCCTGAGAACGAGTTTCGGAGAGGGCCTGTCGACCCTCAAAGGGTGATGGACTGATTACATCGTCTTCAAGTCTCTTCTGCTTCTATCAACTTTTCTGTATTCGACTGAAGAAGCCTACTGTGTAGGCGAAACGTTTCGAAATAAAGATACCTAACTGTTGCATATGTGTCTTACCTAACATAGATCTACGTTATTTTTTACATAAGAAACAACGTAAAATTGAACGTAGATCTATGTTCGGAGTGCTACGCGTGCGAACATAGATCTACGTTTGGACAGTTTAAGGGTTAAACATTATAGATATTCATTTTAAATTTGGCATGCAGTTATCATGGTTATTAAATATACTCTACAGTTTTTGTATTTGTAAATAACATAATGATAGTTACTTTCTCAAAACATTATATTTCTTGTATATTTTGCTGTAATTAAGATCAAAAAGTTTGATGAATTACTTTTAGTAATATTATACGTATAGTCATTTTGTTCCCATAGATTCCTTGTTAACCCATCAAAAGATAAGGACATGCGGCGGTGGGCCTGTGAGGGCCTGTCCTTCCTCACCTTAGACGCTGATGTTAAGGAGAAACTCATTGAAGACAGACCAGCTCTTCGTTCAATGATTGAACTTGCTAAAGTAAGTAATTTAGTTATATGCAGTATACTATATATACATATACAGTACATACAAATACAAACATACATATATATATATATAGTGTGCAGTTTGACTACAATGGAACAGAAACATTTGCAAGAGTTTCCATGATTTATTAGTCATTCTCAAGGAACACAGTGAAGGCATTTAGCAGTAAGTAGCTTGTATTGTAGGTGTATTGCATTAATCTATGGACTTAATATGGTCATGTGACAGTAAGATGAAGAGTGACTTGGACTGTTAACAGGTTAAAATGTTTGGATCTGAGATTTTATTAGTTCTTATAACATCCAGTTTGTAGTCCTGGACCTACCAGTAGATTGCAGTCAGCACTAATTTTACACTATTGTACATGACTCCATTGTATTTTATTCTGAACATTCATTTGCATGTAACATTTCATAGTTTGTAACCAGTCAGTAGGATAACTAAAATCAGTTGAATAAAAACAGAGCATTTGAATCCTAAACAAATTTCCTAATTTACTTTAAACTTTCAATCTTTGCATTTTTCCAGTTAACTCTATATTAAATTAATAAGAATCTTATAAAAACACAACTTTCATTATTTTGTGGAAATTCTTAATCAGAAAGTTTTCACATATATATTATCTAAATTTTTAAATGCAGTGTTGCTGTTAAAATTTTTAGTGAAGGAAGTATTATTAGGTTGACATGATAGGGTAGTACCAAAATATTCTGTGTTGTGTATGGTTTCTTCTCTTTTGGATAAGGTGAGATGATTTTCAAAGTCTTATTGTATAATATTGTACACACATTGTTTGTGTTATGCATTATGCATGCATACTGGTGTTCTTTGACCCACATAATAATGCCCTGTGACTCTTACCCTGTGCAATGTTTGCAACATCCACTGAAAGAAATTATCAAGACTCCTACATTTTTTTTTTTCTATTCTTGGTGGCTATGTTTGGCTCTAGTAAGGTTCTTGATGGTAGTGGAAGCAATGACTGCAGTGTTGTTGCTTGTTGACAGGTGTTGGCAAGTCTGGCACTACTACAGGTGTGAAAAATCTCTCTCTCAGTTTATTTCTCTATTTTGGTTGTTACTATAATTTTAGGTGCTCTTTTCCTGCTGTCATGTATGAAGTTAGACAGGAATCGGAGTGTGGGAATTTCTTTGATAATATTGCATTCTTGTAGAAACTCTGAGCTGCATGTTCCTTATAATACAGTAAGCTCTCTTATAAAGCTCCTATATATGGTTCATTTTTTTGTAAATGAGATTGAAAATGTACATCCAATATTGAATAGTGCATGGAAAAATCTTCATAGTATGCACTATACATTGTGAATACACTTTTTCAATCACATTTGCAAAAAAATTGCACTGTATAGAGGAGCTTTATAAGAGCAGACTGTAGGTATCTCCCTAAGAGCATATGGAGTATGTAGGCTGGAGCTGCTAAAAGCAGAATGTGATATTAAATACAGGATCTCCACGCTCCAATTCTCGTCTTACTTCATACATGACTACAGGAAAGAGAGACCTTGAAAGCATGGCAATACCTAAAACAGAAACATTGATAGGAACGTCATTTTTCCCCACCTGTGGTGGTCCCACCAACCTTGGAAACACCTGGCCATAAACAACAATATCATAGTTATCACTTCCACTATCAAGGACCTTGCTAGAGCCACACAGCCACCCAGATGTGGAAGTAGTATGGGTTAAAGAAAACCAGTATGTATGCAGAAGTCACAGTGCTATCTACTGAGAACAGTCACCTCATGATATGAACAAATGCTAAACTAGCTATCAAAAAAGAAGTCAAAAGACAAATGTTTAGAATCTGCCCTTGTCAGCACAGAATCAGGGTAGCTTCATGTTAGCCAAACATTTAGTTTTTGTTGTATTCACAAGTTATCCAGGTGTCCAGAAGCCAACATAATACAGGCGGGCTGTTGTACAGCGCTTCGCTTTACAGCATTTCACTTATGTAGCAGTTTTCAATTATACCTATTCTTCATTTATTTAGGCTTCCTACAATAATTATATTCATCACTCACTATAAGCTAAGGATGAAAATATTTTAAGGTAAGTAATGTGTGTACTGTATATGTATTTTTAAGGTCTAGCGCTATTGCTCACCTAATACAGTGGACCCCCGGTTAACGATATTTTTTCACTCCAGAAGTATGTTCAGGTGCCAGTACTGACCGAATTTGTTCCCATAAGGAATATTGTGAAGTAGATTAGTCCATTTCAGACCCCCAAACATACACGTACAAACGCACTTACATAAATACACTTACATAATTGGTCGCATTCGGAGGTGATCGTTATGCGGGGGTCCACTGTATATGATATTGTGAACATGTTTTCAGGCTTTTATATACATTTGTAAGTGAAAAGAGGCTACATTTCACTTTACAGCAGTAACCCAAAGCCTAAGCAGCTGTATAAATGGGGCCTTCGTCTGTCCAGGATGCTCCCATGCAAGCATTACACCTCTTCCTAATGTATTCTCTACTGACTCACTGTTTTGCACACACAGTGGGCTTTATTTTCATTAATGAATGTATTCACTGCACCTAAGTGTGTCATTTACTGCCTTTTTAATTGGTGCCTTGACTAGTAGAATCAGTAAGCTCCCTCCAAAAAAAAGCAATATAATATATATTTAAGTCATACTATTAATTTAAAACACTTCTGTCCACATGCAGTTCCAGTTTAAAAAGATCTTCACTTTTATTCAAAGGGTTTATTCCAGTTGCATAAGAACAATTCAGAATATCTAGTCTTGTCTTTATTTTTAGTGAAATCCTTTAGTGCTGTTCCTGCAGGAATATAAAGTGTACAGTAAAAGAGAATGCTTAGCCAAGATGTACACATTTAGGTAAACAATGCAATATTGTTTGGTATAGCATCTTGACTTCTGCAATGCACAGCACACCTTAACTGATATACAGTGGAACCTCTACTTGCGAGCGTGTCCACATGCGAGTTTTTCCAAATATGAGCAGTCGATGGGTCGATTTTTTGCTTCCATCGCGAGCAAAATTTCCACAAGCGAGCAGACCTCAAGGCATATTCCTTGACACTGGTGAGGGGCTCTTGCTCTTGATCACGGTAATTGTATCTCATTTGTTTGTTGGACTATCTTATTGAAACTTGGGCAATGTATGATGGAAAGATGCTTCTTAATGTACACCAAAAATGAAAGAAATCTAAGCATAAATAATGGAGTTCACTTCTCAGCAATTAGCCACTCCTTAGTGGTAATTTTGAATGGTTTTTATGGTTGTATTCTCGTTTTTTTTGGTCTCATTTGATAGAATGGAAGATAAATTACAGAAATAGATATGATTTTGATTGCTTTCATGACGAAATGTGCCTTGAAATTAAGCTCAACCTAGGAGAAATGGTCCATTGCTGGGCTGTTTCAGTGTAAACAGAGTAAACAGTCATGAATGGGTTGACATATTTATACAATTATTGCAATAAGGAATAACAGTAAATCTTATATTTTTTGTGTGAATAAAAATTACAAATAATTTATATAATAATAATAATAATATGTATAATAATAATATGAATAATAACAATATGAATAATAACAATACGTATATTAATAATAATAATAGTACATATAATACAATAATAATAATATAATATGTATAATAATTGTAGGTAGTAGGTTGGTAGACAGCAACCGCCCAGGGAGGTACTACCGTCCTGCCAAGTGAGTGTAAAACGAAAGCCTGTAATTGTTTTACATGATGGTAGGATTGCTGGTGTCTTTTGTCTGTCTCATAAATATGCAAGATTACAGGTAAGTCTTGCTACTTCTACTTACACTTAGGTCACACTAAACATACATGTACAAGCATATATTTACACACCCCTCTGGGTTTTCTTCTATTTTCTTTCTAATTCTTGTTCTTGTTTATTTCCTCTTATCTCCATGGGGAAGTGGAACAGAATTCTTCCTCTGTAAGCCATGCGTGTCGTAAGAGGCGACTAAAATGCCGGGAGCAAGGGGCTAGTAACCCCTTCTCCTGTATATATTACTAAATTTAAAAGGAGAAACTTCAGTTTTTTCTTTTGGGCCACCCCGCCTCAGTGGGATACGGCTGGTACATTGAAAGAAGAAAAAGATGTATAATAATGATACATATATAATAACAATGTACTACATATAATAATTATAATAGACGTCTTCAAAAAGCCGTCACTAGATGGCAGTGTTTACCACAGCATAGAGGGAGCGGTTGTGGCCGCCTCCACCTATTACATAATGACATATTTTATTCATTCTAGAGTATATATCGTGTTTCTATGTTATTTATATTGTCTGTTATGTCATATTAGATGAACTGTGATATATAAATAAGCCATATAGATGATATTAGCAAAATTATTCATGGGCTCTGGTGGCCTGGTGGTTAACGCTCTCGCTTCACACGGTGAGGGCCTGGGTTCGATTCCCAGCCAGAGTAGAAATATTGGACGTGTTTCTTTACACCTGTTGTCTATGTTCCCCATCAGTAAAATGGGTACCTGGGTGTTAGTCGACTGGTGTGGGTCGCATCCTGGGACACTGACCTAAGGAGGCCTGGTCACAGACCGGGCCGCGGGGGCATTGACCCCCGGAACTCTCTCCAGGTAAACTCTCTCTAGGTAAGTATTTTGCCCAGTCTCCAGACAAACTCTCGTCCACTGTCGACACTGCCCATGCCACTACATGAATGACATATTTTATTCATTTTAGAGTATATATATCAGGTTTCTATGTTATTTATATTGTTTATTATGTTGTATTAGATGAAGTGAGATAGATAAATAAGCCATAGAGTTGATATTAGTGAAATTATTTAAGTACAGAATTCCACTGGAACGGATTAATTGCATTTCAATTAATTTAAATGGGGAAAATTGACTCTGCAAACGAGCAAATCCAGTTGCGAGCAAGGTCATGGAACGGATTAAACTCGCAAGTAGCGGTTCCACTGTAATGTCCACTAGCACTGATGTGCAACCTGCATTGTTCTGATTGCCTAGAGTGAATTTACATTACAAAAGCAATTTGATATAAAACATGGTAATTAATACTAAGAAGTAATTTAAAAAGACATGTGACCAAACACTAAAAAATATTTGTTAGAAAACATTTCAGTCCTAGGATCTTTGATCACTTCTAAAATACAAGGAGGGATTTGGGATATTGGCTGTTTGGAGTGACATCTAAACTGTTGTATCTTGAGTGCCTCTGCAAAGACAGTGATTATGTGTGAATGATGGTAAAAGCGTCTCTTTTTTGGAGTCACTCTGCCTCGGCGAGAGACAGTTGACATGTTGAAAAAATATTAGTACTATTTAGTTATACACCAAAATTATCTTGATGTACCTAATATTTCCTGTTGTGATGACTGTGGAGGCCTAACTGCTATGGGTAGTAAAAGGCTGGCTGATCAAGCTAGGCTGTGAGTATAGAAAGCTTGAAATTGGACACAGGTATGTCACTGTCTCACTTATTTTGATAGTGTGAGGAGGCATACCCTAAAACCCCTATAATATTTTAGCCTTATGGTAGGTTTTTTTTTTATATATATTTTCCTGTACTTATGGCTTATTCATTTTTCTTATTTTTTTTCTCAGTCTGGTGACATGAATTGTTTATATGGTGTCGTGGCAACCTTTGTCAACCTCTGTAATGCATATGACAAACAAGAAATAATTCCGGAGATGGTCGAGTTGGCCAAGTTTGCGAAGCAGCATGTTCCCGAGACTCATGATCTAGATGACCCAGATTTTGTTGAAAAACGTATCAAAGTACTGGCTGAAGAAGGTGCTGCAGGAGCTCTTGCAGCTCTCAGCAAGACAGATAGTCATAATTCCAGGGAACTGATTGCAAGGTATAGTTTGTTATATCTTATAGAAAAAAAAAAAAGGTTTTGTCAAAGGTAAATACTGTAGATGGTACTTTTGTGAATCTAGATGTGATAAGTTTGAGCATTCAGTATTTTATGATAATAATGTTGATGCAAAAGCAATAGATCATTTTTCAATGCATAAGTTGCAAAATTTTGGAGAAAATTAAAACATTTGTAAGCTTGGAAAATGTTCAATATATACAATGGTTTTATCTAAGTATTTTTTCCTTTTTGGAGCAAATTTCTTTAAATAAGTGTTAAGTCAAAACAGTAGCATATGCTATTATAGTGTATTTACTGTGATTATATATATATATATATATATATATATATATATATATATATATATATATATATATATATATATATATATTATATATATAATATATATATATGGGGTACTATAGGTTTATACAGATGCAGAAATGGGAAAATTCACTCCTTGCATGAAACTAGTCATTGTGCTAAATGTGTTCAGTGGACAGTATATATGTTAGGTGGATGCCTCTCCTGTCTAATATCCTAGTTTTTGGCACAATAGATGTTCTTAGGAATGTACAATGATTCAACTGACATTTGCATAAAACTTTGATGATGTATCAACATTAAAATAACCATAACGTACTGTAATCACACATTGTACTCTGCCTTTCTGAGATGTAACTGGAAGTTGGTTAAGTGTATTAATGTACTGTAGCATTCCTCAGCCATCATGTTCAGACAAATACAAAATCTATTCAGGAAATACATGACCAGAAATAATTCCATCTCCACAAACTGGAGTAAGTAGGGCTAAAACAAGGGACTTCAAGTACAAAAGTTAATTTCAAAGTCATAGTTGGTGCTAACATAATCACATACTACGATATTTTAAATTTTTCCCATTTACTAGTATGTACAGAAAGTGTGCTGCATGTGTGTGTGTGAAATATTTTTATGTATAGTATAAGATTCTTTGCACACCACTCTGTTTAAAAGCAAGTTTAATCATGTGATAGTTTTTTATGAAAAAAGTCTACAAATTACTTTCTATATATCATTATGTGAATTTATGCAGAAAATTTCAATGTTTCAGATTGTTCAATGCTATTTGTCAGCTGCAGGAAAACCGAGGTTTAGTAGTGCAACAGGGAGGTACGAAGGCTCTTCTTGGCCTGGCCTCAGAAGGCACAAAGAAGGGCAAAACAGTGGCAGCACAAGCTCTAGCCCGTATTGCCATCACTATGAATCCAGAGGTTGCTTTTCCAGGACAGAGGGTAGGTGAGATGAATTATTAAAGTGTAGTACAGTTGTTCCAAACTAAATTAATAGAAAATTATGTTGGCATTGAGATCCAAGTTAGTGTTCATTTTCTTTCAGGGAGGAGTGGGATTAAAAGAAGGTGAATTTGGTATAAAGTGGGAGTTGTCAGAGTTGCATTTTTCTGATAACATTTCCTGCTGTTGGAGTGTGAGCAAAGTAACATTTATGAAGGGATTCAGGGAAACCGGCAGGCCGGACTTGAGTCCTGGAGATGGGAAGTACAGTGCCAGCACTCTGAAGGAGGGGTGTTAATGTTGCAGTTTAAAAACTGTAGTGTAAAGCACCCTTCTGGCAAGACAGTGATGGAGTGAATGATGGTGAAAGTTTTTCTTTTTCAGGCCACCCTGCCTTGGTGGGAATCGGCCAGTGTGATAATAAAATAAAAAAATTTCCTTTCGAAGAGTCTGAAGAGAAGTTGTAAAGGTTGGTGAACTAATTTGGGAGGGTATGTAAAAGAAACAAATTAAAAGTGAATATAGGAAAGAGTAAGGTGATGAGAGTATTAGAAAATATATATGCAGTGAGAGATTGGATATCACATTGGAAGGAAGGGAGGGAGTGTATGGAGGAAGTGAATGTGTTCAGATATTTGGGAGTGTACCTCTCGACAGATGGTTTTATGAGTGATAAGGTGAACCATAGAAATGACAAAAAGAGGTTGGTGCATTGAGGCATATGTGGAAACTAAGAACTTTATCCATGGAAGCAAAAAGGGGAAATGTGCCAGAGTATAGTGGTACTAACACTGTTGTATGGATGTAAGTCTTGAGTTTTGAATATTGCAGCAATGAGGAGGTTGGAGGCAGCTGAGATGTATTTGAAGGGCAATATGTGGTGTGAATATATGCAGAGAATTTGGAGTTTAGATATTAAGAGGTGTGGAATAACCAAAAGTATTATTCGGAGGGCTCAGACATGTTTTTTGAGGGGATTCAGACATTTAAAGAGGCTGGAGAAATATAGGAGGGCATATAAATCTGGGACAGAGGAATAGAGGAGTAGGAGTTTTCCTAGGAAATGTTGGAGGTAGGGGGTAAAGGAGCCTTTGAGTTCTAGGGACTTTGACAAGGCCTGTGTGAGTGTGTTAGATAGGAGTGAGTGGAAGCAAATGGCTTCATTTATAGTAATATTTATGAAGGGATTCAGAGGGAACCACTTAGCCAGACCAGAGTCCTGGAGGTGGGAAGTACAGTGCCTGCACTCTGAAGGAGGGGTGGGATTCTAAACATATAATGGAAAAAAAAAGTACTGAATGCACAGTCTGTATAAGGATTTTCAAAGTTGAGATGTAAATAATGGATGTATAGTAACTCAGCAGAATAAAGTTTATATAACTGGCATGGTAAGTAGCTATAATATAAAAGAGGGAATACAGAGAATATAAATTTCAGTATATTTCACAAATAACCCACACACAGTAAGGAAATTTCATCTCTCATCACTGATGCTTCTGGTTTTATATCCTGCTCCACCTACCCTCCAGTACTTTGGTGAAACTGGCTCCTTTTTTTTGTCTGACTGACTTAGAGAGCACAAAAGAAGTGCTAAAACTATCTTTCCTCCTAACATTAATCATAGTTTCAACTTTGTGTTTATTCCTGCCTTTCTGTCCTCAGAACACTCTTGAATTGATTTAACCTTTGTCTTCTCACTGTTTCTCATGATCTGTCATCAATATTTCCTTCAAATTTTCCTGTCTTGACTTTCTCCTTACTCTTCTCCCTCACCTGACATACACAGATAATGCTAAAAAATAATATGTAAAAATAGGATCTATTAAAAAAAATCACACTAGTATCCAGCATTATTTAAAATCTGGCACGCCTTTTGCCCATAATGGCTGGTTAACCCTTTGAGGGTCCAGAGGCCAAATCTCAAGTGTGACAGGCAGGGTCCAAGAATTTTTTTTTTTTTTTTTATGAAATAGTAGAGAATCTTTTTCTGAAGGTAATAAAACAAAAAGTACAAAATTTGATGGAAAATTAATGAAATTATGCTCTCGCGAATTTTGCTGCATCAACAATATTTACGCATCAGCGATTTTGCAAATTACATTATTCCAGTCGACCAAATTCTTAACTATTTCTCTAGTATTTCTTCTGTTTTATCAATTGAGCACAAGAAATCACCCAGTCAACTGTTTCAACTACCCAATAAACTACGAATAAAGTGTTTGGAAATTGGTAATTTGGCCAATTTAACACCAAGTTCAAAATATTCCAATTTCAAAATAGGGTCCAGAATAAACAATGCAGACATTCCTGGCACTAAACTAACATTTCCTCTGTTCATTAGCTATGTTTTTGGCTTTACAAATGAAATTCATTTTGATTTTTTATTCACACCAAAAAATAGACAATTTACTGTTATGCAATATTGTAATAATTGTATAAATAATATCAGCACATTCGTGAACATATATTAGACCCACCAACTGACATGTATTAGACGTGTGACATCATTTGTTTACTTGAACATCAGCAAAAATTGAACATTTCTGCTACTTTGAGCTCAGTTTCAAGCCATTTTCAGTACTAAAACCAATCAAGATCATCTCTATTTCTGTAATATATCTTCCATTCTATCAAATGAGATGAAGAAATCGCAAATACAACTGCAAAAAAAAATGAAAAAACACTGCAAAGTCGCTGTTTTAATCCAGAAATACGGTCGCAGTTTTTTTTCTCGTTATGCACTGGGTGTTGCAGTATTTGTTTTATGTGGTGCACACTTACCACATAGATATATTCTAGACCTAAATTTACCGCTTACAGCTTATCTGAGTGAGCTGAGCTCAAGCCGTAGTTCTATGGCTTGGACCCAGGCTTCAAAGCTGTAGAACTACAGGATGGACCCTCAGAGGGTTAGCAGATTATTTATTTGTTATAATTTAACAAGTATATGTATTTTCACAGGATTTGAATAATTGAATCAAATATGAAAAGAGTGATCATCTTTTATTTTATCAGGCCTATGAGGTTGTGCGGCCATTATTGAAATTATTAGATGTAGAATGTGAAGCATTAGAGAACTTTGAGGCTCTGATGGGTCTTACTAACATTGCTGGAATGTCTGAGTCTACTAGAAAACGCATCATCAAAGAAAGAGGCTTGCCATTAATTGAGAACTACATGTTTGAATACCACGAAATGATAAGAAGAGCAGCCATTCAGGTAAGTTTAATTTAGGATTAATTTTTTATGTCATTAGCCAAAGAAGTTCAGTGTAGTTTAAAATAGTTAATCAAGGTAATGATTTTCAGTAACTATGATACATGTTAGGTAATAGGACACAGATACAACTAATGTGGCATTTTATTGTGGTAATGTTTTGCTCTTCAAGAGCTCCTGGAGAGTGAAATGTTGCCATAATAAAATGTGACATTAGTTGCATCTGTGTCCTCTTACCTAACATTTTGTCACTAATTCTACCATTATTGCTGATTTTTATACTTGATTATATACAGTTATATACTATACTTATAAATTATGCATAATAAGTAATGATCATGGATAATTTCTAAAATAGTTTAATGTTTACTTAAACAGTTATAATTTTAGAACTTCAGTAGTGAAAGGAAGGTACCAGAAATCTGAAAATTAGCAAAATGCCTTTCGATTTTTGGGTCAGGTATTCACAAGTACTGTACTGAATTTTGTATGGAGATGATTACACTAATTTCTTGTATGGCAGTGCTTTGTATACAATCCCCTATCCTAATGTAATGTAAAACAATTTAATTGGATGGGGAGATGCAAAATAATACTGTAGTATGTAAGTGACGTTTGTTTATAATTAGAGTACATATTTTTTTTACAGTGTATGGCAAATATGTGTGCATCTCCAGATATAATTAAGATGTTGGAAGGCAAAAATGACAAGTTTAAGTATCTGTTCCTTTGTGCATCTGACGAGGATGAAGAAATTATTAAAGCCGCTGCTGGTGCCCTCTGTATGGTCATGTCTGAATCACCCAAATGTTTAGTTAAAGTGTTTGAGGTAAGATTTAACCACTAATAATTTTTCTTGAGTGAATGCATGGGGACTTTTGAACTAAATGTGAGAGTACTTATGGTTAGGGATATCAATGCTAAAGTGGGTAAAAATGTTGTGGAGGGAGTAGTAGGTAAATTATGGGTGCCAGGGGTAAATGAAAATGGGGAGCCTTTGAGCTATGTGTAGAAAGAGGTTTTGTAATAAGTAATACATATTTTATGAAAAAGAGGATAAATAAATATACAAGGTATGATATAGCACGTAATGAAAGTAGTTTGTTAGCTTATGTATTGGTGGATAAAAGGTTGATGGGTAGGCTTCAGGATGTACACGTTTATAGAGGGGCAACTGATATATCGGATCATTATCTAGTTGGGGCTACAGTTAGAGTAAGAGGTAGATGGGAAAAGAGGAAAATGGCAACAAGTAAGAGGGAGGTGAAAGTGTATGAAGTAAGGGAGGAGGAAGTTCGGGTAAGATATAAGGAACTATTGGCAGAAAGGTGGGCTAGTGCAAGTATGAGTAATGGGGGGGTTGAGGAGGGTTGGAATAGTTTTAAAAATGCAGTAGTAGAATGTGGGGCAGAAGTTTGTGATTATAGGAGGGTGGGTGCAGGAGGAAAGAGGAGTGATTGGTGGAATGATGAAGTAAAGGGTGTGATAAAAGAGAAAAAGGTAGCTTATGAGAGGTTTTTACAAAGCAGAAGTGTTATAAGAAGAGTAAAAGAAAGGTGAAGAGAGTGGTGAGAGAGTGCAAAAGGAGAGCGGATAATAGAGTGGGAGAGGCACTGTCAAGAAATTTTAATGAAAATAGGGAACAAATGGATTTGTCAGTTAAAAACAGAGTAGAAGAGTTAGTAGATAGGGAGATGGAGGCATTGGGTAGATGGCGAGAATACTTTGAGGAACTTTTAAATGTCGATGAAGAAAGGGAGGCAGTACTTTCATGCACTGGCCAGGGAGGTATATCATCTTTTAGGAGTGAAGAAGAGCAGGATGTAAATGTGGGGGAGGTGTGTGAGGCATTACGTAAAATGAAAGGAGGTAAAGCAGCTGGAAATGACGGGATCATGACAGAAATGTTAAAAGCAAGGGGGGGATATAGTGTTGGAGTGGTTGGTATTTTTGTTTAATAAATGTATGAAAGAGGGGAAGGTACCTAAGGATTGGCGGAGAGCATGTATAGTCCGTTTATATAAAGGGAAGGGGGACAAAAGAGATTGTAAAAATTATAGAAGAATTAGTTTACTGAGTATACCAGGAAAAGTGAACGGTAGGGTTATTGAAAGAATTAGAGGCAAGACAGAATGTAGGATTGCGGATGAGCAAGGAGGCTTTAGGGTAGGGGATGTGTAGATCAGGTATTTACATTGAAGCATATATGTGAACAGTTTTTAGATCAAGGTAGGTAAGTTTTTATTGCATTTATGGATTTAGAAAAGGCATATGATAGTGGATAGAGGAGCAATGTGGCATAGGTGGCAAGTTACTAAATGCTGTAAAGAGTTTTTACGAGGTGTAATGTCACCATGGTTGTTTAATATATTTATAGATGGGGTTGTAAAAGAAGTAAATGCTAGGGTGTTCGGGAGAGGGGTGGGATTAAATTATGGGGAATCAAATACAAAATGGGAAGTGACACAGTTACTTTTTGCTGATGATACTGTGCTTATGGGTGGTTCTAAAGAAAAATTGCAGAGGTTAGTGGACAAATTTGGGTGTGTGTGTGTAAAGGTAGAAAAGAATAAGGTGATGAGGGTATCAAATGATTTAGATAAAGAAAATATCAAATTGGGGAGGAGGAGTATGGAAGAAGTGAATGTTTTCAGATATTTGGGAGTTGACATATCAGCGGATGGATTTTTGAAGGATGAGGTTACTCATAGAATTAATGAGGGAAAAAAGGCGAGTGGTGCGTTGAGGTATATGTGGAGGCAAAGAAGGGAATGTATGAAAGTATAGTGGTACCAACACTCTTATATGGGTGTGAAGCTTGGGTTGTAAATGCTGCAGCGAGGAGGCAGTGGAGATGTCCTGTCTAAGGGCAGTTTGTGGTGTAAATATTATGCAGAAAATTTGGAGTAGGTATGGAGTTAATAAAAGTATTAGGCAGAGGGCTGAAGAGGGGTTGTTGAGGTGGTTTGGTCATTTAGAGAGAATGGACCAAAGTAGAATGACATGGAGAGCGTATAAATCTGTAAGGGAAGGGGGGAGGGGGTAAAGGAGGTTTTGTGGGAGAGGGGCTTGGACTTCCAGCAAGTGTGCATGAGCATGTTAGATAGGAGTGAATGGTATTTGGGACCTGACAAGCTGTTGGAGTGTGAGCAGGGTAATATTTAGTGAAGGGATTCAGGAAACCAGTTATTTTATATAGCCGGAAATGGGAAGTACAGTGCCTGCACTTTGAAGGAGGCGTTTGGGATATTGGCAGTTTGGAGGGATATGTTGTGTATTCTTTATACATATATATACTTCTAAACTGTTGTATTCCGAGCACCTCTGCAAAAACAGTGATTATGTGTGATGAAAGTATTTTCTTTTTGGGTCACCCTGCCTCGGTGGGAGACAGCCGACTTGTTAAAAAAATTAAAATAACATTATATGAAGTCTTTGACATACTGATTATGAAAATGTAGTGTAAATGATTAAATATCAGTTAATTTTATAGAATATAGAGTACTATAACTATTTTTCACAAAACTTTCTAATGATCTGTATATTTTTTTAGGCTAAAGACTGGGAAGAAATCCTAAAGTTCCTACTTTCTCATGGAAATAAGGACATCCAGTACCGTGGTACTATCATTGTATACCTGCTAGTCTCTCATGACAAGCAAACAGCTGAGAGGGTGATAGACACACACTGTAAGGTAAGAATTCAGCAATACTAAATATAGCCATTTACTATACAGTACAGCTATAAAATAAATTTAAAAATTTGAATAGACTTTCCAGATTAAAATAATTTTGCAAGCATTTAAGAAATCATCAGTTATCATTGCATTCTCTTATTAATATTTATAGAGCATACCTAGCAATGTTTATAATAAATCTAGGATGATTAAGATGGTTACGTTTTCTTAGAGGCAATAAAGTCAAAAATACGGAGAAAGTTTATAGAATTTTGATGAATTTCTTAGGACATGTTGGTGAGGCAGTAGGTAAAATGAAAGGGGGTAAGGCAGCCGGGATTGATGGGATAAAGATAGAAATGTTAAAAGCAGGTGGGGATATAGTTTTGGAGTGGTTGGTGCAATTATTTAATAAATGTATGGAAGAGGGTAAGGTACCTGGGGATTGGCAGAGACGATGCATAGTTCCTTTGTATAAAGGCAAAGGGGATAAAAGAGAGTGCAAAAATTATAGGGGGATAAGTCTGTTGAGTGTACCTGGTAAAGTGTATGGTAGAGTTATAATTGAAAGAATTAAGAGTAGGACGGAGAATAGGATAGCAGATGAACAAGGAGGCTTTAGGAAAGGTAGGGGGTGTGTGGACCAGGTGTTTACAGTGAAACATATAAGTGAACAGTATTTAGATAAGGCTAAAGAGGTCTTTGTGGCATTTATGGATTTGGAAAAGGCGTATGACAGGGTGGATATTATTATTATAATCAAAAAGAAGCGCTAAGCCACAAGGGCTATACAGCGCTGACAGGGTGGATAGGGGGGCAATGTGGCAGATGTTGCAAGTGTATGGTGTAGGAGGTAGGTTACTGAAAGCAGTGAAGAGTTTTTACGAGGATAGTGAGGCTCAAGTTAGAGTATGTAGGAAAGAGGGAAATTTTTTCCCAGTAAAAGTAGGCCTTAGACAAGGATGTGTGATGTCACCATGGTTGTTTAATATATTTATAGATGGGGTTGTAAGAGAAGTAAATGCGAGGGTCTTGGCAAGAGGCGTGGAGTTAAAAGATAAAGAATCACACACAAAGTGGGAGTTGTCACAGCTGCTCTTTGCTGATGACACTGTGCTCTTGGGAGATTCTGAAGAGAAGTTGCAGAGATTGGTGGATGAATTTGGTAGGGTGTGCAAAAGAAGAAAATTAAAGGTGAATACAGGAAAGAGTAAGGTTATGAGGATAACAAAAAGATTAGGTGATGAAAGATTGAATATCAGATTGGAGGGAGAGAGTATGGAGGAGGTGAACGTATTCAGATATTTGGGAGTGGACGTGTCAGCGGATGGGTCTATGAAAGATGAGGTGAATCATAGAATTGATGAGGGAAAAAGAGTGAGTGGTGCACTTAGGAGTCTGTGGAGACAAAGAACTTTGTCCTTGGAGGCAAAGAGGGGAATGTATGAGAGTATAGTTTTACCAACGCTCTTATATGGGTGTGAAGCGTGGGTGATGAATGTTGCAGCGAGGAGAAGGCTGGAGGCAGTGGAGATGTCATGTCTGAGGGCAATGTGTGGTGTGAATATAATGCAGAGAATTCGTAGTTTGGAAGTTAGGAGGAGGTGCGGGATTACCAAAACTGTTGTCCAGAGGGCTGAGGAAGGGTTGTTGAGGTGGTTCGGACATGTAGAGAGAATGGAGCGAAACAGAATGACTTCAAGAGTGTATCAGTCTGTAGTGGAAGGAAGGCGGGGTAGGGGTCGGCCTAGGAAGGGTTGGAGGGAGGGGGTAAAGGAGGTTTTGTGTGCGAGGGGCTTGGACTTCCAGCAGGCATGCGTGAGCGTGTTTGATAGGAGTGAATGGAGACAAATGGTTTTTAATACTTGACGTGCTGTTGGAGTGTGAGCAAAGTAACATTTATGAAGGGATTCAGGGAAACCGGCAGGCCGGACTTGAGTCCTGGAGATGGGAAGTACAGTGCCTGCACTCTGAAGGAGGGGTGTTAATGTTGCAGTTTAAAAACTGTAGTGTAAAGCACCCTTCTGGCAAGACAGTGATGGAGTGAATGATGGTGAAAGTTTTTCTTTTTCGGGCCACCCTGCCTTGGTGGGAATCGGCCGGTGTGATAATAAAAAAAAAAAAAAAATAAAATGTTGGTACAGAATACAAAATCATTACCTATGTAATTTAATCATTAACAAGTTGAATTACTGTAATTTTTTGTAAATCTATTTAGCACTTGTTGCCTCTTGAACTGAAGGAAGAATCTACCTCTAACTATTTCAACCTTTGAATATTTGACTTAAACATATTGAGGGGGTTACCATAATATACTGTACACGTATTACAATAGGAATGGGAGGAAAGCTGGCTGAAGCAATGAAGTTTTTGTAAAAGAGTAAAACCTGTTTCAAATAAAGTTGTAACTCATGTGTAATGAGACAAGAGTAGACTTGAGAAATTAAGAGCTACATTATCTGGAAAATTGTGTTTGCAGATTTATAAAGAAAATATTGCTAGTTTCTGAATTTGATGAAATTTTGAAAGGCCAGATTCCCACATATCGTAGTCAATTGTTTTTAATTTGCATTATTATTATAATAAAAACCAAGTGCTAGACCCACAAGGGTCATACAACACTGTTTAACTTGCAATAAAACCTTATAGATGTCTATTATATAATGTTTTTAATTGAGTTATACATTTTGTTAACATTTTCTTATTCCAACAGACTGCTCTTGAAGCTATTTCCAAGATAGACAATCCAGAATTGGTTTTACCCAAGGCTCGTGAATATGCTTATAATACACTGAAGTTATGTGCAACTCAGTGGAAGCTCATCAAAGACCCTGATGTACAAGACGATTAGTTTTTTTCCTTGGGTCATTGTTGAATATTTCTTCCATCAATGAGATATTAGATACTGTAGAAGTACAGTGGTATCTTGGAATACGAACAGATCAAAACTCGAACAGTTATGCAAGTGCTTTTGTTTTGGGGTTCTGAAATGGACTAATCTAATTTATATTCTTCCTTGTGGGAACAAATTCGTTCGGTATCAGCATTAACAGCCTTCAGGAACGAACTAAGTTCGTATCTCGAGGTGCCACTGTATATTGCCAGTGATTTATAAAGTCACCTCATTCTGCAGAATATAAATGTTATATTTAAAAAAGTGAAAATTTTTATTAGTGTTAAAAGTATTAACACTATTTAATTTTAGCTAGAATTCATTTAAAAAGTAGTACATCTGTAGTCACCTGAAAAATGGGTTAGTTGGTGAGACATCATAGTATAGTGGTAATGCTCTTCACTTTTCAGTACAAGGGAGTCTGGGTCAAGACTTAAATATTATTCCGTGTGATCAAAGCTAAGCTTTCTAGTGTGACTTGAGGCTCTTGATACTTGGACTGAAAAAACAGAGGATCACAAAGATGGTAAATTTTATTTATTATTCCTGAAATGTTTCAGAATTGCCAAGCGAGAATAGTGTTAGATAAAAAATTTCCCATATGAAGTGGGATGCCTGGAGAATAGGAGAGGGGTAATGAAGCTTGAAGGGAAGGAGAGGGTATATTCAGTTCCTTAAGTCAAGAGCCATTCACTAGTATCAAGACACCCCCCCCCCTCTTTAGTAGTTCATATTGACTACCTCCCATTAGCTTAATTTTCTAAGTTGCAGCAAATGCTGGTTGTATCCAGTTAGACAAACTTTTACAGATAGCTATTTAAACACCTTAAGTATATTTAGAAAGAATGGAACAAAGTAGAATGACTTGGAGACTGTATAAATCTATTGGGGAAGGAAGGCGGGGTAGGGGTTGTCCCTGAAAAGGTCGGAGGGAGGGGCTTGGACTACCAGCAAGCGTGCATGAGTATTTTAGATAGGAGTGAATGGAGACTAATGGTTTTTGGGACCTGACGAGCCGTTGGAGTGTGAGCAGGGTAATATTTTGTGAAGGGATTAGAGGAAACCAGTTAGCCGGACTTGAGCCCTGGAAATGGGAAGTACTATGCCTGCACTTTAAAGGAGGGGTTAAAGATATTGGTAGTTTGCAGGGACGTTTAAACTGTCATATCTGAGCTCCTCTGCAAAGACGGTGATTATGTATGAGTGATGGTGAAAGTGTTGAATGATGATGAGTTTTTTCTTTCTTTTTGGGTCACCCTGCCTAGGTGAGAAACAGCTGATGTGTTAAAAAAAGTATATATACCGTTCAAAGTTACTTACACTTTTAACATCTTGAGGGTATTTAGTTGCATATTTTCTTAAAGCTAAAATTCTAAAGGATTACTATAATTTTAATGGAGTGCTTGGGATTTCCTTGTGAACAGTTTTACTCCTACACTATGATGATAATGGTAGTTGTGTAAATGCAGAGCTATTCCATTATAGATAAGTTTTATTTTAAGTGCCATTTTCAGTAAATTATATTTATAATTGGAATCATTTTGATTGTGTGCGTGTAAAAAGATGTTTGTGCCTTATTTATATGCTCTGTTGGGTCACCTGGCATTTAGCCTAACACACACACACTACAGCCTTATTATCAAGCCCTTTAATAGCACTTTCTTTTGAATAAAAGTCTGCTTTCCACATGATAACCACTGGTTACTCTGCCAGAAAGCTCATTACCAGTCACACGTGAGTGTTAGCTATACAATTATGTATTATAATCAAAACCAAGTGCTAAACCCACCAGGGTCATACAATTATGTAGAAAAGTTAAAACTGTAGGGGTCATAGTGCCTGGGTTTTAATATTTATCTGAGGGTTGAACTAAGGTGCCCCTGGTATTGTAAGTGCTCTCGATATCTTGTGTTTGCTCCAAGCCAGATATGCTGCAAGATCTGGTAATCATTATTATTATAATCAAAATGAAGTGCTAAACCCATAAGGGCCATTCTCCTGGTAATCATGAGCATTAAGGTTAATTTTATTTTGATTCGAATGGCTTTGTGCTGCAAAAATCAGACTTTGAGATAGCCCATGTCAATTTTGTGTTACATCTTCTCCCTTTAGGATTTATATTGCCTCTAGTCTTGCTTAGAGTTGGGGTCTTCCTGGGAATAAGATGTATAGAATATTTACCTTTGACTAAGAAAAATTATTTTCTATGCTGTCAATAGGTCTAATTACATTCCTCTTCTTATGTCAAGGGACTGAAGAGAAAATAACCTATAGCCTAAAGACATGTATGAAACTCATTCTATTAGGAGACATGTAACCCACTGGTGGCTTTTCCAGGCACACTGGATTGATAGAGTATCTCCCATGGTTGAAACGTGATAAAATGTCCCAGGTGTTGCATAATTGTCTGTTCATCAGTATTGTTATACTTAGTACTTTAAGAAAATACCTGTAGCAAGAATGCTGAGGTAGCCTGGTAAACAGAATTTGCCACTGATAATGAGCATGTCTGGCAGAGTAAGCAGTGATTGAGTGGAAAAAGCATGATTTGTAGTACTAAAGACTTGTGTGTGAATGGGAGGCTGTTTTTTTTTTTTTAGGAAGTTAACTGATCCACAGCAGCATTGATGATCCTCATCCTTCATAAATTATTGTTAGTGAAATTTTTATACAGTACGTGTACCTAAATTATGGATTGTTGTATTTATTTAAATTATAAAAAAAAAAAAAAAAAAAAAGGTAAATCCTACACTGAGAGACCCTCTTCAGCAGATTAAAAATATGGAGTAGACAGAGGTTTATAATGAAAAGCATTCAGCTTAGCAAGGTGGAGCAGCACATAGGTTACGTCAAATCCACAGCCAAGTAGACCTCCCCAGTTCCTGTTGGTAAATTTTGTGTTCAGTATTATTGTATATGAACTAATTATATCTGGCATCCATAGTCCTTGTCAGAGATTGAAAGTAGGTTGTGACATGAAGATGACTTCAGTGATATTTCTTTTAAAAGGACAGGATGTTTTTGGGAGAGATTTGCATTTTCCTAGCGTATGCCATTGTTGGTTGACTTACACAACACGTCGAAAGATGAACATGCTTCGTCTTTCAGCTTATTCTTTTTGTTTTCGATGCTCCAATATCTTACGCACATTATTATTATAATCCAAAAGAAGCGCTAAGCCACAAGGACTATACAGCTTCTTATGCACATAATCTGCAATCCTTAGAGAACTTTGTAGACTCTTAGTGTAAGGGTAGAGATTAGTTTATTAGAAATATTGTCATTTTTTAGGTAATATGGAACTATTTTAGCAATGCTCTGATTTTTTTTTTTTTTCTTCTAAGTAGGTTATAAAAATTTGTTAGCTTTGACTGCACTTATTTGTATAACCCAATCTGGGTATTTAGTTGGTGGAATTGAATGTTTTTTTTTTTTTTTCCTTGGTCTAAGTGTTGGGGCTTCAGATCTTTGAGGCTCTTAAGATAACAGTGCTGTATAGCCCTTGTGGCTTAGCGCTTCTTTTTGATTATAATAAGATAACAGTATGAAAGTATAGTAGTACCAACACTCTTATATGGGTGTGAAGCTTGGGTGGTAAATGCAGCAGCGAGGAGACGGTTGGAGGCAGTGGAGATGTCCTGTTTAAGGGCAATGTGTGGTGTAAATATTATGCAGAAAATTCGGAGTGTGGAAATTAGGAGAAGGTGTGGAGTTAATAAAAGTATTAGTCAGAGGGCAGAAGAGGGGTTGTTGAGGTGGTTTGGTCATTTAGAGAGAATGGATCTAAGTAGAATGACATGGAAAGCATATAAATCTATAGGGGAAGGAAGGCGGGGTAGGGGTCGTCCTCGAAAGGGTTGGAGAGAGGGGGTAAAGGAGGTTTTGTGGGTAAGGGGCTTGGACTTCCAGCAAGTGTGCGTGAGCATGTTAGATAGGAGTGAATTGAGACGAATGGTACTTGGGACCTGATGATCTGTTGGAGTGTGAGCAGGGTAATATTTAGTGAAGGGATTCAGGGAAACCGGTTATTTTCATATAGTCGGACTTGAGTCCTGGAAATGGGAAGTACAATGCCTGCACTTTAAAGGAGGGGTTTGGGATATTGGCAGTTTGGAGGGATATGTTGTGTATCTTTATATGTGTATGCTTCTAGACTGTTGTATTCTGAGCACCTCTGCAAAAACAGTGATAATGTGCGAGTGTGGTGAAAGTATTTTCTTTTTGGGGATTTTCTTTCTTTTTTGGGTCACCCTGCCTCGGTGGGAGACGGCCGACTTGTTGAAAAAAAAAAAAAAAAAAAACAGTATTTGATAGAATCTTTGGGAAAGCTTAAGTAGCAAATATAGCTGGCCTCTTGTGGTGTTCTGTAGACCCTACCCCACATGGGAAGTACTGTATATACAAAACAGGGGCACCACACCTAAATTCTCAACATACAGAAACCCAATGCAACCAATTGTATTCAACTTCCACAAAAACTACATCAAGAAGTGTCATTGCAGGGTTATTTTCAAGATACATGGGAATTTGTAGCCCCAACAATTTGCAAGATCTTAATTCCACCAACTAGGATACCTAGTGTGTGTGTTCTATAATTGGGTTTATTAAAAAATGCTAAAAAAAATTTACAACAGCCTACTCGACAGTAAAAAATTTTAAATCATCCAGTACCATCAAAAAAAAAAAAGTATCTTCTCAAGAGGATCATCATAAAGGTTCCATAGTACCTCAACAAAATTAGCAATAATGCCAGCAATAAAAAAAATCCCTACCTTCTTACCAGGAGTTTACAAAATTACCTGTAAGGATTGCAGCATCCTTACACAGGACAAACTAAGAGGCACTCAAAACAAGGTTAATGAAACCTGAAAGAGCAGTCAGATATATATACAAGAAAACTTTATCTTTCAACATATTCTTACATGTCAACCATAGCATACACTGGGAAGGTGCAGATCTCTCGTGCAACATCCTGTCTTTTTAGAAGAAAGATCAGTGAAACTACCTTCATGTCAAAATCTACTTTAAACCTCTCACAAGAACAATGATAGCCAGATATAAAAACTAATATACAATAACTTATACTTGATCCAAACTTACCTACACAGAAAGTATTGAAACTCCAAAGGCCTACTTGGCTGTTAGTAGTTGACGTGGCTCAAAGTGTCTCCACCTTACTGTCATGTGCTTTCTATAATAATAATTATTTGTGCAACTGATACAAACCTAGTTAACATTATTGGCATACTTTCTATAAAGTCCCTAGGTATGCAGAGCATTTTTTGCAGCCTAAGTTAGTATTATCCCCCCCAATGATACAAAGCACAGCATCTGGATAATGCCCAAGTACCTACTTACTGCTAGGTAAACAAGGGCAGTAGATGAAAGGAAACTGCCCAATGTTTTACCTGTGCCAGGGATTGATCCTGGACCCTCAATATGAGCTGAGGTGTTTCAAAGCCATGAGCATCTCTGTCTATTCCACCTCTTTAGGGAGGTTCCTTGATGCTGGTGAGGGGCTCTTGATCCAAGGAAATGAACTTAACCTCCCCTTTGTTGGATCAAACCTGATTGCCTATGTTGTGACTCCCCCCTCCCCCCCCTGCAAGTTTAGTGTTCCTCATCCTCCTGTGTAGTAATAACTGGTGTATGCCAACAATCTGCTGCAGTGGGTCATTCACAATATACAGCTGTGCTATTTTTTCTGTCTGGGAGATTTACCTGCTTGTTGATCACTGTTCACTTATACAAGAGATGTTTCTTTTTATAAAATTAAATAAATTTTAAATATGAATTTTGTTTTCCTGATAAATGTACATCAATACTATATAGCACATAACACCTTCCAGAAATGTAAGAAGGGTTGGCTAAAGCTTTTAAAATGGTATAGAACCTTTTGTGGCAAAATAGAAAAATAAATACAAGAGATTTGGCTACAAGCAGAAGCTTCAGGCATTGTGAGAAACAGGAAAATAGCACCAAGGTTTTGGCAAGTGCGACAGTGTAGAAACTATATATTAAATGTAGTACTCACTAATCCCAGGTTATATACTTGTACATCTAATAATTGAATACCTTCACCAATAAAGCTCTTATCAACACAATTCTACAACAAAAAATAACTAGTAACACCATAAGAACACTACTGTGCTTGCATTGGTGGGGTGCAGACGTGCTTACTCGAGGCTCTTGGGTTGACTGTTGGCAGCGAGGAATTTTGTCTTGCCTACTGTTTGCCTATCATTTCCCTTTGCTTTTGTGCCTACCTTGGCTTTTGTACAGTGTTGTTTATCAGGCAGTGGTTGCCTTCTGCCTAATACTGGTGTGATGATAGGCCGGGATGTCCTCCCAAGTGGGCAAAGCGACTAATTGGCCCGAAATGTACACGTACCTTTTGAGGAGACTACTTCCACACCCCCAAATGACTCGAGAAGTGATGGCGATCCTTGTATCCCCCAAAGACAGTAAAACATCCTTCACTAATCAATGGGATGTCACTGATGCAATCAGCAGTTCCCCACTCGGCAGGGCTTGTGTGGATGGGAGTATCCAGCAGATAGGTAAGAGTACTGCTCTAAAGCTTAGGTTTCATTACCAGTCCTTTCTGGCCAGGAATTTTCCTCTATGTCATTCACATAAGGGAAATGTCTGTTGGGAGATTTGCACATAAGGGAAATGTTGTCTGTTGGGAGGGTTGCTCTTCAAACCTTATACTGCTAGCCAATGTAGCAGAATCGGTCCCATTTCTTGTGCTCCCATAGATAAGGAGATTCGCTCGTGAGCGGTTAAAGGATCCCTCACCTTTGGTGCAGCAGTGGCCTACAGTATCTCCAGACCCAGCATCATCTGCAGAGATTATCGCTCTTGCTCCCCTACGTTTGCAATGCGTGTCTCCCTGTTAGAGAAGTGGGGAAGCTTTGAAACTGAAGGTTCTGTTATCTCTAAAATCCACATGGGCCCCCCTGCCTGGTTCAGAGCTCCACTCCCCACTGCAGTCCCCCCCCCTCCCCTTGGTTTCTTCTCAACCACAGCCAATCTGTGTCAGGTCCCCCTTCACTTACAACAGTAGCTGAAGGTTCTGCTGTCTAACTCTCACCTAACTAGGCTTCACTCATTCGACCTGTGCTTTTGGCAGAGGAAGTGATTCACTCCTTACAGGGTACTCTTGGATCTCTCAGTTCTTCCACACTTCATCAGGTTTCTCAATTCTTCCATGCTTCATCAGGTTTCTCAATTCACACACTTTACTCCTTCCCACTCATCTCTCTCTCCCTAGCCAAGGTGGAGCTTCCACGACGTTACAACCTCGCCATTCTGTGGTTACCTGGTTTTGTTGTCTAACCTCAGGATTGCCCTGAAGAACAGGTTAGCTGGACTTGAGTTCTGGAGATGGAAAGTACAGTGCCTGCACTCGGAAGGGGGGGGGGGGAATATTTGCAGTTTGGAGGAGCATCTGAATTGTAGTATCAGTGCACATCTGGCAAGACAGTGATAGTGATGGCGAAAGTGTTTCTTCTTCACCGACCATCACTCTACCTCAGTAGGAGATGGTCGGTGTGTTAAAAAAATATATATGGCGATACACCTTGTTGTTGTTACTGCTGTTCTTATATGTACTGATCATCTTGTGAATGGTGATACACATTATTGCTTTTGTTGCTGCTCTTGTATTGATCATCATGTGAATGGTGATACACTGTTGTTGTTGCTGCTGTTATTAAATTTTTGTCATATACAAGTACGTATACAGTGGAACCTCTGTACTCGAACTTAATTCATTCCAGAAGGCTGTTTGAGTATTGAATGAATTCTTCCCAACCAATTTTCTTTTTGGTTGACTGTTATCACTAATCTTCATAGACCCCATGGTGACTTACTGATACAAATATTAAAAAATACTTAAAAATGCAAAGAAACACAAAATAGTTTACAGCGAAGTTCTGGCAGGTCATGTTTGGTCAAGTGCTGAGCTTTGTTCGAGTAGGGAGCTATACGACTACAGAGGTTCCACTGTATTTAAGGATGCGGTATTATGTTGACAAATATTTGATAACACTATAGTATTTAATGTAGAAAACTGACTGTCAGTTATTTAATTACAAATTTGTTAGTGTCACAAGTATTTTCATAAAGAGAATGAAGGTGTATCCTTTAGGCTGGAGAAGTTACTAAGTAAAACAGTTTTGTGGTAGTGTAAGTTAAAATAATATATGGTCGAATTATTGTCATTACTCATACCAATACGAGTTCATTTGGTGCTGGTATATATTTGGATGCATATACTCCTGTATTAGTTAGACTGTATCTAATACTGAGCTTTTAGACTAATGGTACTTGCCATAAAAATTCTCTGCCATTTTCCTTTCTTTTCCCACAATGCCCAAAGCTTCTGCTTGTTGCTAAGTCCCAAGCATTTCTTCCTGTTTTCCTATTTTTGCACTGAAGGATTCCTAGCAGTTTTGAAAAGCTTTTGCTATTTTTCTCATTTCTGGAAGGCACAATATTAAATTTTCATGAGATTGTGAATTTTCGTCACTACAATACCACACTTACGATCATAATGCATTTCTAAAACCTGTTCCTTACTGAATGTTTGGAGCTTGGAACCTGTAGATGCATTTCTTAATATGACCTACATGACTTAACATGACATAATAGTTATAGTCCTGACACCTACATTTCACACTGTGTGTTATATGAACTCATGAACATTTGGGAAAATGTGTTTGTTTTTCTTGAAAACTCAAAAAAAAAAAAAAAAAAAAATCATACAAGATTATCCAAAACAATGCTTTACCTCAAAATCTGGTGGGCAGTACTTGTTGGTCTGGACATGCAGAGGAGAATGGATGTGGTTCTTCTCACAACATACGGCATCGTACATACAGTCATGCACCACCAAAAAGCAAATGAAAATTAAAATTTTATTCCATACTATCAGATTCATTCTTGGCACCTCCAGCATCACTAGTATTTCTCCTGGGTGCCATGATTAATATACAGAAATGAGATGGTGCCAAAAATATCCACATCCATTTGGTAAACATGGAGGAAGGCATCATTTATACAGTTGTGCACCACTATGAAGCATATTAAAATTGCCACTCTTCAATATCATCAAAGATTACTACACATTCTTCATGGCACATTTAGCATTGCTACTATTCCTCTATGGTGCCATGGTTAATATCCACAGATTAAATAGGGTGATGAAAAGATTGAAAATAAATTGAACAACAAGGCTGAGTAGGGTATTGAATGCATTTACATGAAGACTGACTGCATAGGTGTATATTTACATTAACCCTTTCAGGGTTTCGGACATGTACTAGTACGGCTTACGCACCAGGGTTTTTGACGTACTAGTACGCCTAAATTCTAGCGCCCTCAAATCTAGTGAGAGAAAGCTGGTAGGCCTACATATGAAAGAATGGGTCTATGTGGTCAGTGTGCGCAGTATAAAAAAAATCCTGCAGCACACAGTGCGTAACGAGAAAAAAATAACTTTGACCGTGTTTTTGGATTAAAACAGCGACTTTGCACTGTATTTTCGTATGGTATTTATTGTTGTATTCTAGTTTTCCTGGTCTCATTTTATAGAATGGAAGACATATTACAGAAATTGAGATAATTTTGACTGGTTTTACAATGAAAAGTACCTTGAAATTGAGCTCAAATTAGCAGAAATGTTTGATTTTTACCAAAGTTCAAAAGTAAACAAATCATGCTAAATGTCCAACACACGTCAACTGGCGAGTCTAATATTCTTTCAAAAGTGCACCATTATTATTTATACCATTTCTAGACTAATGCAGTACTCTGCATAACAGTAAATCTTCTATTTTTTGTGAGAATAAAAGTTCAAAGTGGAAAGCAAAAGAATGTAAGAGGGGCATGGGGACGTGACTAGTGAACAGAGGAAATGTTATTTTAGTGCCAGGAATGTCTTTCTTGTTTATTCTGGACCCTATTTGGAAACTGGCATCTTTTGAAATGTGTGAAATTGGCAAAACTGCTAAATTCTGACCACTGTATTGGATAGTTGAAATTGGTAAATGGGTGGTTTCTTGTACTCATTCGATAGAAAAAATGGAGTTCTAGCGAAATAGTTATGATTTTTGTCGACTAGTACACTGTAATTGGCTGAAAATAGGGCTCAAAGTGGGCAAAATCGCTGATGCGTAAACATCGTCAAGACCGCTAACTTCGCAAGAGCATAATTCCGAAGTTTTCCATCAAATTTCATACTTTTGGTGTCATTATGATTGGGAAAAGATTCTCTATCTTTTCACAAGAAAACAAATTTTTTTTTTTTTTTTTGAAATTTGGGCAACCCTGAGAACAAGTCTCGGAGAGGGCCTGGCGACCCTGAAAGGGTTAAGGGTTAGATTAGATCTTTTCTCTAAACACAATGGCCTTGACCAAAAGCTATTTGAAATGTGAAATAATTTACTGCCTCCCACAGTTTGTTCCAGTGGGATTTGGAATGTAATATGGACTTTTGCTTATTTTTCCAAAAATTTACAGTGCACAACAGCAGCTTTTTCTTCCATATGTGAAATTGGAAAATATCATTCATAAGGGTTTTACTCATAATGTGGTGTGTGAATGCATGTTATGTGAAAGCCAAGTGTATCAAATTTCATGTACGTATTTTATAATAATGTAATTTCAAACTATTATACTTTTATAACAACGAAATTTAAAACTGTACAGTACAGTATTCAGACGAGTCATTGTCCTCCCTTTTCTTTCCCTCCCTCTCATCTATTCCCTTATCATCCTGACACATTCCCTCCCTCCCATTCTACCATCATATCTGACAATGCTACATGGGCATCACACTAGAACTGCCTTCCTCTATGACCTCACATTTGGCATTAGAGGGGTAGAAGGAATAAAACTGCCTCCCTCATCCATGTTCACATTGAATCTGACATAAAACTAAATCCAATCTGACATAACACCATATGCAGCAACAATAGGACTGCCTCCCTCTCATTCACTCTGACACTACATTATATATATTCTATTCACTCTCACTGTTATGGCAATGGTATTAGATGCATTGGCAAATATTATGAAAGTTAAGGTAACAGTGAGAGTAATTGTTTACCTGAGTTCTGCAGGAAGGAAGCTGCTGTACGTCAACCACTGACCACACCTGTCATATACCTGTGATAAGTACAAAAGTAAAAGCAATGAAACTGGGAGAACAGTAAAAGCCACAAACACCACCATCTGAGAAAATGACCCATAGGTTGTTGTTGGTGGCATGCTGGCCCCACAGCCATCACAGCTTACACTACACAAATTACCCGCACATAGAAGAGAGGAGCTTACGACGACGTTTCGGTCCGACTTGGACCATTCACAAAGTCACAGCTTGTCTAACCTGCCACCTGGCAGAAATACTGGTCAACTTTCCTCTTGAAGACTTCTACACTTGTCCCAGAAGTATTTCTGATATCTGTTGGTAAATGTTGAATAGTCTATCTCCACAGCTGTTGACAAGGTGTTCTCTTATTGTGGTCAAGGCATCCCAACCCTTTATTACTTGTACATTTGTCTCAATCCACAGACTCTCCATGCTGTCTTTCTACCCTATTCATACAAAATACTAGTGTATAGTAAGCAAAGCATTAGCCAGATATGATCTGCATAGTCTGACCTGTGTAAATTCCAAGTGACATGAAAGATACAGCAAAATTAGTGACATCAAGAAAGACATTGCCACTGCCCATAAGAGAACCTTTATTCCTTATACTTGGAGGTCTGCCTGGGCAATACACCAGGGCCAATGCCCCTGCAGCCCAGTCCTAGATCAGGCCTCCCAGTGGATGGCCTCATCAGCCTGGCTGTTGATGCTAGCTGCACGAAGTCCAACAAGCACCAGTCTGGCTGATCAGGAACTGACTTGAGAAATTTGTCCAGTTCCTTCTGGAAGACAGCCAGGGGTCTGCCGGTAATTCCCCTTAGGTATGAAGGGAGGGCACTGAAAAGTCTTGGTCCTTGCACACTGAGTTTTCCCTAAGTTTACTCATGGCACCTCTGCTTTTCACTGGGAACATTTTGCATCATCTGCCAATGTGTGTGTGGAGATTTGGAAACAATCCTAGCAATTGAGGCACCTAGCTGAATCTGTGCAAGCATTAAAGGTTCTCTGCACATTCCCCACATTCGCAATTTCGCCTGCCCTGAATGGAGCTGTTTGAATACAGCTGTAAACTAGGCTAGAGAGAACAGGTGACTTGAAGAGTATCATCATTGGCTAAGCATCTTTTGTTTTGAAGGTTCTAGTTATCCAGCCTATCAATTTTTCCTTGCAGATGTGACAGTGACACTGCTGTGATCCTTGAAGGCAAGATCTAACAATCACTCCCAGGTCTCACATTAGTCATACACTCTATCGAGTGATTCGAGTTGGATGCTTTATACTCTATTTCCTAAAGCTTTCCAAAATGAAGTGATCAAAACTTGTCCTCAATGAACATCATATTGTTGTCAGTGGCCCACTGGAAAATTGTTTATATCAACTTGGAGGCTTACACTGTCCTCAATGGATACTACTCATACAGATTTTGGAATCATATTTACTGATGGTATACAATTCTGGCAGATTAATAAGCAAGACACATTCACAGCCCTTGAGTATCTTTATTGATGAAATGTTTCACCTGTACAACAGGGTTCTTTAGACAGATGCTGATGATGCAATACTGGAAACTGTAGTAGTATTGGGAAGGTGATCGACCGATCACATTAATACCATTTCTATAGTTTCCATTGCTGCATCTATTTGACTGAGGAAGCAGCCTGACCAGGAAAAACGTTTCAGCAATAAAGATACCTAGGTGTTGTAAATATGTCTTATTTATAAACTTGTCAGTATTGTATAACATCAACACGATACTTGTCTGACACAGCAACATGTATCTTGGTACAGAGGGAGTTCTGAATAACTTCTTTGCTAAACAACTGCTTAGCAAGACCTACTTCCACTATTGGGTGATGCTCACGTGTGACGTAAACTCCAGCCTCTTCATCAAATCTAGTAAGGTCTGGCCACTTGCCTATGCTTTAGGCTTGAGGGACTGACCACCTCCCACATCAATACTACTACTATTTCCAATGCTGTATTCACTTGTATCTGACTGAGAAGTGTTGTACAGGCAAAACCTTTCAGCAATAAAAATACCCAAGTGTTGTAAATGTGTCTTATTTACCAAATTCTATTATCTCCTGCAAAGGATAATGCAGTGCAATGAGTTATGGATCTGTCTATATCAGTTATGAGAATGAGAAAGAGAACAGGGGCAAGCACTGTGCCTTGGGGAACAGAGCTCCTCACTATGGCAACCTCCAGTTTTACTTAGTTCCCTATTGCACTTCAGGTTCTATTCATCAGATAATTAAATATCCATCTGTCCACTTTTCAAGTAATTCCTTTTGCACACATTATGTGTGCAATTACACCATGGCTACTTATCAAAAGCTTTGACAAAAATTACATATAAATTAGCATTTTATGTCCCATATTCTTTCATGTTGCCAAGATGAATCATATATCCTAAACAATATTAAAAAATTGGAGTGGAACTGTACTGCACATGTTAATTAGCTATTCAAAATCAAAAGACAAAAATGAGCACTAATTATGTATGAGGAAATGCACAACTAAGCACAATGCAGAGTTCAATTTTGATGTTTCAAAAGTTTTATTTCTGAGTCTCTTATTATTTATATATAAATTCAAATATTTTCATCATTATAAGGTTAGGTTGTTCTCGCTTAAAGAAACTGGATATACGGAAAATTTTTGTACAATAAATTTCTAAACTGACTGAAACAAATTAATTTACAATTATATTTAAGTTAATTTTATTTTAACAATCATAACCCATACTAATTAACCTTACTTAACATGAGTGTTTACATATTTTTATCTAAATATTTCAATTATACATCCATGGAATTACACATACAAAAGAATTTTTAATGGCAAAAAAATATTTGAAACTAGTGGTCAAGATAAATACAGTATCAAAATAAGCATCAAGACTAATGTTATTTGCTACCACCTATGGGAGCACTAACAATTGCTTGCATAGAGTCTTTCACAAGACTAAGATTTGCTCTCCAGCTGGTGAGTGTGTCATGAAGGGCCTGCCACTGGTTGCGGCCAAACGTGCGGTGAACTCTTGACGAAACATACACTTTGTGTTGACTCTGGTCCATCCGAGCACTTACTAGCTTGGTTTTTAAAGCTGCAAACAGAACAACTTAATAAGACACTTATATTTTGAGATAAATACAGTGGTCCCTTGATTAATGACCTAGATAAGGCAATCCAGTATTTTGTACCTAATTCCTACTATTTTCTTCATTCTTGACAACTGAAAAAAAATATAAGCTTATCAAACATACCAAATATAGTGGAACCCTGGTTTTCATCCGGTCATCGTACAATTCAGTTTTCGACCACTTTTTTCAGCAAAATTTCCCCCCCGTTTTTGTACATCCGCTCGGAAATTGTCCATACCAGATGCGTCTGCCTGCCCGCAGGATACAGCCACCCATGTGTTTGTGACTGTCCACCTTTGTTACTCGTTTAGTGAGCATTACTAAATGCGTTCAGCCAAAACCTTTTGTAATAATCCAATTTTTTTGTGCTTGCGACTGCTAAATAAGCCACCATGGGGCCAAAAAAAGTCCATGGGGTTGGAAGTGAATGGCCAGGATGTGGAAGAGTTGGTGGACGACCACAGGGAAGAGCTAATCACTGAGGAGCTTCAAGACCTACATCTGGAACAGCAACAGACCTTAACTGAGGAAGTTGTTTCAGAGGAGGAGGAAGAGAGAAGGGAGAATGTGCCACCTTCAGCAATTAGGGATATTTGCACAAAGTGGAGGTGCAAAGTTCTGTGGAGAAATATCACCCTAACAAAGCTGTTCCAAGCCGTGTCAGCAACATGTTCAATGACAATACTGTGTCCTATTTTAGGCAAATCTTAAAGACACACCAGAAACAGGCCTCTCTGGACAGATTTTTTGTGCGACAGGGGTCCAGTGGCTCTCAAGCTGGTCCTAGTGCCAATAAAAGACAAAGAAGGGAAGTAACCCCAGATAGGGCTTTGATACCTGAAGTCCTTTTGGAGGGGGATTCCCCTTCCAAGCAATAACCTCTCCTCCCTCTCCCCTCCTCGCTGTTTTTCATACACCAAGAAGAGTCTTCAATAAAGATAAAAGTAATGTTAAATGTTCATTTATCCATTTCATAAGTGCTTTATATTTATTTCTCATTGTTTTCTGTATGTAAAACTATAGTCATTCTCTATAAAATTTATTTTTTGTTAATATTTTTGGGTGTTTGGAATGGATTAATTGGATTTACATTATTTCTCATGGAAAACATTACTTCGGTTTTTGTATAAATCGGATTTTGGCCAACCTTCTGGAACGGATTAAAGACGAAAACCGGGGTTCCACTGTAACCACAAAAATTTAATTTAGTTTAAAAATAAGTGAGAGAAATAAAATACAAAATTCAGCCATGCTTTGCCTTGCTGAGCTTTCCTTTGGTTTTGACTTGGCACAAAACATTCAAATTAAAGTCTATGGTAGGGTTATTATTGAAAGAATTAGAGGCAAGACAGAATGTAGGATTGCAGATGAGCAAGGAGGCTTTAGAGTGGGTAGGGGATGTGTAGATCAAGTGTTTACATTGAAGCATATATGTGAACAGTATTTACATAAAGGTAGGAAAGTTTTCATTGCATTTATGGATTTAGAAAAGGCATATGAGGGGGGCATAGGAGAGGGGAGGGATTAAATTATGGGGAATCAAATACAAAATGGGAATTGACAGTTACTTTTTGCTGATGATACTGTGCTTACGGGAGATTCTAGAGAAAAATTGCAAAGGTTAGTGAACGAGTTTGGGAGTACGTGTAGAGGTAGAAAGTTGAAAGTGAACATAGAAAAGAGTAAGGTGATGAGGGTATCAAATGATTTAGATAGAGAAAAATTGAATATCAAATTAGAGAGAAGGAGTATGGAAGAAGTGAACGTTTTCAGATATTTGGGAGTTGATGTGTCAGCGGATGGATTTATGAAGGATGAGGTTAACCATAGAATTGATGAAGGAAAAAAGGCGAGTGGTGCGCTGAGGTATATGTGGAGACAAAAAAATGTTATCTATGGAAGCAAAGAAGGGAATGTATGAAAGTACTGTATAGTGGGTGTAAAGCTTGGGTTGTAAATGCTGCAGCGAGGAGATGGTTGGAGGCAGTGGAGATGTCCTGTCTAAGGGCAATGTGTGGTGTAAATATTATGCAGAAAATTTGGAGTGTGGAAATTAGGAGAAGGTGTGGAGTTAACCCTTTGAGGGTTTCGGCCGTACTAGTACGGCTTACGACCCAGGGTTTTTGACGTACTAGTATGCCTAAATTCTAGCACCCTCAAATCTAGTGGGAGAAAGCTGGTAGGCATACATATGAAAGAATGGGTCTATGTGGTCAGTGTGCGCAGTATAAAAAAAAATCCTGCAGCACACAGTGTATAATGAGAAAAAAAAACTGACCGTGTTTTTGGAATAAAACAGCGACTTCGCACTGTATTTTCGTATGGTATTTATTGTTATATTCTAGTTTTCTTGGTCTCATTTTATAGAATGGAAGACATATTACAGAAATTGAGATGATTTTGACTGGTTTTACAATGAAAAGTACCTTGAAACTGAGTAGCAGAAATGTTCAATTTTTACCAAAGTTCAAAAGTAAACAAATCATGCCAAGCGTCCAATACACGTCAACTGGTGAGTCCAATATTCTTTCACAAGTGTGCTGATATTATTTATACCATTTCTACACTAATGCAGCAGTCTGCATAACAGTAAATCGTCTGTTTTTTGTAAGAATAAAAATTGAAAGTGGAAAGCCAAAGAAATATAAGAGGGGCCTGGGGATGTGACTAACGAACAGAGGAAATGTTATTTTAGTGCCAGGAATGACTTTCTTGTTTATTCTGGACTCTATTTGGAAATTGGCATCTTTTGAAATTTGTGTGAAATTGGCAAAATTGCTAAATTCTGACCACTGTATTGGATAGTTGAAATCAGTAAATGGGTGGTTTCTTGTACTCATTCAATAGAAAAATGGAGAGTTCTAGAGAAATAGTTATGATTTTTGTCGACTAGTACAATGGAATTGGCTGAAAATAGGGCTCAAAGTGGGCAAAATGGCCGATGCGTAAACATCGTCGAGACCACTAAATTTGCGAGAGCATAATTCCGTAAGTTTTCCATCAAATTTCATACTTTTGGTGTCATTATGATCGGGAAAAGATTCTCTATCTTTTCATAAGAAAAATAATTTTTTTTTTTAAATTTGGCCGACCCTGAGAACAAGTCTCGAAGAGGGCCTGTCGACACTCAAAGGGTTAATAAAAGTATTAGTCAGAGGGCTGAAGAGGGATTGTTGAGGTGGTTTGGTCATTTAGAGAGAATGGATCAAAGTAGAATGACATGGAGAGCAGATAAATCTGTAGGGGAAGGAAGGTGGGATAGGGGTCGTCCTCGAAAAGTTTGGAGGGAGGGGGTAAAGGAGGTTTTGTAGGCGAGGGGACTTGGTCTTCCAGCAAGCATGCGTGAGCATGTTAGATACGAGTGAATGGAGATGAATGGTATTTGGGACTTGACGAGCTGTTGAGTGTGAGCAGGGTAATATTTAGTGAAGGGAGTCAGGGAAACCGGTTATTTTTAAATAGCCGGATTTGAGTACTGGAAATGGGAAGTACAATGCCTACACTTTAAAGGAGGGGTTTGGGATATTGGCAGTTTGGAAGGATATGTTGTGTATCTTTGTATGAATATGCTTCTAAATTGTTGTATTCTGGGCACCTCTGCAAAAACAGTGATTATGCATGAGTGAGGTGAATGTGTTGAATGATGATAAAACTATTTTCTTTTTTGGGGTTTTTCTTTCTTTTTGGGTCACCCTGCCTTGGTGGGAGATGGCCGAATTAAAAAAAAAAAAAAAAAAAAAAATCCTGGAAATCCCATATCCAAATCTCTATAGAAACCAGTTTAGAGATTTACTTAGATTGTTAAAAAATCAAGTGAGCTTGTGATAATATCTCCCCCATGACTCTGCAGATTCCACATTACCTGACAAATGTTTAACATAAAAATAAAAGCTTAACCCTACACACCATATCATTGCATACAAACAAAAACAAAAATCAGTCACACTACATCTCATCAAGACTCCATTTTCTTTTGATTCTGTGCATGACACTCACAATGAAATCAATCCATAAGATTTCATTCAAAATATACTCACTGGAATTCTCACACCAAAATACCTTTTCCTTGGTTCAACTGTTTCTTATAAATGTCAGTATAAACCAGTAAAATGCAATAGTAAAAGTTGTGTTAAAAAATCAAGCTGTGTTCATTTGACAATAACTGAGAACATGGTTCTCAAGGTGAAAATGAACAAGAGAATTTCATTCAACATAAGCTCATATTTCCTACAACTAAATCTTTTCTTATGGTTAAGCTTTTCTTATGAATGTTAAAAGACACCAGTTCAGAGGAATATTTAGAATGTTAAAAAATCAAATGAGCCTGTGATATCTCCGGGTCGTTGTTCAAGAAAAAAAGTCACTGAGGGAAAAGTTTATGGCCAATAAATTTAGTAAAGTGGCAGCAGGTCATTAACCAGAGAAAGAATTCTAGGTTTCTTGGTGGTTATTTAAAATTACATTATTTGAAAGCTTGTTAAGCGAGGGATCACTGTACATTTTATTCTTTATTTTCAAGTTTTTGCACAATTAAAATTACATGAATAATTATTTTCACTTTATTACTCATTCTCTACAAAATATTAACTAAATTCAGCTTCAGAAAATATCTTTAGTTACCTTATTATATTTAAGGTGAGGGGGTGAGCACTAAATCCACAGGGGTCATACACTCAGGTTCAATCCAAGGGAGAGCATCCAATTCTTTGGATCACGAATCCCTCGTCAGCATCAAGGAACCTACACTACCAGGTTAATTACATAATATTATATTCATGGTAAACATTAACCTTTAAACTGTCCAAACGTAGATCTACGTTCAAGTGCGTAGCGCTCCAACCTTGATTTTCCCCATTTGAAAACATGTAAAAAAAAAAAAAATGTAGATCTACATTCGGAGCCCCCCGCACGTGGACGTAGATCTACGTTTGGACAGTCTAAGGGTTAAACCTGTGTCGTACAGCAACTTGGGAATGGGCAGTGTGGGTTAGTCAGGTTCAATGCAAGGAAGGACAACTCCATTTCCTTGGATCAAGAGCTCTTCACTAGCCTCCATGTACTTCCATGAGGAATTAATAAATACATGTATAAACTACTTTATTTTGTACCTTCAATTATGAATCCTTCCACTTCCTCAGGACCAAGCTGCAGCTCTTGCATGATAACTTCAAAAGACATCTCCGACTGACTCTCGGCCATCTGCATGAAGGTCAACAATCTCATCTTACGTACATTGGCCTCGTGATCCAGACCTTGTTGGGAAGTCATAAAATCAAACACATGCAATCACAATTTCTTCAGTGTTATTGGTTGCTCTACTATGGAAAAAATATTAAATGCATAAATTTCATTTTAATACATGAAAGTAAGACAATTTCAGAAATATTATTCTGAAAACAATTGTTGAACAGCAAGTCAACATACCTATAGAAGAGATGAATTCCTTATGGTTATTGTAGAAGTGGATATAACCAGGCAGCTTCTCCGATACAAATATGGTCAATAAGTCATGGATAAGTTCTCCTTCGAGGAATTTTACAGGCTAAAAAAGCAAAAATATATAATTTCACATGAGGTAATGTATATATATGCATACATTTATTTGAAAAACTCAAAGGATAATAAACTAGGATAACCCAAAAAAGCCCACCAATGTGGCTTATTTTTATTGGGATCCTTTTTAGGCTATTTCTCATCACGAGACTAACAAATCAACTAACTCCTAGCATCAATTTACTATATGGTAACAGGGGAAGTAAGTGTTAGAAAACATGCCCATACGACCTGCCTCATAATTGGGTTCAACAACATGTCATTTCTAAGATGTTGACTTTACCCTTGCTATCATAAATGCCTCATTTATACTGTCTAAATGACTTCCAGCTACTGCCATATGGTGTCTTATCTAACAATAGGGGACATAGTAAACTGTGCACCAAAACAGAGAGAACACTAATTTTTGTATTCCAGACATTGTTGTGTAGCAGACACTGAGGACCAGAGGTATATATGACACTGAGGACCAGAGGTATATATGACACTGAGGACCAGAGGTATATATGACACTGAGGACCAGAGGTATATATGACACTGAGGACCAGAGGTATATATGACACTGAGGACCAGAGGTATATATGATGCTAAGCAACAATGCTCTGTCACCAGCCTTAACTCATGAACTGTGGTGTCAAGAAATGAGAATTTTGAATTTAAAAAAAGAAAAAAAAAATGGCAGTAAGAAATGAAATAGTAAAGAATGTGTACAAATAATGAGACTAAATGAAATTGAATAAAAGAAAAATGATATTCAGTATAGTACACAAGTGATGCAGTTAGGAACAAGTAAAAAAGAAGAAACAAAAAAAGTAGTTCATTTCTTCACCAAGGAAGTCTCCTGACATGAACCTTAATTAGATCAATGCCTATTTGGTTTACTCGTAAATGTTTAAATGGTGATTTCATAAGCCCTGTGGCTTAGGTGTGGATGATGATTAGTGAGCATCAGTTGTGCCACTGGGTCTATGACAGAGAGATGCCCACTGGCTCTTGCAATGTGTAGTAGCTAATGGCTACATGGCAGAAGGCATGTGGAAAAGCAAACTGTTGACCTTAGTTCTCATTATAGTATATAGATTTCCACCCTCTAAAAATAACTAATCAAATCATATCAAATTTTATTTCTTTGCTAAGGTTACAATGTGTGTTTACATTTCATAACTTGACTAGCACAAAGAAAGTCACTATTATGCCAAGGTATTTCGGGCAGACTTAATCTAATACTTAAAGACTACTCACGTCTAGACAGGTGAAGAGTGATAATTACAAATATTGAATATTTATGCTATTATTAATATGAGGTAGTACAATTTATGATACAAACATACACTTTTAATTTTGTAATAATGGTTTAATAGTTAAGGGATAATAAAATATTTGGAAGAGTAGCTTTAAATTTGGTTAGAGTTTAGCACAGTGTGTGTATGGTTGTTACTGAGAGATGAGATGACTTTTGAGTATAGTCCTAAATTGATTAGTGGGCAGGGAACCTCTTGCTGTTTCGGATAGTTTTCCAGATCTTCAGGACCTGTATGTGCATTGCATTTTTGCAAAGTGTGAAACAGACATGAGAGATGTTAAAAAGTGTTTTGTGTCTCATATTATGCCTGTGTGTTCTGTTGAAGCTGTCTAGAAGTTTGAGTGGAGGGTTGACATTGGAGTTTAATGGTCTGTATATATAGAAGGCACAACAATAAGTGTGCATATTTTATATATTAAATAAGTTCAAGCTTTTGAAGAATGGTGGGGCATGTTGTCTGGCACAGGAGTTTGTGATCACCCACAATGCCGCTTTTTGTTGGGTTATTAAAGGTTTAAGGTGATTGGCCGTGGTAGATCCCCAAGCACAAATACAATAGGTAGGTAAGGGTATATCAGAGTGATTTAACCCTTTGAGGGTTGACAGGCCCTCTCCGAGACTTGTTCTCAAGGTCGGCCAAATTTCAAAAAAAAAAAATAAAACTATTTTTTCTTATGAAAAGATAGAGAATCTTTTCCCGATCATAATGATACCAAAAGTATGAAATTTGATGGAAAACTTACGGAATTATGCTCTCGTGAAGTTAGCAGTCTAGACGATGTTTACGCATCGGCGATTTTGCCCACTTTGAGCCCTATTTTCAGCCAATTCCTGTGTACTAGTTGACAAAAATCATAACTATTTCTCTAGAACTCCATTTTTTCTATTGAATGAGTACAAGAAACCACCCATTTACTTATTTCAACTATCCAATACAGTGGTCAGAATTTAGCAATTTTGCCAATTTCAAACAAATTTCAAAAGATGCCAATTTCCAAATAGGGTCCAGAATAAAGAAGAAAGACATTCCTGGCACTAAAATAACATTTCCTCTGTTCGTTAGTACCATCCTCAGGCCCCTCTTATATTTCTTTGGCTTTCCACTTTCAATTTTTATTCTTACAAAAAATAGAAGATTTACTGTTATGCAGACTACTGCATTAGTGTAGAAATGGTATAAATAATATCAGCGCACTTGTGAAAGAATATTAGACTCACCAGTTGATGTGTATTGGACGCTTGGCATGATTTGTTTACTTTTGAACTTTGGTAAAAATCAAACATTTCTGCTAATTTGAGCTCAATTTCAAGGTACTTTTCATTGTAAAACCAGTCAAAATCATCTCAATTTCTGTAATATGTCTTCCATTCTATAAAATAAGATCAAGAAAACTAGAATACAGCAATAAATACCATACGAAAATACATTGCAAAGTTGCTGTTTTATTCCAAAAACACGGTCAAAGTTTTTTTTTTCCCCATTATGCACTGTGTGCTGCAGTATTTTTTTTATACTGTGCACACTGACCACATAGACCCATTCTTTCATATGTATGCCTACCAGCTTTCTCCCACTAGATTTGAGGGTGCTAGAATTTAGGCGTACTAGTACATCAAAAACCCTGGGTCGTAAGCCGTACTAGTACGGCCGAAACCCTCAAAGGGTTAAAGTGAGGAGTGCCATTTGGGGTACATAGTACTGTATCTTGGAAAAGATACCTACTGTTTTGGAAACTTTCTTAGTTATATGCTGGATGTGGGCCTGAAATTTTAGATGACAGTCAAGGTGGAGACCAAGAAATTTGCCCACAGTGTCTTGTAATGGGTGAACCATTTATTGATATGTTTAGCTGGATATTTAATGCTCTGTTTCCAAAAAGCATGAAGTAGATTTTGTCTATATTGAAAGCAAGTTTGTTAGTCATCATCCAGTTTGATATTTTATGTAGCTCACTGTTTACAGTGGTGGGAGAAGACGTAAGTGGCGTCATCTGAAAATAGAACTGGTTTAAGGAGTCACGGTGCATTTGGGAGGTCATTGATGTAAATAAGAAAGAGTAGAGGACCTAGGACACTTCCCTGTGGCATTCCAACAACTACAGGCTGTGTATTGGAGGTCACGCCATTTGTGTATACATACTGGTGTCTACCACTAAGATAAGATTTTAGGTAATTGAGAGAGTCCTCTGACCCCATAATGCTCTAGTTTTAGATGCAAGATATTGTGGTTTACTGTATCAAATGCTTTCTGTAGGTCTATGAAGAGCCCTAAAGGATATTAATTTTTTTCAAGTGTTGTATACAGTAGGGCCCCGCTTAACGGCATTTCACTTTACGGCGTTCTGCTAATATGGTCATTTCAAATTATGACCAAAACTCTCTATACGGCTCCCCCCACCTGACTTTCTAATATGGTCACCGTGCCCCACCCGGTTTGTTTACATTCTATGAGAGATCAGTAAGCACTACGTCTCTCCATTATGTCTGGAAACTCCAAAATTTCAAGTGTTTTTAAAAGTTATTTCATATTTTATATATACAGTGGACCCCCGCATAGCGACCTTAATCCGTGCAAGAGGGCTGGCTGTTATGCGAAATGTTCGCTATGTGAATGAATTTTCCCCATAAGAAATAATGGAAATCAAATTAATCCGTGCAAGACACCCAAAAGTTTGAAAAAAAAAATTTTACCACATGAAATATACATTTTCCTACACACAAAGAGAAGGATACATGCACAATAGTAGAGTAGTACATGCACAATTAGGTAGTAGGTTGGTAGACAGCAACCACCCAGGGAAGTACTACCGTCCTGCCAGATGACTGTGAAACAAAAACCTGTAACTGTTTTGCATGATGGTAGGATTGCTGGTTTCTTTTTCTGTCTCATAAACACGCTAAGATAACAGGGATATCTTGCTACTCCTACTTACACTTTGGTCACACTTCACAGACACGCACATGCATATATATATATACATACATCTAGGTTTTTCTCTTTTTTCTAAATAGCTCTTGTTCTTTTTTATTTCTTCTATTGTCCATGGGGAAGTGGAAAAGAATCTTTCCTCCGTAAGCCATGCGTGTCGTATGAGGCGACTAAAATGCCGGAGCAATGGGCTAGTAACCCCTTCTCCTGTATACAATTACTAAAAAAGAGAAGAAGAAAAACTTTATAAAACTGGGTTGCTTAAATGTGCGTGGATGTAGTGCGGATGACAAGAAACAGATGATTGCTGATGTTATGAATGAAAAGAAGTTGGATGTCCTGGCCCTAAGCGAAACAAAGCTGAAGGGGGTAGGAGAGTTTCAGTGGGGGGAAATAAATGGGATTAAATCTGGAGTATCTGAGAGAGTTAGAGCAAAGGAAGGGGTAGCAGTAATGTTAAATGATCAGTTATGGAAGGAGAAAAGAGAATATGAATGTGTAAATTCAAGAATTATGTGGATTAAAGTAAAGGTTGGATGCGAGAAGTGGGTCATAATAAGCGTGTATGCACCTGGAGAAGAGAGGAATGCAGAGGAGAGAGAGAGATTTTGGGAGATGTTAAGTGAATGTATAGGAGCCTTTGAACCAAGTGAGAGAGTAATTGTGGTAGGGGACTTGAATGCTAAAGTAGGAGAAACTTTTAGAGAGGTGTGGTAGGTAAGTTTGGGGTGCCAGGTGTAAATGATAATGGGAGCCC